AAAGTTTGATTTTGGTTTCATCTGACCAGAGCTCCTTCTTCCACATGTTTGGTGTGTCTCCCAGGTAGCTTGTGGCAAACTTTAAACAAGGCTTTTTATGGATATCTTTGAGAAATGGCTTTCTTCTTGCCACTCTTCCATAAAGGCCAGATTTGTGCAGTGCACGACTGATTGTTGTCCTATGGACAGACTCTCCCACCTCAGCTGTAGTTATCTGCAGTTCATCCAGAGTGATCATGGGCCTCTTGGCTGCATCTCTGATCAGTCTTCTCCTTGCGGCACGGTGGCTAAGTGGATAGCACTCTCGCCTCTCAGCAAGAAGATCCTGGGTTCGAATCCCGGTTGGACCAGGGAGTTTGCATGTTCTCCCCGTGTCTGCGTAGGTTTCCTCCGGGTGCTCCGGTTTCCCCTACCACAAAAAATATGTACAATAGGTCTGGCATGTGCCTCCTGTACTGGCACCCCTCCCAAAAATCACAATTGTAAACCGCTTTGAGACTCCAATGTGCAGTGAAAAGGCGGTATATAAATAAAGATTACTTACTACTCACTACTTGTTTGAGATGAAAGTTTGGAGGGACGGCCGGGTCTTGGTAGATTTGCAGTGGTCTGATACTCATTCCAATTTAATACAATTTCTTGCACAGTGCTCCTTGAGATGTTTAAAGCTTGGGAAATCTTTTTGTATCCAAATCCGGCTTTAAACTTCTCCACAACAGTATCTCGGAGCTGCCTGGTGTGTTCCTTTGTCTTCATGGTTCTCTCTGCCCTTTAAACAGAACCCTGAGACTATCAAAGAGCAGGTGCATTTATACGGAGACTTGATTACACACAGGTGCATTCTATTTATCATCATCAGTCATTTAGGACAACATTGGATCATTCAAAGATCCTCACTGAACTTCTGGAGTGAGTTTGCTGCACTGAAAGTAAAGGGGCCGAATAATATTGCACGCCCCACTTTTCAGTTTTTTATTTGTTAAAAAAGTAAAAATTATCCAACAAATTTTGTTCCACTTCACGATTGTGTCCCACTTGTTGTTGATTCATGACAAAAATTTTAATTTTTTTATCTTTATGTTTGAAGCCTGAAATGTGGCAAAATGTTGAAAGGTGCATGGGGGCCGAATACTTTCGCAAGGCACTGTATATGCGTGTCTTTATACACCTCTCCAATAAACAGAGCTGGACGATAGAGCCTCCTGACGTCTCCGCGTCTCCTCCTAAACTCGTAAAATTAAAGCTGGGGTACGTACATTTTCCCTCGCATTAACAGCTCATGTTGGTTGTGCCAACAGTAAAATGCTGTGAACAAACAGATTTAATGACAGCCATTGGCTGACATGATGTATTTCAGACTTTTTTGAAATGTCCCATTCTCATCCTGTAACAAACATTAGTTTTGGTCTGTGTCCTCACTGTAGTGACATGTTTGGTCTGTGCCCTCACTGTCACATGTTTGGTCTGTGCCCTCACTGTCACATGTTTGGTCTGTGCCCTCACTGTCACATGTTTGGTCTGTGTCCTCACTGTCACATGTTTGGTCTGTGCCCTCACTGTCACATGTTTGGTCTGTGCCCTCACTGTCACATGTTTGGTCTGTGTCCTCACTGTCACATGTTTGGTCTGTGTCCTCACTGTAGTCACATGTTTGGTCTGTGTCCTCACTGTCACATGTTTGGTCTGTGTCCTCACTGTCACATGTTTGGTCTGTGTCCTCACTGTCACATGTTTGGTCTGTGCCCTCACTGTAGTCACATGTTTTTTGTAGCAGTGCAGTACAATTAAGTCATATATTTTAGTCCATTTTTAATTGTATTGGCCATAATTTTAATGCGTAGGAAATGAGACTTGGACATGCTGGTCCAGGGACTTGGACTTGACTTGGACTTGACTTGGACTCCAGGGCATGGACTTCAACTTGACTTGGACTTGCGGGTCAGAGACTTGTGTGCATCTCTGCAGCAAAGTTTGTAAATCTGCTAAATCTGTGCATGTGGTTGAAACTGACAAATGTAACAATACACCAATGTTTCTTGGTTCTGTAGATGCAGGTACAGATCCCTGGTATACAGATTTAACTATCCGAAATCACAAAGTCAGATTCAAGATTGACACTGGAGCTGTTGTATCTTTTATTCCAGCCCAGATGTTCTTTTTGATAGTCCAAAACGAAACTGAGCTATTCACACCAGATAGACCATTATTTGGGCCAGATGGTTCTCCACTCAGTGTAATTGGTTTGTCATGTGAAAAAAGGGGATCAAGAAATACAAGAGAATGTGCATGTGATCAAAGATTTACACATAGCACTGTTAAGTAGACCAGCGAGTGTGAAGCTAAATCTTGTGTCTAGAGCAGACAGTATAGACATGAAGGTACTTAACGAGACTTATCCAAAGTTGTGCAAAGGGTTGGGTTTGATGCAGCAACCGTACTCTATCAAATTGAGACCTAATGTTGTAGCTGTTTCCTTGGCAACACCGCAACGAGTCCCCATTCCTTTGTTGGGAAAAGTGACAGCTGAACTAGAAAACATGGAGTCCATGGGAGTGATCAGCAGAGTTGAGGAGCCAACTGAATGGTGCTCAGGTATGGTTCCAGTGCCGTCCAAAAATGACTCTGTGCGCAGCTTTGTTGATCTCACTCATCACAATGAAGCAGTGTGCAGAGAAAAGTACATATTGCCTTCAGTTGAGCAGACACTTGGATCACTCGCCGGAGCAAAAGTGTTCAGTAAATTGGATGCAAACAGAGGCTTTTGGCAGGTTCCATTGTCACCCGAGTCAGCACATTATACTACTTTTATTACTCCTTTTGGGCGTTTTCATTTCAACAGACTCCCGTTCGGAATAGCCTCAGCCCCGGAGCATTTTCAGCGGAGAATGTCCATGATTCTCAATGGGCTTCCGGGGGTGGATTGTCACATGGACGACAATCTGATTTAGGTACAGGATGAGGAGCAGCACAACACCAGACTCCACACAGTGCTCAGTAAGCTGCAGGAGGCCGGTGTCACACTAAACATGGGTAAATGTGACCTGAGCAAACAAGAGGTGAAGTTCCTTGGACACATTTTGTCTGCAGGTGTTGTTCGACCTGATCCGGATAAATTTAGCGCTGTCAAGGCAATGAAAGAGCCTTCAAACATCAGTGAGGTACGAAGCTTCCTTGGGATGGTGAACCAGCTGGGAAAGTTCATTCCAGGCCTGGCTGAGAAAGACAAGCCCCTCAGGGATCTTTTATCAAAGAAAAACCAATGGTTTTGGGGAAGTGCACAGCAGCAAGCATTTGATCAGCTTCAAGATGACCTCACTTCAACACCAGTTCTAACGCTGTATGATCCTAACAAAGATCTGAAGTTATCTGCAGAAGCCTCTTCCTATGGACTGGGAGCAGTTCTGTTTCAAAAGGAGGATGAGCAGTGGAGGCCTGTAGCGTACGCATCACGCTCTCTTACAGAAACAGAGCAGAGATATGCACAGGTGGAAATAGAAGGACTGGGATTGACGTGGGGATGTGAAAGATTCAGAGACTTTCTCATCGGGAACATTTCCTCACCGTCAAGCGTGCGGAAATACCGGGCGCCGCCTATCAAATACGTGGGTAGCACAACGAACCTGGCAACGCTTTTGAGAAGACGGCACGGCGTGGATACCTCCGTGGCTGCTACCCCCTCCTCTCCTTTGGATTATACCAAAAGTTGGCGACGCGAGCAGTAGGTCTATCACAAACTTCTTCGGTCAAAATACGCCTCAAGCAGCTAACTCTGCCCGCTCCCAGGCCTTAACTGATGCTATGATAAGATAAGATATAGTTTATCACACAGGAGAAATTTACTGCTATAGCAGTCTATTTCATCTCCAAAGATATCCAGCCCTACAGCGTTTTAGAGAATGAAGGATTCAAATAAATAAATACGCTGTATATACTGAATAATGTTTTTTTCAAATAGGATTTCTTGGTTTGCTCCATAATAATAATAAAAATACATAGGTCTTATATAGCGCTTTTCAAGAACTCAAAGACGCTTCACAAATTCTAATAACCATAACCAAATATTAAATATATCCCTCATATTGCTAGAGTAAAGCAGAATTTGAGGTAAGAAACCTGATGTGGGCTAATAAACTCTCATACTAACTGTATCGAACAGGATCACATCATGTCAAACCGAATCCCGTTGCAAATCAGTCATATCGTTATTAAATCATCTTTGAATCGCATCGTATCGCGAATAGGAACTAATCGTATTGCATCGTATCGACAGGGACTTCAGTGTATCGTTAATGTATCGAATCGGCCTCAGTGGTGGAGATATACATCCCTTATGTACTCACAAACACGCATACACAGACCCCCCCACACTCACACACACAAAGTCTCACACATGCACGCTGCTGTTTAGACAGAAGAGACGGAGCTACACGTTTTTGCCAGAAGTTCCTTATATAAGCGTGGATAGAGCTAGAAACAACTCCAGATAAGTGACTGATGAGGAGATAGGTCTGGTTTGAACAGTTATCTTGTAAAAGTAAAATCCTGTAAATCATGAAAGAAATGTTATGATAAAAATATGATGTATTTTTAAGGTTAAATAGTTTTTAATCAACTTCAGGATCATGTCAGTTTTAAACAAACATGTCCCGGTTTTAAAAACATTTAAATAATGTTCAGTTTTTCTCTTGTTAATACAATAAAGATTTGAATCCGGCTCATATATTCTGACATTAAATACAACGACAGGTTGCCATGGGAACAGCCCCTCTGTTCCGGATCCCGATGACGTCACCGGTTGCTAGGTTACGGCGTTCCTGTCAAAGCAGTGATGACGTCACAAAGCTCTGAAAAGTTAGCCTTAGGGCAACGTCACGTCTCAGACACAAACACAGCGTTTGGAGTCCGGTTTGAACGAGCAGAAGATTGATTTAACGAGAGCAGGACTTAGACAGAAGCAAAACGGAGGAAAGTCTTAACAGTTGGAGGTTCGAAGACACAGTATGGACGACATTACACTGACCATGGAAGGTCCAGAAGTGGGAGACGTCGGCCCCAAAGACAACGACATCAGAAAGATCCTGTCACAGCTGAACCAGGAGCTGCAGGAGATGGAAGAGATGTTTGAGGACAACATCATTCACAGACAGACGGACCTCCAACCACCCACCTGGTCCAGCAGCGAGGTCCAGACTCAGGCCTGGTCCAGCAGCGAGGTCCAGACTCAGGCCTTGTCCACTTGTGAGGTCCAGACACAAGCCTGGTCCACTTGTGAGGTCCAGACACAGACTCAGGCCTGGTCCAGCAGCGAGGTCCAGACTCAGGCCTGGTCCAGCAGCGAGGTCCAGACTCAGGCCTGGTCCAGCAGCGAGGTCCAGACTCAGGCCTGGTCCAGCTGCGAGGTCCAGACTCGGGCCTGGTCAAGCCGCGAGGTCCAGACACAGACTCAGGCCTGGTCCAGCAGCGAGGTCCAGACTGAGGCCTGGTCCAGCAGCGAGTTCCAGACTCAGGCTTTGTCCACCTGTGAGGTCCAGACACAGACTCAGGCCTTGTCCACCTGTGAGGTCCAGACACAGACTCAGGCCTGGTCCACCTGTGAGGTCCAGACTCAGAAAGTGGACCTGCCACATTCTGAAAACTGGTATGAGGAATATGAGATTGCGGTGAGGTGTATGCAAGTCAGAGAGGCCAAGTTTAACGCAGAGTTGGAGCTAGCAAGAGAAAAGTTAGCAAAGAAGGAGAAAGAGCATCAGGAGGTTTGTGAGAAACTGATGCAGCTGCAAAGTTTGAACCTCAGTCTGGAGAAAGATCTGGAACAAGCCAACGACAACTCACGTAAACATGAGTCTGAACGTCAGGAGGCTTGTGAGAAGTTGAAAGTGCTGCAACTCTCACACGAGAAAGAGCTTCAAGAAAACTTTGAGGAGCTCAGGGTTTTAAAGCAGTCTTTAGAAGAGCGGGACTCAGTTGGAAAAAGTTCAGAGAAACAGATCAGTGAGAATGAGAATCAAAGCCAGAAGATCGAGACGCTGGAACGCCAACTTCAGGAGTTCGAAGAGTTGAGAGAGGAGTTGTCTTGGTCTGTTCGGCAGAATCAAAATCTGGAGAAAGAGCTGCAACTTTTACAGATGTATGTGGAAACGCAGTGTGAAGCCCAGGGTTCAGTTGGCACAAAAACACAGAGTTCAGCTCAGAAGAAGATGGAGATGCTTGAACGCCAACTGAAGGAGTTCAAGGACGTGAAAGAGGAGTATATTTGGTGTGTGGAGCAGAATCAACGTCTGGAGAAAGAGCTGGAACAAGCCAAAGAAACCTCACGGAAACATGAGGCCGAACATAAGGAGGCTTGTGAGAAATTGATGGAACTAAAACTGTCACAGACGAAAGCGTTCGACGATCACCTCGAGGAGTTGAGCGTTTTCAAGGAGGGCTTTAAACAACAGGTGGAAGCTCGCAGACGTTTGGAGCAACAAGTAAGCGATGTCGCACCCCAGGAGAAGCCGTTGGTGTGTGAAACGCAGACGCAAACGGTGGCTAGCGCGGAGATGCTAACCGATCTAAAAGCCGTGAAGGTTGAGACCTCTACCTCAGATGTACCAACGCAGAATCTGGATCAAGCGACAAGGGCCTTATTTGAGAAACCACAGACCAGTGCAGAGGAGTCCAGACCTCAGAGCCACAAGGATGACTGCACAGAGCTCAAGGGAAATGTGAAAAATCTAACAGAATTATTTGAAAGTAAACTTGAGCAGGACACGCAGAAGCAGGGGCCCGAGCTGCAGAGGAACCGGGTCAACGGGAAGAGCGTTTCGGCGCTGATGAAAAAGTTTGAGTTTTAAGAGAATAACGCATTCTCAGCAGCACAGGTCAGACGCTGTAGCTGCTAATTCAAATCTAAAGTCTGAAAGGGGAATGGGGAATTTGGTAAACGTATGAGGCTGTCTCTCTCTGGTCTCTCTCTCTGGTCTCTCTCTGGTCTCTCTCTGGTCTCTCAGGCTGTTTGGAGCTGTACATTTCAGGACAGTTCAAAGCAACATCATCAGAGAGAGATGGAGGGGAAGGACTCTCAGCCTAGAAATATCAAAGGCAAATAGCAGGTTTCTCTGGACCAGGGCATCAGGCTGTTTGTAGCTGTAGCTTCTGAGGTGGAGAGTCCAACTTCTTCACCAGGAGCTCCTCTTCTCTCTCTGGTCTCTTTCTGGTCTCTGTCTGGTCTCCCTCTTTGACCTCTACCTGGTGTCTCTCTGGTCTCTTTCTGGTCTCTCTCTGACCTCTCTAATCTCTTAATCCACTTCCCATCACACCCGCTTAACGAACCTGCATGGATCAAGTTGGAATTGCATGCAATAAACAATTAAAAAAACTACAAAATGCAAAAATATTTTCCTGATTGAATTGTGTTTGAGATGTTTAGACAAATAAGACACCCACAAACACCCACAAACACACACACACACACACACACTAAGGACACACCAACTTGCTTCTCTGCCAAAATACTAGAACAGGCAAAGAACAGATGTAAATGTCTGAAACTGTGTTGATGCAGAAACGTGAGCTCGGACGGAGCGGAGGCGCGGCAGAGACTGAGGGAGTGCGAGGGTTTGGTGGACGCTCTCCTTCATGCCCTGCAGACCGCCGTCTTGACCGAAGACACCGACAACAAGGTCCACACCCTACACCCATGACCGCTCCTCTCTCCTGTCATTCAATTCTTTCATTATCGCTCTAAATCACAACAGCAGTTGTCTCGGAGGATTGCCAAACCCTAACCCTCTCAAAACTAGCCTGGTCTTACCACACCATCATACTCGTTTCATTTCGTACCAAGGTCTGGGTTTGCTCCATTGATCTACGTTAACAGGTGGGAGGGGTTAACTCCTTTTGCAGATTGAAACGATGAGTTTTGTAATGAGCCCAAGTGAGTGAGGCATTTAGCATTTAGCCTAGCTTTAGCCATCTCCTTTGCCACTAACGGAGCCCTTTGCCGCATTGACATTTGCTAAACATTCCTCTTGCTCTGGCTTCAGTTTCATGATATGTGGATAAAAGCAGAACAGATTATTTTACAATCGCCTTCAGAATAAACTATAATCGATCTCAAGTATGAACGTTTTTTACCAAGACTTTAATAAAACTAGTAATAATAACACATTTAATTTCTTAGGCGTCTTTCTTGACACTTCTAATCACCTTATATCATTATCTGTGTATGGACTGTGCTGTACCAATAACCTTGCCGTGCCGTGCTATACCAATAACCTTGCCGTGCCGTGCTATACCAATAACCTTGCCGTGTCTGTTGTGCCGTCAGTCGGTGGAGAATTGCGTGTGCATCCTGAGGAACCTCTCGTACCACGTCCACAAAGAGATCCCAGGGGCCGAGCGTCTGCAGGAGCCGCACCTGTTGAGGGCGGCGGGGCCTCCACGGAAGAGGAGCGAGCACGACTGTTTCGGCGGCAAGAGACCGAAAGGTGCGACATCACAACTGCTGAAAATCATTATTCACTGTTTAATGATTACATAAGAAACTGAAAATACATTTAGAGACTTTAGAATCGTTTAGAGATTGGAAACGTTACAATATTGGTGTGTAGGGTCTTTCTCTGGTCTCTCTCTGGTCCCTCTCTAGTCACTCTCTGGTATCTCTGGTCTCTCTCTCGGGACTCTCTCTGGTCCCTCTCTAGTCTCTCTGGTCTCTCTCTGGTCTCTCTTCGGTCTCTCTCTGGTCTCTCTGGTCTCTCTCTGGTCTTTCTCTGGTCTCTCTCTGGTCTCTCTCTGGTCTCTCTCTGGTCTCTCTCTGGTCTCTCTCTGGTCTCTCTCTCTGGTCTCTCTCTGGTCTCTCTCTATGGTCTTAAGAATCTCTTTGCCTTAAACTCTTTTGCTCTGTCAGTAAAATCAGGCGTGAGATTCTCTTGCTCTGTGGCTCTGGGCTCCACTTTCTCCTTCTTTTGTTCCTCTTGATGTTTGAATATTTCATAAGGATAAATATTCAGGAGCAGACTCTGTTTTTTGAGACGCTGAAAACTCCGAGGTTTTCACTATATTCCTCAAAACGCAGTCTGTTAAAACCTCGTTATCCTTCAGTCAGTGACGATTTATTCTGAAAAATCAAATGTGAAAATACAGGTTTTATTTCACTCCCCCTGAGGTGTCGCCATAGTAACACACAGCATTTAGCGCTATCACAGACTGTATACGGATGGACAATGCTAACATAGACTGTATACAGATGGACAATGCTAACACAGACTGTACACAGATGGACAATGCTAACACAGACTGTATACAGATGGACAATGCTAACACAGACTGCATACATTAGGTCATAACAACGGTTGCTAAGGAGCTTTTGCTGACTCTCGGCTCACATTAAGTAGTCCCTTTCCTCAGACATGTTTTGGAGTAAAAGTATTTGGATCTTCTAAACCAGACAACATTAAGTTAGCGATGTTGTTACAATGGTAGGTAACAACAACAACAACAACGCTAACTTACTCTTGTCTGGTTTAGAAGAACCAAATACTTTTATATCTACAAAGAAGACACAATGAAGCTTATTAAACTACGGCATAAACAGATTCAACAACTGTATGGTTTAAACACACACATTACTTTAAAACCGGTGTCTCCAACCGTTTTCACCCAGAGAGCTACTTTTCCGGGACGATAAAGGCAGAGAGCTACTCCTTTAAGCTAACCCCAAGAAAAATATATGAATATATTGATGTGAACAAGATAATGGGTACAGTCATTATTTATCATAGGTTAGTTGTTATTAATGACAAAGTAAGAGCATTTACAATAACAAATAATGATTATGATAAACACAATCTGAAATATTAGTGTATTATTTGATTTGTTCATTTCTAAATCCTCTGGTGAGCTACCTGGAAGGGGCTGGAGAGCTACTGGTGGCTCCTGCGCTACAGGTTGGAGACCCCTGCTTTAAACTACACACTGCAAAACACCGTGACATGTGTGGTCCTTTTTTAGTATTTCATATTTTTATATTTTAGTACTAGTATTTTATCGTTTTATCACATTTTTATTGTTAACTCATTGACTGCAGCCGTTTTTGATGATTTCACTGATTTCCAAGACGCACAGAATATTGTGAAATATGAAACCGGATTCTGAAAGACTGAACTGTCTATACTTTCATCAGCAAAAATAAGTTGGTTTATAGATATTTTTGTTCTCCTGTAATCCCCGGGTAAATAGAGGACAGTTTGACAGAAATCACCAGTCTCAGACAAATACGTCAACTGCAGTCAATGAGTTTTTATTGGGGTTTTTTAATCACATTTTTATTGTTTTTACTTTGTGCATTATTTTTTTCTTACATTTTAACATAAGGCAATCCTGCATATTAAATTGTGCTGATTTTATTTCACTTTGGAAACTTGTTCTATAAAATGTGCTCTAATGGTTTTCCTGTGTATATATTTTTTTCAATACATATACTGTGTGTGTTGGATATTTTCTTTTGACTATGGACCGTCTTGTATTGTGTCCTTAATAACGATGAATAATAATAATAATACAAGTATATAGAGTGGATATTAGGATTGAAAGCGGACATTTCCCTCTTGTCCCGGCGTCTCCTCCTGATTCTAATCTGTGACTTCTCTTTTCTGCCGTAATCTTTAGAGGAATGGTTCAGTCAAGGTCAGTAAATCCTGTTGATTCTAATTCTCTTCTTTAACGATGATTGTCCGTCTCTCTGTGTTTGGTTTTAATTGTGTGGTTTTAAACTGTTGTCTGTGTGTTTGTGTGTCTGTGTGCATGTGTGTGTCTGTGATGTGCAGGTTGGAAAAATGGCTTTTTGGACAGAAAGTATGGCACTTTGGATTTACCAAAACGCCCCGAGCAAATGAAAGGTATCGGACGGAGACGGCAACACAAAAGCAACACACAAGCAACACACAAGTACTTTGTGTTGTTTTACTGCATGACACCAGCAACCGATTTGTTTGCACTGGTCCCTCGCCACATCGCGGATAACTGCTATTATAACCTTTATTTAAAGTCTCGCTGGTCTCTGTATCTGGTTTCTCTGGTCTCTCTCTGGTCTCTTGCCGGTCTCTCTCAGGTCTCTTTCTGGTCTTTCTCTAGTCTCTCCCTGGTCTCTCTCTGGTCTCTCTCTGGTCTTTCTCTGGTCTCTCTCTGTTCTTTCTCTGGTCTTTCTCTGGTCTCTCTCTGCTCTCCCTCTCTGGTCTCTCTTTCTCTCTGGTCTCTCTCTCTCTTGTCTCTCTCTGGTCTCTCTCTCTGGTCTCTCTCTGGTCTCTCTCTGGTCTTTCTCTGGTCTCTCTCTGCTCTCCCTCTCTGGTCTCTCTCTCTCTTGTCTCTCTCTGGTCTCTCTCTCTCTTGTCTCTGGTCTCTCTCTCGCTTGTCTCTCTCTTGTCTCTCTCTGGTCTCTCACTCTGGTCTCTCTCTGGTCCCTCTCTCTCTCTCTGGTCTCTCTATCTGCCTTAAAACATACTTATTAATAGAACACATCACCCCGTGATGAACCAGGGACCACTGTACTTCATAAGGAAAAAGTACTTGGATTATGACGGTACTTTCTGGACTTTTAGACTTGTATCTAAACCACAGCAGCTCAGGGAAAGTCAGTGTTTTCAGTTTGGTCCACAGATAAGCCTCACTGGAAAATAAGCCTCAGTCTATTTAGGCACGTGTAAGATTCTTGCTTCCACCTTCTCCTTTTGAGCCTTGTTCTTGAAAGTAAAAGTACCTGTAAAAATACATGTAAACTGCAAAAACTATTACTACACAACACTTGTATATTACAGCGGCTAAAACTTCGATCTCTCTCTGGTCTCTCTCTGATCTCTCTCTGGTCTCTCTCTCTCTGGTTTCTCTCTGGTCCCTCTCCGGTCTCTCTCTTTCTCTGGTTGTTCTGGTCATTCTGGCCTCACTCTGGTCTCTCTCTTGTCTCTCTCTCTGGTCCCTTTCCAGTCTCTCTCTGGTCTCTCTCTGGTCATTCTGGTCTCTCTTTGGTCTCTCTCTCTGGTCTCGCTCCAGTCTCTCTCTGGTCTCTCTCTCTCTGGTCCCTCTCCGGTCTCTCTCTGGTCTCTCTCTGGTCGTTCTGGTCATTCTGGTCTCTCTCTATGGTCTCTCTCTGGCCTCTCTCTCTGGTTTCTCTTTCTGGTCTCTCTCTGGTCTCTCTCTCTGGTCCCTCTCCGGTCTCTCTCTGGTCGTTCTGGTCATTCTGGTCTCTCTCTGGTCTCTCTCTATGGTTTCTCTCTGGTCTCTCTCTCTGGTCTCTTTTTCTGGTCTCTCTCTGGTCTCTTTCTTGTCTCTCTCTCTGGTCTCTCTCTTGTCTCTCTTTCTGGTCTCTCTCTCTCTTGTCTCTCTTTCTGGTCTCTCTCTCTATAATAAGTCCATACACTCTGTCCTGTGTGTGTCCCTGTTCTTGTCTCTCTCTGCTGTTCACATAAACACACGAGAAGCAGGAATGTAATACGTCGTCACCTCTAGAGACTCCGTCACTCCAGGGGGCGCGCTAACAAAACAGAAACACACACATTGGCTGCTGTATAGGCCTCAGAGTCCAGGGAGTACTGTGTTGTGGACTAACAATGACCAGAGAACAACCAGAAGAAAAGTAAGTATTGTGTTTTCTGTCATGTTAGTTTCAACCATCTTCGGCCCTGATCCAGATGCATGTCCCACTCTTTACAAAAGACCGGTCAGCTGCAGATTATGGAACAAGATCCGGGAAACTGAACCTAGAACCTAGAGCCTAGGTTCAGTTCTTATAGAAAAAAAATTGGAACCAGAGAATGCATGTGAGTGACAGGTCGACCACTAGGAGGCGACTATACACTCACTATAGAACCCAGAATGAGACTGTAGACCCAGGACTGAGGCTGTAGACCCAGGACTGAGGCTGTAGACCCAGGACTAAGGCTGTAGACCCATGACTGAGACTGTAGACTCAGGACTGAGGTTGTAGACCCAGGACTGAGGCTGTAGATCCAGGACTAAGGCTGTAGACCCAGGACTGAGGCTGTAGATCTAGGACTGAGGCTGTAGATCCAGGACTGAGACTGTAGACCCAGGACTGAGGCTGTAGACCCCGGACTGAGGCTGTAGATCCAGGACTGAGGCTGTAGACCCAGGACTGAGGCTGTAGACCCAGGACTGGGATTTGCTCAATGCAAATCAGACCGAGCCGTTCCAGGTCACCACCATCGTAGTTGTCATGATGAGGCTGTAATGGGAATTAAAGCACTTCTCATTGTGTCAGAGGAAACAGAAGTCCCTCTGTCTCTCGCTGAACACTCAAACTCATTGTTATTACTAATTTATGGTAAAATGTATTTAAATATATAAATAAATACTTTATTTTCTCCATTTGGAAATGTGTTCTCTGCATTTACCCCCCGCTCTGCTCTGCTCTTGTCTCTCCATAACATTTAACATCTTATCAATCTGCTCACAACAAACCAGTATCCGGGGAAATTCCTTGGTAACCATGGCTTCCAGCAGTACCCTGGCCAATCACTGTCAGTTACAACACTTTAGCACCAGCTTGGCCTGGATAGAACCTGGACCAAGTGGGACTAAAGAAGGACCTGGTACTGGTCACACAGGACCAGAGACAACACTCCCAATCAGGGGAGAGTAAAGTAGAGTAGAGTAGAGTAGGGTAGGGTAGGGTAGGGTAGAGTAGAGTAGAGTAGAGTAGAGTAGGGTCGAGTCGAGTAGGGTAGAGTAGGGTAGAGTAGAGTAGGGTAGGGTAGGGAAGAGTAGGGTAGGGTAGAGTAGGGTAGGGTAGGGTAGGGTAGGGTAGGGTAGAGTAGAGTAGGGTAGGGTAGGGTAGATTAGAGTAGAGTGGGGTGGGGTGGGGTTTGTATGATTTTGCCTTTTGTACATATTTTTATTGGGAGGGTGAACAAGACCATCTGGAGCAAACCTAAACAGACACGGGTAGAACATGCAAACCCCACTCAGAAACCTTACCCCAAAACCAAGATAGATTTTTCCCATTATGCTCCTTCACACAGTCATGACCAGAAGCCCATCGGGTCTCTGGTCTTAAGTCTGAGGGTCTCTGGCCTTCAGTCTGATGGCCTCTGGCCTTCAGTCTGATGGTCCCTGGCCTTCAGTCTGATGGTCCCTGGTCTCTGGTCTTCAGTCTGATGGTCTCTGGTCTTCAGTCTGATGGTGTGTGTTGCAGGCCTGGAGCTGCTGTATCAACCAGACGTGGTGCGGTTGTACCTGTCTCTTCTCACCTGCAGCAAAAACCACAACACTTTGGAGGCAGCGGCCGGAGCTCTGCAGAACCTGGCTGCCGGACAGTGGGCCGTGAGTTCACATATTTCATTTTAAACCCAGACCTTTAGCGGGTTGTCAGTGAGACAGTGTGTGTGGACAGTGGTCCAGCTTCATCCGGGCCACGGTGCGGAAGGAGAAGGGTTTGCCGGTTCTGGTGGAGCTGCTGCGCTCAGACGTGGACAAAGTGGTGCGAGCCGTGGCCATCGCTCTGAGGAACCTGGCCATGGACCGGAGGAACAAGGACCTGATCGGTGAGTGCTCTGGAATGATAGGTCTCTCTCTCTGGTCTCTCGCTAGTCGCTATCTGGTCTCTCTCTGGTCTCTCTCTCTCTAGCCTCCCTTTCTGGTCTCTCACTCAGGTCTCTCTCTGGTCTCTCTGGTCCGTCTCTGGTCTCTCTATCTGGTCTCTCTCTGGTTGCTTTTTGGACTCTCTCTGGTCTCTCACTCTCATCTCTCTCTAGTCTCTCTCTGCTCTCTCTCTCCGGTGTCTCTCTGGTCTGTCTCTGGTCTGTCTCTGGTCTGTCTCTCTGGTCTCACTCTGGTCTGTCTCTAGTTGCTTTCTGGGCTCTCTCTGGTCTGTCTCTGGTCTCTCTCTAGTTGCTTTCTGGTCTCTCTTTTTGGTCTTTCACTCTGGTCTCTCTCTGGTATCTCTCTGGTCTCTCTCTGGTCTGTCTCTGGTCCCTCTCTGGTTGCTTTCTGGTCTCTCTCTGGTCTCTCTTTTTGGTCACTCTCTTATCTCTTTCTGGTTTCTCTCTGATTGCTTTTTGGTCTCTCTCTGGTCTCTCTCTGTGTTCTCTCTTCTCTCTCTCTGGTCCTTACTGACTCTCCTCTTGAATGCAGGGAGTTATGCTTTGAGGGACCTGGTGGGGAATCTACCATGTGGACAGCAGCATCCGGCCAAGAACCTTGAGGGAGATACAGTGGTGTCGATTCTGAACACAGTCCACGAGATCATCAGCGACAGCCCCGAGAACGCCAGGGCCCTGATCCAAGGCCACGCCGTGCAGAAACTGGTGTCCATCAACAAGTCCAGGTACAATCTATGGTCTCCCTCTGGTCTCTCTCTCTCTCTGGTCTCTCTCTGTGATCACTCTTTGGTCTCTCTTTCTGGTCTCTCTCTCTGATCACTTCCTGGTCTCTCGCTCTCTGGTTTCTCTCTCTGATCAGTCTCTGGTCTCTGTCAGTAGTCTCTCTCTCTAGTCTTTTCTCTGATCTCTCTCTCCCTGATCTCTATCTGGTCTCTGTCTGGTGTCTCTCTTTCATATCTCTCTGGTCTATTGCTGGTCTTCTCTCTGATCTCTTTCTAGTCTCTTTGATGGTCTCTCTCTGGTCTCTTCCTGTTCTCTCTCTGGTTTCTCTCCTTTAAAGTCCAGAGTGTCTTTAAAGAAATAATCCAAAGATAGAATCTTTCCATCTCTTTAGCAAAACCAAACCAACCTCGTCAGACTCCCTCCTCTGTCTTTCATCTCTCATTTCTGTATTTTATCTCTCATTCCTGTCTTTCATCTCTCATTTCTGTCTTTCATCTCTCATCTCAGTTTTTCCGGGAATATTCCAAAACAGATTATAATCTCGGATCTGCCTCCTGCTGTTGGTCACTAATGCTTTGTCTTCAGCCAATCAGCACGAGAGACCAAGGCTGCCTCCCACGTCCTGCAGACCATATGGACGTACAAGGACCTGCGGCACACGCTGACCAAGGCCGGCTGGAACAAGAGTCACTTCAAGGTATTGTTGCCGTGATTGACAGAAAACCATCAACGTCACCAGTTCTGGTTTAGTGTTTGAACGAGACGAGGCTTTTGTGCTGAAGTGTGTCTGTTGTGAGAAGCTGTCAAACTGTCAGGAGCGCGTCCAAACTGTTGTTCCATCGTTTATTCCTCTGTTCCACGGAGAAGGACGGGGGTGATGTGTTCTAAATATAACACTAAGTAAGATACACCAGCAAAGCACAGAACTGCTGCGATAACACGATGGTTTCCTCTGTGTAAAGTTAGAATAAAACTATTGTGGCTTTTCTGCACCACAATGTTCAGTTCAGAGGACTCAGGTCTCTTTCTGGTCTCTCTCTGGTCTCTCTCAGGTCTCTCTCTGGTCTCTATCCGGTCTCTCTCTGGTCTCTCTCTGGTCTCTCTCTGGTCTCTTTCTGGTCTCTCTCTGGTCTCTCTCTGGTCTCTATCTGGTCTCTATCTGGTCTCTATCTGGTCTCTCTCTGGTCTTTCTCTGGTCTCTCTCTGGTCTTTCTCTGGTCTCTCTCAGGTCTCTCTCTGGTTTCTCTCTGTTTTCTCTCTGGTCTCTCTCTGGTTTTATATATATATATATATACCGTTTCTCTACACATTTAAGAGGATTGTTTCTTTTTGTTCGAAGCCACCGTCGTCTGGAGTCAATAAAAAGTCAAAGAGCGGGAAACAAGTGGGAGACGACATCACTTTACCACTGATGGACAAACATCAAGGTCAGCTTTAAAGCCCTGTTTCTACCCTACCCTACTCTACTCTACCCTACCCTACCCTACCCTACTCTACCCTACTCTACTCTACCCTACTCTACCCTACCCTACCCTACCCTACCCTACTCTACTCTACTCTACCCTATTCTACTCTACCCTACCCTACTCTACCCTACTCTACTCTACCCTAACCTACTCTACTCTACCCTACTCTACCCTACCCTACTCTACTCTACTCTACTCTACCCTACCCTACCCTACTCTACCCTACTCTACTCTACTCTACTCTACCCTACCCTACTCTACTCTACCCTACCCTACCCTACTCTACCCTACCCTACTCTACTCTACCCTACTCTACTCTACTCTACTCGCCCCTGATTGGGAGTGTTGTCTCTGGTCCTCTGTAACCAGTACCAGGTCCTTCTTTAGTCCCTCTTGGTCCTGGTTCTATCCAGGCCGAGCTGGTGCTAAACTGTTCTAACTGACAGTGATTGGCCGGAGTGTTGCTGGAAGCCATGGTAACCAAAGGAATCGGACGGTTGCTAGGATACAGTACCAGATAGAAACGCGCAATGGAAACGGCTCCTATGTGTTTGTGATTATTGCATTTCCTGTGAAACAAAAATAGATTGAATTAAAAGTGAATGGATGTGTTTTTGGCTGGACTCTGTTGGAGCCATCTTTGAATCTCTTTGGGATTTTCTTGGTTAAATTGAGGTTAAATATAAAAATGAAAGGACATAATTACAGCTGCCTTTGTTCAATGAGAGCCATGTCCTCTGCAGAGAGAGGCTCGGTCTGTCCCGGGACTCATCTGTACTATCGCCTCAAACCAGCGCCGCCAAGGTTATCACTGCTGCAGACCAGCTTTCTCTCACTCCTCTCTCTCTCTCTCTCTCCTCACTCTGACTCCTTGCGTCTCTCTCTCTCTCCTTCTTGTCTATCTTCTCTCTCTCCTGTCTCTCTCTCTTTCTCTAACTCCTCCCTTTCTCCTCTGTCTATCTAACTCCTCTCTCTCTCTAACTCCTCTCTCTCGCTAACTCCACTCTCTCTCTATCTTACTCCTCTCTCTCTAACTCCTCTCTCTCTCTAACTCCTCTCTCCATCTAACTCCTCTCTCTCTAACTCTTCTCTCTCTAACTCCTCTCTCTCTCTAACTCCTCTCTCTCTAACTCTTCTCTCTATCTAACTCCCTCTCTCTCTAACTCCTCTCTCCATCTAACTCCTCTCTCTCTAACTCCTCTCTCCATCTAACTCCTCTCTCTCTCTCTCTCTAACTCTTCTCTCTACCTAACTCCTCTCTCTCTAACTCCTCTCTCCATCTAACTCCTCTCTCTCTAACTCCTCTCTCCATCTAACTCCTCTCTCTCTCTCTCTCTAACTCCTCTCTCCATCTAACTCCTCTCTCTCTAACTCCTCTCTCCATCTAACTCCTCTCTCTCTCTCTCTCTAACTCTTCTCTCTACCTAACTCCTCTCTCTCTAACTCCTCTCTCCATCTAACTCCTCTCTCTCTCTCTAACTCTTCTCTCTCTAACTCCTCTCTCTCTCTAACTCCTCTCTCCATCTAACTCCTCTCTCTCTAACTCTTCTCTCTACCTAACTCCTCTCTCTCTAACTCCTCTCTCTCTAACTCCTCTCTCCATCTAACTCCTCTCTCTCTCTCTCTCTAACTCTTCTCTCTACCTAACTCCTCTCTCTCTAACTCCTCTCTCCATCTAACTCCTCTCTCTCTCTCTCTAACTCTTCTCTCTCTAACTCCTCTCTCTCTAACTCCTCTCTCCATCTAACTCCTCTCTCTCTAACTCTTCTCTCTATCTAACTCCTCTCTAACTCCTCTCTCTCTAACTCTTCTCTCTACCTAACTCCTCTCTCTCTAACTCCTCTCTCTCTCTAACTCTTCTCTCTCTAACTCCTCTCTCTATCTAACTCCTCTCTCTCTCTAACTCCTCTCTCCATCTAACTCCTCTCTCTCTAACTCCTCTCTCTCTCTCTCTAACTCTTCTCTCTATCTAACTCCTCTCTCTCTAACTCCTCTCTCTCTCTCTCTAACTCTTCTCTCTATCTAACTCCTCTCTCTCTTACTCCTCTCTCTCTCTAACTCCTCTCTCTCTAACTCCTCTCTCTCTAACTCTTCTCTAACTCCTCTCTCTCTCTATAACTCTCTCTCCTCTCTCTAACTCTTTTTTTCTCTCTATCCTCTCTCTCTCTATCTAACTCCCCTCTCTCTCTTACTCTCCTCTCTCTCTCTCCTTTCTAACTCCACTTTTTTTTCTCTCTCTCTCTTTTGTTGCTAAGATGGTTGCTAAGGCAAGATAGAGATTCCCTCACGAATGCAGACATCTGATTGGTCCATCCTTATCCTTCACATCTGGTTTACAATATAAACAGCAGTGTCACAGAGAGCGATAAACCACATTTTGTTTTATCCCAAAATGGTGAGCACTTGTCTCTTTGAGCCTCCTTGAGCTAGCGTGTTAGCATTATCCATCTATACACAGTCGGTGCTTCCAGCCCACTCCTAATACACGCTCTATGGGATAAATGAGAAATATAAGCAGTGGCATTTCTCCCTAAAATGCACTGTGTTTGTAATTTCACGCCTTGTGTCTTTTATGCACCCAGAGCCATGTGTGTCTGATGTGATTGTGTGCTCCTCTCACAGATGTGTATTCCACCTTGGAGCCAAACGACAGAGTTGGAGACGGGAAGGGGCCGGTGGTGGAACGAGAGGCGCTGCAGGTACTTGCACTTTCACAGCTGACGGCACATCGCATCACCCTCATGCTAACACAGACTGTATACAGATGGACAATGCTAACACAGATTGTATACAGCTGGACAATGCTAACACAGACTGTATACAGATGGACAATGCTAACACAGACTGTATACAGATGGACAATGCTAACACAGACTGTATACAGATGGACAATGCTAACACAGACTGTATACAGATGGACAATGCTAACACAGACTGTATACAGATGGACAATGCTAACACAGACTGTATCTGCAGGTAATAAACGAGAGGAAGCACTTCATCCGAGCGGGACGTCCTGCCGTCGGCCTCATGGACAACAAGCCGCCGCCCTTAGACTCCTGGGTCTGAGCCTCCATTGGACTCCTGAGTCTTAAGGTCCCTTAGACTCCTGGGTCTGGACCTCCCTTCGTGCCAAACCTTTATTTAAACCTTTAAGGAGACATAGACTGGACGTAGACTTTTAAGACTCACCACATCTAAATCTAAGTCTAAATATGCAAAGTGCGTGTGACCCCAAAGATAAAACATGGAAGATTATTTTTTGATCTTAAGAAGTGGTTAAGGTTGAAATCAAAACAGTTTTTCCATTTCTTTTTTTCAAACCCATTGAGAAAATAACACAAAAACTATAATCTGTGTATTTAAGGGTTAGAGATAGTATTTACAGACGTTTGTGGCCCCGTTTCCACCGGCGCTATACTACACTACACTACTTTACTCTACTCTCCACTTCTCTACACTCTACTCTCTACTCAACACTACTCTACTATACTACTCTACTTCACTACTCTACTCTATACCACACTACTTTACTCTTCTCTACTCTGATTGGGAGTATACCAGGTCCTACTTTAGTACCTATTGGCCCTGGTTCTAGTAGAGTAGAGTAGAATAGAGTAGGGTAGAGTAGAGTAGAGTAGAGTAGAATAGAGTAGAGTAGAATAGGGTAGAGTACAGTAGGGTAGAGTAGAGTAGAGTAGATCAGAGCAGAGCAGAGCATTCTAGAGTACAGTAGAGCAGAGCATTCAGATTCAGATTCAGACTACTTTATTTATCCCACCAGGGGCAATTCATTTGAGCAGCAAATAACATTTAAAAAAACACAGGAAATAAGTGATTTGACATGAAGTGGAGTCCCATACAAACATATGAACATGATACAGAGTAGAGTAGAGTATTCTAGAGTAGAGTAGAGTATTCTAGAGTAGAGTAGAGCAGAGCAGAGTGAAGCAGAGCAGAGTAGAGTAGAGTAGAGTAGAGTAGAGTAGAGTAGAGTAGAGTAGAGTAGAGTAGAGTAGAGTAGAGTAGAGTAGAGTAGAGCAGAGCAGAGCAGAGCAGAGCAGAGCAGAGCAGAGTAGAGTAGAGTAGAGTAGAGTAGAGCAGAGCAGAGCAGAGTGAAGCAGAGCAGAGTAGAGTAGAGTAGAGTAGAGAGTAGTAGAGTAGAGTAGAGTAGAGCAGAGCAGATGGAAACAGGGCTATATTAAGAGGTTTTCTTTAGTTCTGTCGAAGCTGCCATCAGAGAACGGTCTGTGAAGGATCTTAAAGTTGCCTTTAAGTGAATGTAAATGTGTAACAAAGGACTGTTAATAATTCAAAAGAAGGCATTTATATTGTAATATTTATTGTAATACCCACGTTATTAATCTGAGACCATCGACCAGGATCCTACAGTCACGGCTTTGTAGACATCGTTTTGCATCATGTTGGATGAAAATAAATTATTAATGTAAAGGGAAAAGAATGTTCTGTCCTTATTTCTTATTACATATATTTACTTCTTTATTATGCTAAAGCTAGAGATGTTATACTAGCTTCTTTATTATGCTAAAGCTAGATATTTTATACTAGCTTCTTTATTATGCTAAAGCTAGAGATTTTATACTAGCTTCTTTATTATGCTAAAGCTAGATATTTTATACTAGCTTCTTTATTATGCTAAAGCTAGAGATTTTATACTAGCTTCTTTATTATGCTAAAGCTAGAGATTTTATACTAGCTTCTTTTTTATGCTAAAGCCAGAGGTTTTAAATTAGTACAGAGTTACTGTTCATTTATCTTGTGTTGTGTCTCTCTAACTGCTGATGCAACCCTGAAATTTCCCCGCTGTGGTAGAAATGCAGCATCTCTTCACCTTAATCTGTGTACAGTAGACGTGTGGTGTCGTGGCTGGTGCTATGTGCCTCATGTGGAAAGTAGGGGAGGGGGTTCTTAGTGGCATCTCCAAACTTGTCCTCAGCCCTGCCCTCAGAACCAGTCCACGGGTCTGCAATCCCCAAGGGCAAAGCAGTCCCGACCTGCCACCGACGCCTGGTCCGTCTCAGCCAACACCTCCCGGATTTCCCTCTTTCACTGATGGATTCCTGGTCTTTCTTCATCAACTGCCTTATCAACTTTCTCGTCTTGTTTTTGCTCCTGAGCGATTTGAGTTGGAGCAGTCCCATCCGACGCCCCGGGAGCCGGCGAAGGGCATCAGAAGACGACGGTGGGATCCCGGGGTTGGTCCAGCTTCTGACTAGTTTGAACTTCACGGAACTGAGAGACCCTGACTCCGGACTACTCCCGGATTCCAAGGAGCCGCCGGAATACATGAGGGAACTTTACGAAGCGTTTGGGAAGAACCGTTCGGCGAAACCCTCGGGAAACATGGTGCGCAGTTTCAAGAGTAGAGGTATGTGATTGAGGACCATAGTGAAAGCATAACAGGGAAAATGGGAAATGAAAATCTCGTATTTGGTATAAAGACCAATGTAAATAGTAAAACCCTGGGGTCTCCAACCTGTAGCTTATTGAAGAAGTTAGAGCAGGGGTGTCCAAACTTTTTAGTGAGAGGGCCACTTTCGTTCACCAGACTAGTTCAGGGGCCGACATCTCAGACTGAAAAACTGTCTTGACTGAGCTTTAAAATGATCTATAACAGGGCTGAAGTTGGCTGAATGACAAATGCTTACCATCTCACCAGCTACAGTAGCATCTTTAACGGAAGTTTGTGACACAATCAAAACCCGTGTCAGCACAGTATGCACAAATAATGACTGAATTCGGGACTGGGCTTTAGAACGAGGTCTATGTTGGCTGAGCTGAAGTCGGCTGGATGACACAGTGAACTTGTGTTTATGATCTCATAGACAACTTTGGGTTAGCGAGGCAGAGGGCCACATAACATGACACTGAGGGCCGCATTTGGCCCCGGGGCCTGAGTTTGGACATGCCTGAATTGGAGCAATGTGCATGCTTCACAGGCCCACAACTTTTGGAAATGAAAAACTGAAGTGGTAATAAATCAGAAATTATGAATGTTGATAGTAACAGTGCCTAATCTACGGCTATCTGCCAATTCTGACTGTGTGAAAACAAGATGGGACAAAACCATTTAGTCTAATTTCAAGAACTATTGCTTTATTTCCTCATTCCAAGGGAGACATTTCTTGTATCTTTTAAAAACAAGATCATTCTGCTTTGACCCATTGGCAAATCTTGTTTTAAGACTAGACCAGGACCATACCAGCACCAGATCAGGACCAGGACAAGGACCAGCCCAGGATCAGACTAATGTGGTCAAAATGTTCTCGTATTAGGATTGTTAAATTAGAGCTTTTTTTAAAACTCATTTTTCTTCACTTGTTGCTGTCTATTCAATAAACATTTTTTCCCAGACGGTACTAAAAGTAGTCCCTGAAGCTACGGCATCTGCAGATTTAGCCCAGAGAAAGTAAAAGTTTGGAGCACTGAAAGAATCCTTCTATTTTCAGGTGGAGCCCTACACCAGGACACAGCAGCGGGCGTTTGGATCTATCCCTTACTCTTCAACATCTCGATTCCTCGACAAGAGAACGTACAACTAGCTGAACTGCTAATCTTCAACCAGATCCAGGACCCTCATGAAGCGAGCCAGGACCCAGCCTGCTCCGTGACCATTTACCAAGCTCGCCAAGATGTTGGATCGTCCATAGAGCTGAATGAGGGCCTTATGAACAGGTCTCGAGAGAAGGTTCTGGGAGGAAATGTGTTAATTGAGCTGTTGACAAAGCATATCAGCTGCAGATATGACGGCTGGCTGTCTTTTGACTTGACTCACGCGGTGACACACTGGCAGAACAAGGGTTGCACAGACCAAAGGCTGGAGGTGCATATCTCGAACTTTGGACGGGAGAGAGGACACGCCAAAGACAGGAGTATTGTCAAGGCCGCTGTCGTCGTCTTTTCAGATAATCCAACACAGAAACAGAACAAACGCACGGTACTCGGACATGAAAGACACAGCAAGCCAAACCAGGAAGGACCGGCGGAGCTGCGGGAAGCGTCAAACACCGACTTTATCTATGACACGCCTTCCAGAACCCGGCGTAACCTGAAGAGCGAGGCGTGCAAGAGAACGCCGCTGTTTGTGGAGTTCAAAGACATCGGCTGGGACAACTGGATCATCCAACCCTTGGGCTACGAGGCCTTCGAGTGCCGGGGGGAGTGTTACCCGCCGCTGACGTCTGAGGTCACGCCTACCAGGCACGCCGTGGTTCAGACTCTGCTGAGCGTCAAGAACCCCGACCGGGTGGCGCGGGCTTGTTGCGTGCCCACCAAGCTGGAGCCCATCTCTCTGCTCTACCAGGAAAACGGGGTCATCACCTTTAACCACAAGTACGAGGGCATGGTGGTGGCGGAGTGCGGCTGCAGATAACCGCCAGTGACTACAAACCGTGTGGGATGTGAACTGATGATCTGGTGGTATGCGGTGGGTAGGGCCCAGTCTGAACCTGAGACTGCGTACAGATGGATAATGCTAACCTGCAAGCTAGCTAGAAACCCAACAAGGAAGTGCTCAGTTTGTCTCCAACTCTCTCTGGCTCCTTCTGACTTCCATGTAAAAGTAAACTCCTCCAGCTCAGTAACTGTTTATATTTATCTCTCTCTGTAATCCTGGTGTTTATATTTTGATATTGTCTTCCAGATATGACCCTTATAAAGATTAACCAATCAGAGGCCTTCATTTGCTGCGGGAATTTCAGCTTGCCCGAGCAACCGTATTAGTGAAGCAGATGCATACACAGGGAGAACATGCAAACTCAACACAGAAAGGGCCTGTCTGGAAAAGGAATTTAACCCAGGACCAGGCACAAACAGTTAGCACAAACAGTTAGCACAAACAGTTAACAAAAGCACTTTTTTGAAGCTAGAAATAATGAAGTTAAAGGTGTACATATAGTGTTGTCCTGGGGTACCTATCCTTCATCCATCCAGCTCGTTCTCAGTCAGGCCAAGGCAAGTTTTTTTGTATAGCACAGTCAATCCACAAATAATCACAGTCTGTTCAAAAGAGAAATACAGGCCTCAAACCTGAAATATTTATGGAGCAATGGCCTCTAACTCATTTCATTTCCATTTATTTATTTTAATTTTGATCTATTTTTTTGCTTAAGATAGAAGGTCGAAGTTAGGTATCCCAGCTTTAACTCACAGCTGTATTAATCATGTAACATTATAATTATAATTCACAAAGGGTCTTTTCAAGTGTTTTATATTTAATTTATACTAAAGGTGGAGGTGAACTACTGTAATGTCCTGAAAACATGAATCTAAGTCATACGTTAGTTTAGCGCTCACTAATTAACAGCTAATCAAATGCTAATGAGTGTATAGTTGATGGTTAATTAGCTCTTATCTGGTATTTATTGAGCACTTATTAGTCCTTATTCTACATGGCCTTATTTAACATCTAACTTAATACTAACTGTCACTTTCCCATGTGGATTAGGATTAGCGCTAGAGCTAGGACGCACTAATTAGCAACGACTTAGCTGTTAATTATTTAGGGCTGAACAAAAATATTAATGAATGCGTTCTCTTTGTTCTCTTTAATGTTGATAAAACTGTTGTTGGTGATGATACAGTGGAACTCCTGTGAATCCATATACTGTAAACAGATGGACGATGCTAACCCGCTAGCTCAATGAAACCCGTTAAGGAAGTGCTCATGGACGAAGTTTTGCTCTGGTTTCGATTGACTTACATGGAAAAGTAAACTCCTCCAGCTCAGTAACTGTTTGTGTATCGGTCTATTTCAGGGGTGTCCAAACTTTTTAGTGACAGGGCCACTTTAGTCCACTGGACTTGACCAGGGGCCGAGACCCTGGATTATAAAACTGTTTTGATTGGATTTGGTTTTGGACTTTAAAATGGGGTCTGAGATACGTCCGTATTTGTTCACACCAAAGTTACATTTGCGCCGTATGGACGTCAAAAACAAATGCAGGTATATACAAATAAACTTAACGACTGCTTTACAACAAGCTACAGAAAAGACTATATTGGTGGAGCTGAAGTTGGCTGGATGACCCTGTGAAAGTGCCTCAGTGGCACTCTGTCAGAGGGACACAATAGTTTGGACACCCCTGGTTTTTTGCCACTGAACATCGCTGTGAAATATATATATTTTTGTAATCGTGGTTTTGACTTCACGTGGAAATTCTCAATGTACAGATTATATATTATATAAAGTTACAAGCTCTGCCCTGGGTTTTATTTCTTGTATGAGTAAAACTCCCAGAACAGTCATTTTGACTGCTCCCGTTCAAACCAACGGAAGTCTGAATAATTCCCCCAAAAAGTGTTTAGTTTTTCACGTTTTATCAAAAGTAAATCATTTTTACAGGGTTTACCTTTACTCACTGGTGAATATAACTGCAGCAGTTGTGACATGCTAATGCTAACTGCTGCTATGGTAACGAGCCAATAGATCCAGACCAGTCTAGAACCAGTCTAGGGTCAAGATAATGTCATAAATGAAACTACACTGAAATAAACAACATATAGAAACAGAAAAAGTCACAGAACAAGTTCAGAAGAAACATAATTACATTTCCACAAAGAAAGTCCTAGTTAGTTTTTTGTCAGATTTATTTAAAGTAAGTTATTATAAGGTGTTTAAACTAAGAAAACTGGTGAATATAACGGTCGGCAATAGAGCATAAACGGAATCGGGACAAAACCGGAAGTAACAATCCTACTTTCAAATTAGTTTTAGACTAAAAAGTCCTTATGTGATGACTGAGTAAGATGGTTAAGGTTAGAGTTAAGGCTGGGTTGGGCTTATTTTATGGGAATGGCTGGTTAAGTTTAGGCATGAATAGGTATTTTGTTTTATTTACTTCCGCTTCCGTCCCGATTCCGTGTATGATCTAGTGCTGACTGCTAATGCTAACAGCTAACAACTCAACAGTGTGTTACTATGGTAACTCTTCACAAGGGAAAAAACCAGTGTGGGCGGATCCCGGCACAAAAAGGTCCATGAGCACGTGTTCTGACATGCTGTAATCTCACTCCTTGCTTTTTTGGACCAGTCGAGTTCAGCCGCTGTGGACTTTTGAATACACTGGGGCCGGTGCAGGTAACGCTGATCCAAATGGGTTTTTCACCGTTTCCTGCCCCGCGGCCATTTTGAAACTGCCCACGGAAGAAAAAAGTGATGGCACATATGATTGAACCGAGAAGAGAGGCGTCACTTCCGCCGCTATAGTATTTACAGTCTATGGGGAAAACCGAACCTGACCAGGACCCATCCAGACCCGTCCAGATCCAGACCAGCCAACCAAAAAGGGCTACATTTGAATTTGGGAGTTAAATGTGTATTAAACTGTATAACTAAAGATATTGAAATAAACTACATTTAGAAACAGAAAACTTCACAAAGTAATGACGACCAAACATTAATGAGAAGCCTCTCTGTGTTGTTGTGTTACTCCCCATGTGTTGTTGTGTTACTCCCCATGTGTTATTGTGTTACTCCCAGTGTTGTTGTGTTACTTCCTGGAGGTTGCGGTGCCAGGGGCCTCGCAGCTCGGCCACATGCCTCGCGGTCCACTCACCGTCGCTGCGATAAGGAGGTGTCAGAGCCCAGAGTGTCGCGGACCAGCACTCATGAGACGCCTACGGAGAGTTGTGGAAACCTGGTGTCAGATTCCTGGTCTCCAACAATAACTGACTATTGAATATTACCCTGATGCCCTCTGAGACACACACAGACACACACTCAGAGAGACACACACACACACACAGAGACAAACACTCAGAGAGACTATTGCCCTGATGCCCTCTGATGGTCCTCTTCCTGCTCACTGAAAGCACTATCAGGGCCCCATAGAGAGACACACACACACACACACACACACACCAGAGAGACAGACATACACCACAGAGAGAGACGGACACACACACACACCACAGATACTCACACACACACGCACACCACAGATACTCACACCCACCTACACACACCACAGAGACACACACACAGAGACACACACCACAGAGAGAGACGGAGATACACATACAACACAGAGACACACACACACAGAGACACACACTACAGAGAAAGACAGAGATACACACCACACAGAGACACACGTCACAGAGACACACACCACATGGACACACACAGAGATACACACACCACAGCGATACACACACCACACAGAGAGAGTCACACCTCAAAGACACACACAGAGAGGCACACACATACCACAGACACACACACACGCACACCACAGATACACACACCATAGAGACACTCACCACAGAGTGACACCCCACAGATACACATATCATAGAGAGACACACCACACACAGAGACTCACACCACAGAGAGACACACCATAGCGACACGCACACCACAGATACACACACCATAGAGACTCACACCATAGAGACTCACACCACAGAGAGACACACCATAGCGACACGCACACACACCACACAGAGAAACACAGACACACACTCACACACCACAGTCCCTCTTCGTCCTGGTTCTAAAGTGTTCTAACTGACCAAAATGTTGCTGGAAGCCATGGTTACCAAGGAATGTCCCTGGATACTGGTTCATTGTGGGTTGGTTTCCAAGATACGGTACCAGATACTAAAGCCATACTCTACTCTACCATAATCTAGTGTACTCTACAGTACTCCACTCTACTGTACTCTAGTCTAGTGTACTCTCTCTTCTCTACTGTACTCGTCTGTACTCTCTCTTCTCTTCTGTACTCTACTCTACTGTAGTGTACTCTATTTGGCTCTAGTCTACCTGGTTGTGTTTCCATTACGCTCTAGTATCTCGTTCCTAGCAACCTGCCTACAACAAACCAGGATCCCAAGAAGTTGTTTGGTAGCCATGACTTCCCACAGCTCTCTGGCCAATCACTGTCAGTTAGAACTCTTTAGCACCAGCTCGGCCTGGATAGAACCAGGACCAAGTGGGACTAAAGAAGGACCTGGTACTGGTCACACAGAATGAATGAATGAATGTTTTAAATTGCTGGTTAATCACACACAGAAACAAGTCAGAGAAAATGAGAGAACTGTGCAGCTTCGAAACTGCACTGCGCATGCGCGTCTGTGGGTGGAGTTTTTTTCTTGTTTGTTTTCGTGGGAGGGAAGCTAATGCTAACCTGCTAACTCACCCAGAGCCCTTCGACAGCGCCAGCGGGAAAACTCCTCATTTTACAGTTTTATAACAGAGCGAACGGAGAACGCCCTTTCTGGTACGTGTCTGTGGATGTTATAACTTAAATAATGTTAAACTCAAAAGAGCAGAAGCGCTGTTAGTGGCGTCTTGTAGCGTTAGCAATTAGCATCGGCGCAAGTTAGCCGAAAATCACAGCCACTCACGCTGATCGCAGCAAAGTCTACACATGCGTTAGGTAAAGCGTGTTAATACTCCTATCCCATTGAGTCCGTGGGTGCACACAATAAAACACTCAACCTGGAAATGAAATCACTGTTAATCTGTGCTGTGGATGCTCCGCTAGCGTTAGCCACACAAGCTGACATGCATTATGACTGCACATCTCACTGAGTTTATGTAGTAAAGTGAACATTACACTCACGTTCACAGACATCACTGACGAGACATATCACAGACATCACAGACCGTCACAATGCACGGCGTTGGTCTCACTATACAAGAATGTGCGTGAGGTTCATTGAGTATTCGAAGGGCTAATTTTGTGTGTGTGTGAGTATTCTAAACTGTGTGTGTAAATGCAATATTAATGCGTGTATATCAGTGTAAAGTGTGTGTGTGTGTGTGTGTGTGTGTGTGTGTGTGTATTCGTGTAAAGTGTCTGTGTATAGATGTTAATGTAAATTGTGTGTATGTATTGATACAAAGTGAGAAAGTGTGCTGATGTTTATGTAAAGTTTGTCTTTATTATAATATAAAGTGTGTTTTAAATTGGTCCTAGAGTCTAATAAAGTTGAATTGAATTGTGTGTGTAGATGTTAATGTAAAGTGCATTTACATGTACAGTGTGTTTGAGAACATGTATAGTACATAGTAAAGTGTGTGTGCTCACAGTTACTAACAGTCTCCCCCACCAGGTGCACGCAGACTCCTCCCGTGTCCCTTCAGGGTGGAAGCTCAGGCCCAACATGTCGATCACTAACACTCCAACGAGCAATGACGCCTGCCTCAGCATCGTGCACAGCCTCATGTGCCATCGTCAGGGAGGAGAGAGCGAGAGCTTTGCTAAAAGAGCCATCGAGAGCCTCGTCAAGAAGCTGAAGGAGAAGAAGGACGAGCTGGATTCTCTCATCACCGCCATCACCACCAACGGCGCTCACCCCAGTAAATGTGTCACAATACAGCGCACTCTGGACGGGCGGCTGCAGGTGAGATTCACTTTAGTATATACCATAGACTGTATATATTAACGGACAGAGTCACGCCTATCTCCGCCGTTCTAACTAATGGGCCAAAAAATGTGCTTTACTGGAGCTATCCAAAATGGCCGCGAGTGGTCCCGCCCACAAGAAAATTGTGAAAAACCGCATCTGCGCATGCGTCAGCCGGCGCGGCTCCATTCATTTGAACGAGAGACTTCAAAAATTCACAGCAAGTAAACTAGAGTGGACCAAAAAATTCACCCCCTCAGCATTGACACACATGTGGAACGGAGCTTTGGGCCAAGAGCCAACTTTTGGTCCATCCTGTAAAGATGTTTTTGAGAGGTCTGCTAACGCAATATGTTAGCAAAGGTTAATTCTTCTTCTGGGTCTACCCACATTGGCCCGGGGTGGTATTGCAAGCATGTCAGCGCACGTCATTTTTGATACTTTTGAGCTGGGACCCGCCCCCACTGGTATATACTCATCCTTCATTCGTCTAACAGCGGGGAAATGTCAGTGTTGCATCACAAGTTACAAAACAGTGGGAAAGAGGAGCACACAGCACAAGATAAATCTAACACTAACATACAATACAATCTCACTTTAGCATCATAAAGAAGCTAGTCTAAAGTCCTGTATATTCTAGTGCAGAAGTATAGTAGTATATTTACATGTGTGCATTAGCAGCACGACACATGTGGTTCTGTATTGCACATTCTGATATTATCCTGATGATTATTGCACAGATGAGTAGAGGTCTGACCCTGTGTGTTCTCTGCCCCAGGTGGCCGGGCGTAAAGGCTTCCCACACGTGGTCTACGCCCGGCTCTGGAGGTGGCCCGATCTTCACAAGAATGAGCTGAAGCATGTCAAGTATTGTCAGTACGCCTTCGACCTGAAGTGTGACAACGTGTGTGTGAACCCGTACCACTACGAGAGGGTGGTGTCCCCGGGCATCGGTGTGTGTCCGGCACTGGTCACGTTTCTGGTGCTCGGTTCTGTCGTGATAATGTGGGTTTGTGTTTTTTCCTTTTGCAGATTTGTCGGGGCTGACCTTGTCCAGTTCAGGTAAAAGACACTAAGAAGGTTCTTTCTCTCTTGTCTCTCTCTGGTCTCAGGTCTCTCTCTCTTTGGTCTCTCTCTGGTCTCTATCTCTATAGCAGTGTTGTGCGTGAACGAGTTCAAAAGAACGCGTTCATTGTAGGGTTGGGCGATATGGGCCTCAGCATGTATCACGATTTTTGTTGGTATGTATCACGATATGACGATATGATAATTTTAACAAAGCCTCTTATAAAAGCTATAAAAACTTAGCACTGATAATTTTAAACACACTTGCCTCAAAGTGCATTTACTGATTTATTGGCAGCAAAATGTGCAATACAGCTATTGTATATAAAACATATTAACAAAACTGAATTGTAGAGAATTCTGTTTTGTACATACTGAAAATTGCAGGCATCAGGTAATAAAGGTGAACATTTGTAATTTGTAAAATATATAAAAGTTTGTCCTTTGTAATATAAAAAGTGTAGCATTATCAAATAATTATTTGATCACTTTGGCTTATGTTTCCTAATCCCAATATAGTCAAAATGATCAAATACTGTATATATTTTTTGTATCCTTTTGCGTTTCTATAATTATGTAATTATAACTTATTTTTAATTATATTGCAATGTAGACAAACACATCCATTGAAGTAAAATGAATGACAGTAAACGGTAAATAAAGCTTACCAATGGCACTATGAGAGAGAGAGAGAGCGAGTGTCCGAAGCAAGCCACTCCAGTCCAGTTGTTTAGGGCAGCTGCTTTCACAACATTAGATCCACTGTCGATAGTTACACACAATTGCTTCTTTTTATCTAGTTCCCAAACTACTCCCATATGTTGAGGTAGCTCCGCGTTTTGGCACAATGTCTTCTACAATCTGCATGTCTTCACCATGGTCTTCACCGCCGCCCTCAGCCATGTTTGCTCTCTGCTCTGTTGTTGTTGTCCCTGCACGCCGCTCTGCTACACGTGCCGCGCAGATGCGTCATCAAAGTGCGCCGCACACAAACGTGTCTTCCGCTCGCTGTTTTCAGTGTTAAATGATCGTTTTCACCGGTATAAGGCATTTTCTTATAATTTAATTTACTTATACCGGTATACCGGTACAAAAAAAATATCGCCCAACCCTAGTTCATTGAACACGCTCATTTTTTCGTGAACGTTGAACTGAACGCAACACATTTTTAAAAAAAAAACTTGAACGTGAATTAGTTCATTTTATGTGTCATGAACTTTGGAATCTGTTTTCTCTTTTGAAATGCAACGAGAGAAAGTTCCTCCCTCCTGTATTCTCGCACTTTTTCCGCCGAAATCTAAAAAATCCTACGGTTTCCACCATCTGTGAACGCACCCCGACTCTGTTGCGGTGCGGCGCTGTGAGCTGGTGCTTTTCACATGTGCCCGAGTCGTGATGAAAACACAGGGTGAGTTAGCGACAAAGTTTACACCGTTTACATTTGACATAAAGTATAGACACACGCACTGCAGCGCATTACTGTCTATAGTTTATGAGCAGAGATGGGACAACTCTGTTTGGCTCCCATTGAAAACCATGTAAATCTTGTCTGTTTTGTAGTCAAAGAGCTCTCCTCCTGTGGGTGTACAGCAGATATATATAGCTCGTAGTGTGAAAAAAATATTTAAGTATCTCACGAAAAAAGTAAAATGAACTGAACTTTGAACTAGTTCAGAATTAAAAATGTGAACTTTGAACGTGAACTGTTCACTTTGAGCATGTATGAACTGAACTTGAACTAGTTCAGAAAAGTTGTGAACTGGCACAACACTGCTCTATAGTCTCTTCCTCTTTGGTCTCTCTCTGGTCCCTTTCTCTGGTCTCTCTTGCCGCTTTTCCCCAGTCCTAGTACGGTACGTTTTGACTCTACACGGCGCGCCATGGCCCAGTTCGCGTGCTTTTCCACCAAAAATAGTACCCCCAGTATGTCCTCAGCGTTTTCAGACCATGTCATTTACGTGTGACGCGTAACTAGTACTGGTGCGGTGCATGGATTTATAATATTAGCAAGTGTGGATATGATATTGGTAGCGTTTGTAAATATTATTCTGATGATGAATTTAATTTACACTACAATTCATGTGATGGTACAGGCCTATCTTTTGTTCATTTTAATGTTAGAAGCCTTTATGCCAATTTCAGTAAAATTAAAGACTATTTGAATTTACTTGCCTGCCGATTTAAAATAATTGCTCTTTCCGAAACGTGGCTTAATGATGAGAAAGGTGCAGATTTTGAAGTGGGTGGATACAACTTGTATTATACAAACCGCCCAGGAAAGAGAGGGGGAGGTGTGGCGTTGTATGTTGATAATAATTTGAAATGCAACATTAGTGAAACGATGTCTATTGCTATAGATGGTATTATGGAAAGTGTGGCTGTTGAGATTGAGATGGAGAAAGGCAGGAATGTGATTTCTGCGTGCATTTACACTGCACAAGGCTCAAATGTGGATGCTTTTCGGAATTGTTTTGAAAGTTTACTCGATATTTAGAATAATCAGAAGACCCTTTTAATAGGTGGTGATTTCAATGTTGATTTTTTAAATCCATCTAAATGCAAAGTTACTTCTGATTTCTTTGCTGCATTATATTCACGGTCCCTCTTTCCATTGATTTCACATCCAAGCAGAATCACCAGTTCTTGTTCTACATTAATTGACAATATTATCACAAATGATACAAATCACATTGTTCAAAGTGGCTTATTGATAAATGACATCAGCAATCACTTGCCTGTTTTTACCTTCTTTGATTTGCAGCTTACAAAACATGAGCGTTTAAATCAGCCCACATACTTCAGAGTCAGAACTGAGGAAGCGATTCATGGATTTAGAAGCGAACTTGCAAAACAAGACTGGTCTGAAGTTTATGTGGCTGATGTGAATGAGGCTTATGGATCTTTTTTAAATACTTTTTTGTCACTTTATAACAAATGGTGTCCAATGAAGCTTTCTTAAAAAATCTTTAAAAGGGAAAAACCTTGGTTTACTAAAGGAATAATAAGAGCATGCCAAAAGAAAAACAAACTGTATAAAAACTATTTAAAAAAACGGACCTCAGATAGTGAGATCAAATACAAAACATATAAAAATAAATTAACGGGCATTATAAGAAATGCAGAGAAGGACTATTATAATAGAAAACTGAGAGAAAATCATGGAAACATGAAAGCAACATGGAATGTACTGAATAAAGTAATAAGACCATACTCTAGACAAGAAAAGATACCAGATCATTTCATTGAGAAGGATGTTGTGCATAACAACAGCAAAAGTATTGCCAATAAATTTAATTTGTTTTTTACAAATATTGGAGCCAATATTGCGAACACTATGAATGCAACTCACGGAAATAAAACGTGCAAATTGGGAAGCAGAATCATTCAGTCCCTGTTTGTTGAAGAGATCAGTGAATATGACATCTTATCTATTGTAAATAAATGTAAAAATAAAACCTCCACAGACAGTGATGGACTAGACATGACAATTATTAAAAGAACTATTGACTGCATTGTTAAACCACTGACTTTCATTTGTAATCTGTCCATACAAACTGGTGTTTTTCCTGAACAAATAAAAGTTGCTAAAGTAATTCCGCTGTTTAAAGATGGAGACAAGCACCTATTTAACAATTACAGACCAGTGTCGCTGCTCTCACAGTTTTCTAAAGTCCTTGAGAAATGGTTTGCACAAAAATTAACAAACTTTTTAGATAAACATAAATTACTCTCTGACAAACAGTATGGATTCCGATCACAAAGATCCACAAGCCTAGCGCTCTCTGCACTGGTGGAAAATATTACAGCTGCAATTGAAAGAAAAGAGTACACTGTAGGTGTGTTTATTGACCTACGCAAAGCATTTGATACCATAAATCATGATTTGTTACTGGCAAAATCATCCAACTATGGAATTAAGGGGAAAACACATCAGTGGCTTCAAAGTTATATTACAAACCGTAAGCAGTATGTACATATCAACGGGTTAGATTCTGAATGTAGAGAGGTCATATGTGGTGTTCCGCAAGGGTCTGTTTTAGGGCCATTGCTTTTTATTTTGTTTATTAATGACATTTGTGACTCAACAAACAGGTTACATTTTTTGTTGTTCGCTGATGACACCAGTATATTTCAATCAGGAAGTGATTTGTTGGAGCTATCGGAAAGAATTGAAGAAGAAATGTTAAAAGTGAGAAATTGGTTTAACGAAAATAAGTTATCTTTAAATTGGGATAAAACAAACTATATGATTTTCAGTAAACATAGCAAAATTGATAATGTGAAAATTACAATTGATGGAGTCGGTATAACAAGAGTCGAGGAAGTTAAGTTTCTAGGTGTTGTTTTAGACAAAAAATTAAAGTGGAAAGCTCATATTGAGTATGTAAAAAGAAAGGTTAGCAAAAGTATTGGCATTGTATATAAAGTTAGAGATTTGTTTGATTGTAGCTTGTTGAGGATGCTTTATTCCTCAATGATTCTCCCATATCTCAGTTATTGTGCTGAGGTCTGGGGTAACACATATACTTATACCACCAAGCCCTTGTTCCTGCTGCAAAAAAGAGCAATTAGAATCATCAGTAAGAAAGGTTATAGAGAGCACACTAATCCTTTATTTATTGAAAATAAACTTCTTAAATTTAAGGATCTCGTCGACTTAAAAATGTTGATTATTATGTGGAAAGCTAAACATAGAAAATTGCCAAATGATGTTCAAAGTAATTTTGTTGCACATGACGCTTCCCATAGAAGAAAATATAATTTTCGGAACATGTTTGCAGGAACATCGGTGAAACGGAAATGTCCGTCTGTTTACGGAGTCAAATTGTGGAATTCTTTAAGTGTGGAATTTAAATGTTGTACAAGTGTTTACAAATTCAAAAAAATGTACAAAGACAAAATTCAGTGACAACTGAAGTGAACTGTAAGACGAGCTGTTTTGTTATGTTTTGTGACCTGGTGATGAGTTGGGGTATAATGATGGGGATTTCTGATTTTATTTTGTAAATTTGCTAATGGGAACAGATATTACAAGATTAATCTTCATTCTGTTCCTTTTTGTTCATGTATGGATTTAAAAAAAAAAATGGTGTAATGGCCTGACATGACATCATCTCATCTTCGCCTGTGGTCCCGTTTGGGACATAGGCCGCCGACCAGCTTCCTCCAGGCATCTCGGTTCTGGGCGAGTCTCTCCAGCTGCCCCCACGTCTTTTCCATCTGCTTGACATCTGCGTCCAGATCTCGGCGCCAGGTGTTTCTAGGTCGCCCTCTCTTCCTCTTTCCTTGAGGATTCCAGGTGAGAGATTGTCTAGTTATACTGGACGCGGACTTGCGGAGGGTGTGACCTATCCATCGCCAGCGTCTCTGAAGGATAGCTTCGTCAACGGGCTGCTGGTTCGTTTTCGTCCATAATTCTTCATTGGATATCTTTTCTGGCCATCGGATTTTGAGGATCTTCCTGAGGCAGGAGTTAATGAAGACCTGGATTCTCTTTATGGTGACCACAGTGGTTCTCCAGGTCTCTGCTCCATAGAGGAGTATTGGCTTCACGATGGTATTGAAGAGCCTGATCTTGGTGGTGATGCTAATTGTGCTGGATCCCCAGATATTCTTCAGCTGTTGGAAGGCTGTTCGCGCTTTACCGATGCGGGTTCTGACATCTTCATCCGTTCCCCCATATTTATCCAGGATGCTGCCGAGATATGTAAAGCTGTCTACCTCCTCCAGCGCTTCGCCTTGGACTGTGATGGGTGTGTTGTTGGATGCATTGATCTTAAACACCTTGCTCTTCCCTCTGTTGATGTGGAGGCCCAGTCTAGCGGAGTTGTTTGCTACCCTGCTGGTCTTTTCCTGCATCTGTTGATGGGTGTGGGAGAGAAGGGCCAAATCGTCAGCAAAGTCTAGATCATCTAACTGTTCCCAGAGTGTCCACTGGATTCCATTTCGCATCTGGTTCGTCGACGTCTTCATTACCCAGTCTATGGCCAGCAAGAATAGGCAAGGTGAGAGTAAGCAGCCTTGCCTCACTCCGGTTCTCACTCCAAAGGCGTCAGTGGGCTGTCTGCCATGGACGATTCTACAGGTCGTCCCTTCGTAAGATTTCCTGATGATGTTGGTGATCTTTTCTGGCACACCGTAGTGTCTCAGTAGTTTCCATAGGGATTGCCGGTCCACGCTGTCGAACGCTTTTTCGTAGTCGATGAAGTTGACGTACATGGGCGAATTCCATTCCAAGGATTGTTCCAGAATGATGCGCAGGGTTGCGATCTGGTCCGTGCACGATCTCTCTTTTCGGAAGCCGGCTTGTTGGTCACGGAGATGCGGGTCCACTGCGTCTTTCATTCGGTTCAGCAGGATGCGGTTAAACACTTTTCCTGGTATGGACAACAGCGTTATTCCCCTGTAGTTGGAGCATGAACTGAGGTCACCTTTCTTTGGGAGCTTGATGAGATATCCCTCTTTCCACTCTGCTGGTATCTCTTCTTCTTCCCATATCTTGATGAAGAGCGGGTAGAATAGCTCTACACAAGTATCGACGTCAGCCTTCAGCGCTTCTGCCGGTATGCTGTCGGGACCTGCAGACTTGCCGTTCTTCAATTGCTTGATGGCGCTGTGTATTTCTTCCTTCGTGTGTGCGTAGCACTTGATTGGAAGATCACTAGTGGCTGGCAGTATCTCCGGTGGGTTTTCAGGAGCTGGCCTGTTCAGTAGCTCCTGGAAGTGCTCAATCCACCTCTTTTTCTGCCCTTCGTCATCGGCTATTGTTCCTCCGTTCTTGTCCCTTACTGGTCTCTCCGGTTTGGCAAACTTTCCTGTGATTCTCTTGCTGATGGAATACAGATCCTTGGTTCTGTGATGGAGAGCTGCCTCCTCTGCCTCTGTTGCCAGTGCCTCTAAGTAGTTACGCTTGTCTGTTCTAATACTTCTTTTGACGTTCCTATTTGCTTCTGCGTACTCTTCTTGTGCTTTTGCCTTTGTTGCTCTTGTTTTGCTGTTGTTGACATTTTCTTTCTTTTTTCTTCTTTCTTTAACTCTCTGCAGCGTCTCTGTTGATATCCACTCCTTGTGTGTGTAGGACTTGGGGCCCAGTACTTCTTGGCATGTTGATGTCACTGCTACTTTTACTTTCTGCCACTTTTGCTCTGTCGTCTCTTCTCCAAGCAGTTCCCCTAAGGCCTGAAACTTGTTGGAGAGAGTGACCTTGAACTCTTCTTGCTTCCTGGTGTCTTTCAGTGCGGCAGTATTGTATCGCTGGCGTTGGCTAAGCCCCCCTGTCCAACTCTTCTTAAGTTTCAGTTTCAATCGGGCGACAAGTAGATGATGGTCAGAAGCAACATCTGCTCCTCTCTTGACACGTACATCCTGAAGAGAGCGACGAAACTTCCTCCCAATGCATATGTGGTCTATCTGGTTCTCTGTTGACATGTCTGGTGACACCCAAGTTACCTTGTGTATCTTTCTGTGGTGGAAAACACTTCCTCCGATGACCAGGTTACTTGCGGCGCACAGGTCGGCGAATCTCTCACCGTTTTCGTTCATTTCACCTAGCCCTTGTTTCCCCATGGTCTCCTCATATCCTGGGTTATCACTGCCGATCTTGGCATTGAAGTCTCCCATTAGAATTATGATATTTCTCCTTGGTCTGTCTTGTATGATGGTTGACAACCTGTTGTAGAAGTTGTCCTTCTCCTCTTCCTCACTGTCGTTCGTCGGGGCGTAGCATTGGATTATGTCCACCCGGACATAATCCACCCGGGCCTCCCACCCGACGAGTGACATGACATGAGCAAATAAATAAAAAAATAAAAAAATTAAGTGAGTTAAGTCAATAGAAAATTCAGCACAGCACGAGTAGTTTTTGAAAATGCTTATGTCTTAAAAGAATGACTCGGAAACTGCTAAGTCAATGGTGCTGAATGCTCTGTACAATCTGAATGGACTTGTAGCAACAGCAGCCTGTGTAGCAGAGGAGGAGGGCTGCATGTCCGAGGATACTGCTAGGCTATAGCTAATGCTAGCGCTAGCTCGAGACTCAGCTCACTCACTAACCCTGGATTCCAAAGCTACAACTGTACTACACTTAACACAAATATCACTGCCATCAGAGGAGGATCCAGGGTTTAAACTCGTCATCAGGCAACTCGAGCAGTAAAGGACCGAGGGAGAGACAGCGGCAGCCATAGGGGTAGCGAGTTAGCGGCTAGGCTAAGCTAGGTAGTCTGCTAGACTACAGCAGACTCCGAGACCAGACAAACAATCGATGCCCAAACCTCAGCTACAATTATAATAAATTAAGGAAACACTTGATACAATCACAGATTTATTGAAAACAAAAGTAAAGTGCAAAACCAACAGTTTACAAAGTCAAAAGTACGTATGTCTGAGACCAGGTCCAGATGAGAATACTCCGGTCACTCATTACTCGTTGGTAATCTCCACACTTATGGAAAGGGATTCTAAAAACAAATATACACACGACAACTTAAATACATGCACAAAACAGAATGACAACACGTGGATACTATAGATAATACGAGATAAAGCACAGTAGCACAGGGAGGACGTTAGCTTAGCTGCTATCGATAGCTAAATGAAGCTAATTGTAGCTAGCTCACTGTGTACAACAGACAATCAAATATGTACACAGTAAATACATTACAGTGAGAGCTTTAACGGGATTTGTAGCTAACCAGTTATTTCCAGGATTACCACAGACTAGTCACAAATCCAGAGCGATCTCCCTGAAAACTGTGTTGAGCCTCGAGCTGCCTTTGAATTCTTTCTTTTGGCCTGAAGAGAGGAACGTGTGGACATCTTCCACCGACCAGGACCAGAACTTTTGGGGCTTTTGGTGCAATTCCATTTCTCTGGAGTGAGGAGGACGTAATGTAGCCAAAGCAGAGCAGAGCAGAGCAGCCAGTTTTAAAGATGGCGGTTGAGTTGTTTTTCCCAAAGGGTCAGTGACGACACTCGTTGACCAATCAGTGTAAGGCAGTGGGCCGACGTGACGTCATGGCACGGGTACTATGGGGATGGAACCACGGCTGAGGCAGTACGGAAAAGTACTCAAATCTCCCATACCATCCACTAGTGGAAAAGCAAAATAACCGTGCTGAAGCGTACTGTACTGTACCGTACTGATACTGTGGAAAAGCGGCATCTGTATAGTCTCTCTCTCTCTGGTCTCTCTTTGGTCTCTCTTTGGTCTCTCTCTGGTCTCTCTCTGGTCTCTCTCTGGTCTCTCTCTGGTCTCTCTTTGGTCTCTCTCTGGTCTCTCTCTGGTCTCTTTCTGGTCTCTTCCCTGGTCTCTCTCTGGTCTCTCTTTGGTCTCTCTCTGGTCTCTTTGGTCTCTCTTTGATCTCTCTCTGATCTCTCTCTGGTCTCTCTCTGGTCTCTTCCCTGGTCTCTCTCTGGTCTCTCTTTGGTCTCTCTTTGGTCTCTCTTTGGTCTCTCTCTGGTCTCTTCCCTGGTCTCGTCCCTGGTCTCTCTCTGGTCTCTCTTTGGTCTCTCTCTGGTCTCTCTCTGGTCTCTCTCTGGTCTCTCTCTGGTCTCTCTCTGGTCTCTCTTTGGTCTCTCTCTGGTCTCTTCCCTGGTCTCTCTCTGGTCTCTTCCCTGGTCTCTTCCTGGTCTCTCTCTGGTCTCTCTCTGGTCTCTCTTTGGTCTCTCTCTGGTCTCTCTTTGGTCTCTCTTTGGTCTCTCTTTGGTCTCTCTTTGGTCTCTTCTCTGGTCTCTTCTCTGGTCTCTTCTCTGGTCTCTTCTCTGATCCCTCTTTGGTCTCTTTTTGGTCTCTCTCTGGTCTCTCTGATCTCTTTCTGGTCTTTAAACATAAGCAAGTTTAACCTTCAAAAGCCGGACACTAGAAACACACGTGTGAAAAGGAATTGCACTTTCTCTCAGGTCCTCTTCTGGTAAAAGATGAGTACGACTACGACAACCAGCAGTCCCACTCCAGCTCCGAGTCCCACCTCCAGACCATCCAGCATCCGCCATCGAGACCTGGACCAGCGGAGACCTTCGGCTCTCCTGCTCTGCTGCCTCCTTCAGACGGCAGCAGCTCGGCCTCCACCTCAGCCTTCTCCACCATCACAGCTGGACCATCGAGTGAGCACTCTCTCTGTCTGTCTCTGTCTCTCGCTCTGGTCTCTCTCTGGTCTCTTTCTGGTCTCTCTCAGGTCTTACTCTGGTCTCTCTCTGGTCTCTCTCTGGTCTCTCTCTGGTCTCTCTCTGGTCTCTCTCTGGTCTCTCTCTGGTCTCTCTCTGCTCTCTCCCTGTCTCTCGCTCTAGTCTTGCTCTGGTCTCTTTCTGGTCTCTCTCTGGTCTCTCTCTGCTCTGTCTCTGTCTGTCTCTGTCTCTTGCTCTCTGTCTCTCGCTCTGGTCTCTTTCTGGTCTCTCTCTCACTGGTCTCTCTCTGCGCTCTCTCTCTCTGCTCTCTGCTCTCTCTCTCTCTCTGGTCTACCTCTGGTCTACCTCTGGTCTACCTCTGGTCTATCTCTGGTCTATCTCTGGTCTATCTCTGGTCTATCTCTGGTCTATCTCTGGTCTATCTCTGGTCTATCTCTGGTCTATCTCTGGTCTATCTCTGGTCTATCTCTGGTCTATCTCTGGTCTATCTCTGGTCTATCTCTGGTCTATCTCTGGTCTATCTCTGGTCTCTCTCTGGTCTCTCTCTGGTCTCTCTCTGGTCTCTCTCTGGTCTCTCTCTGGTCTCTCTCTGGTCTCTCTCTGGTCTCTCTCTGGTCTCTCTCTCTCTGGTGTGATATTGAGCAGAGTGTGTTTGAGCAGATTCCACCCCCGGCTGGAGCAGAGGCAGTAGCTTCACCCCAGCGGTGCCCCAACATCAGAACGGTCACCTGCAGCACCACCCTCCGATGCCGCACACGGGACACTACTGTACGGTTCGGTTCTATGCAGTTTCTCTCGTTTTTTGTGTGAAATTTAACACTCCTTTTCTTCCAGGGTCCGTCACCAACGAGATCTCCTTCCAGCCGCCCATCTCCAATCACCCTGGTGTGTAGCAGATGTGTTTTCTGTAGACCCAGGACCGAGGCTGTAGACCCAGGACTGAGGCTGTAGACCCAGGACTGAGGCTGCAGACCCAGGACCGAGGCTGTAGACCCAGGACTGAGGCTGCAGACCCAGGACTGAGGCTGTGGATCCAGGACTGAGGCTGTAGACCCAGGACCGAGGCTGTAGACCCAGGACTGAGGCTGTAGACCCAGGACTGAGACTGTGGATCCAGGACTGAGGCTGTGGATCCAGGACTGAGGCTGTAGACCCAGGACCGAGGCTGTAGACCCAGGACTGAGGCTGCAGACCCAGGACTGAGACTGTGGATCCAGGACTGAGGCTGTGGATCCAGGACCGAGGCTGTGGATCCAGGACTGAGGCTATAGACCCAGGACTGAGGCTGTAGACCCAGGACTGAGACTGTAGACCCAGGACTGAGGACTGAGGCTGTAGACCCAGGACTGAGGCTGTAGACCCAGGACTGAGGCTGCAGACCCAGGACTGAGACTGTGGATCCAGCACTGAGGCTGTGGATCCAGGACCGAGGCTGTGGATCCAGGACCGAGGCTGTAGACCCAGGACTGAGGCTGCAGACCCAGGACTGAGGCTGTAGACCCAGGACTGAGGCTGTGGATCCAGGACTGAGGCTGTAGACCCAGGACCGAGGCTGTAGACCCAGGACTGAGACTGTGGATCCAGGACTGAGGCTGTAGACCCAGGACTGAGACTGTAGACCCAGGACTGAGGCTGCAGACCCAGGACTGAGACTGTGGATCCAGGACTGAGGCTGTAGACCCAGGACTGAGACTGTAGACCCAGGACTGAGGACTGAGACTGTAGACCCAGGACTGAGGCTGTGGATCCAGGACTGAGGCTGTAGACCCAGGACTGAGGCTGTGGATCCAGGACTGAGGCTGTGGATCCAGGACTGAGGCTGCAGACCCAGGACTGAGACTGTAGACCCAGGACTGAGGACTGAGGCTGTAGACCCAGGACTGAGGACTGAGGCTTTAGACCCAGGACTGAGGACTGAGGCTTTAGACCCAGGACTGAGGACTGAGGCTTTAGACCCAGGACTGAGGACTGAGGACTGAGGCTGTAGACCCAGGACACAGGCTGTAGACCCAGGACAGAGGCTATAGACCCAGGACTGAGGCTGTAGACCCAGGACTGAGGCTGTAGACCCAGGACACAGGCTGTAGACCCAGGACAGAGGCTGTAGACCCAGGACAGAGGCTGTAGACCCAGGACTGAGGACTGAGGCTGTAGACCCAGGACACAGGCTGTAGACCCAGGACAGAGGCTGTAGACCCAGGACAGAGGCTGTAGACCCAGGACTGAGGACTGAGGCTTTAGACCCAGGACTGAGGCTGTAGACCCAGGACACAGGCTGTAGACCCAGGACTGAGGCTGTAGACCCAGGACACAGGCTGTAGACCCAGGACAGAGGCTATAGACCCAGGACTGAGGCTATAGACCCAGGGCCGAGGCTGTAGACCCAGGACACAGGCTGTAGACCCAGGACTGAGGCTGTAGATCCAGGACTGAGGCTGTAGACCCAGGACTGAGGCTGTAGACCCAGGACTGAGGCTGTAGACCCAGGACTGAGGCATGTGACACACATTTATAGCTGAGGCTGATTTTCAAATGTCTGTCGCGAGAAGAACTTTTAACACAATTAAAAACACATTTTACATAGTTTTGTTCACATTTTACAAAGGCAGCTGTCCCAGACTCATCAAAACTGGTTTGTTTTAAGAGATTTGTGTTTAAAACCAGCCCAGACCCAGTTCAGTTTAGGCTGAGATCTTAGAGTCCATGATGGCGGCGTATCGTCCACGACGTAGAGACGAGAGAACAAGATGGACTTTATTTTATTTATTTATTTATTTGAAATGGGACAGTGCTAAATTAATCAACACTATACAATGTACAGTAGCTCCTTTTGCTCTGATACTGCTTCACTCTTGGCATTCTCTGGATGAGCTTCAACAGGACCTGAAATGGTCTCCAACAGTCTGGAAGGAGTTCCCATGATGCTTAGCACTTGTTGGCCCCTTCACTCTGTGCTCCAGCCCCAAAACCATCTGGACTGGGTTCAGGTCCAAAACCATCTGGACTGGGTTCAGGTCCAAAACCATCTGGACTGGGTTCAGGTCCAAAACCATCTGGACTGGGTTCAGGTCCAAAACCATCTGGACTGGGTTCAGGTCCAAAACCATCTGGACTGGGTTCAGGTCCAAAACCATCTGGACTGGGTTCAGGTCCAAAACCATCTTGACTGGGTTCAGGTCCAAAACCATCTGGACTGGGTTCAGGTCCAAAACCATCTGGACTGGGTTCAGGTCCAAAACCATCTGGACTGGGTTCAGGTCCAAAACCATCTGGACTGGGTTCAGGTCCGGTGTCTGTGGAGGTGGACTGTTGTGTTGTTGTGTTTGTGATGAAGTCCGTTGTGCCGCAGACGCCCACTCTGCTGCTGACGCCCAGTCCTCTTCTGTCCAACATCCACTTCTGGTCCACGCTCAGTCCAGTCGCTCCTCTGAGTCCCGCCACCCGCCGCCAAGGAGCCCACCTGTTCCAGGTCAGTCCTGTTTATGATTCTCATTTTTGTAGTTCAAGTTTAGACCTGTTTTAGGCCCCGTCCCACTTCTCACTCTTGCCCTTAAAAAGCACACTTGCCCTAGAGTTTGCGTGTGCCCGCGGGAGTGGAAGGATGTCCCAATACTAAGGGAGAAGAGGCGAGGGCCTTCACAGCCCTAAAAACCAGCCTTGAGCGCAAGTGAGGTCCAGAGCTCACTCGCGAGCGTTATCCCATGAGGCATTAGGATAGCTGTTGGTAAAGCAGCAGTCGGACAAAGCCGTGCCACAATGAAAGAAAACAACATGAAACACCCGCGCACAAGATTGTGTGGAACATAAGCAAGCTCCAAAGTCTGTGCGAGTTTGTTTTTAAAGCGTGTGTTTGTGCCGTGTGCGGTGACGTTCGCTCCCGAAGCGGCTGCAGCGAGTGGCGTGAGGCTTCAGAGACGTGGAGCATGTTATTATTATAGATCCATGTTATTATCATAGATCCATGTTATTATTATAGATCCATGTTATTATAGATCCATGTTATTATAGATCCATGTTATATTATAGATACATGTTATTATAGATCCATGTTATTATAGATCCATGTTATTATTATAGATCCATGTTATTATAGATCCATGTTATTATTATAGATCCATGTTATTATTATAGATCCATGTTATTATTATAGATCCATGTTATTATCATAGATCCATGTTATTATTATAGATCCATGTTATTATTATAGATCCATGTTATTATAGATCCATGTTATTATTATAGATCCATGTTATTATCATAGATCCATGTTATTATTATAGATCCATGTTATTATTATAGATCCATGTTATTATTATAGATCCATGTTATTATCATAGATCCATGTTATTATTATAGATCCATGTTATTATTATAGATCCATGTATTATTATTATATTATAGATCCATGTTATTATTATAGATCCATGTTATTATTATAGATCCATGTTATTATTATAGATCCATGTTATTATTTTAGATCCATGTTATTATCATAGATCCATATGTTATTATCATAGATCCATGTTATTATTATAGATCCATGTTATTATCATAGATCCATGTTATTATTCATAGATCCATGTTATTATTATAGATCCATGTTATTATTATAGATCCATGTTATTATTATAGATCCATGTTATTATTATAGATCCATGTTATTATTATAGATCCATGTTATTATTATAGATCCATGTTATTATCATAGATCCATATGTTATTATCATAGATCCATGTTATTATTATAGATCCATGTTATTATCATAGATCCATGTTATTATATAGATCCATGTTATTATTATAGATCCATGTTATTATTATAGATCCATGTTATTATTATAGATCCATGTTATTATTATAGATCCATGTTATTATTATAGATCCATGTTATTATTATAGATCCATGTTATTATTATAGATCCATATGTTATTATCATAGATCCATGTTATTATTATAGATCCATGTTATTATCATAGATCCATGTTATTATTATAGATCCATGTTATTATTATAGATCCATGTTATTATTATAGATCCATGTTATTATTATAGATCCATGTTATTATTATAGATCCATGTTATTATTATAGATCCATGTTATTATTATAGATCCATGTTATTATTATAGATCCATGTTATTATCATAGATCCATATGTTATTATCATAGATCCATGTTATTATCATAGATCCATGTTATTATTATAGATCCATGTTATTATTATAGATCCATGTTATTATCATAGATCCATGTTATTATTATAGATCCATGTTATTATTATAGATCCATGTTATTATCATAGATCCATGTTATTATTATAGATCCATGTTATTATTATAGATCCATGTTATTATTATAGATCCATGTTATTATTATAGATCCATGTTATTATTATAGATCCATGTTATTATCATAGATCCATGTTATTATTGATAGATCCATGTTATTATATAGATCCATGTTATTATCATAGATCCATGTTATTATTATAGATCCATGTTATTATCATAGATCCATGTTATTATATGATCATGTTATTATATAGATCCATAGATCCATGTTATTATTATAGATCCATGTTATTATTATAGATCCATGTTATTATCATAGATCCATGTTATTATTATAGATCCATGTTATTATCATAGATCCATGTTATTATTATAGATCCATGTTATTATTATAGATCCATGTTATTATCATAGATCCATGCTATTATCATAGATCCATGTTATTATTATAGATCCATGTTATTATCATAGATCCATGTTATTATCATAGATCCATGTTATTATTATAGATCCATGTTATTATTATAGATCCATGTTATTATCATAGATCCATGTTATTATTATAGATCCATGTTATTATTATAGATCCATGTTATTATTATAGATCCATGTTATTATCATAGATCCATGTTATTATTATAGATCCATGTTATTATCATAGATCCATGTTATTATTATAGATCCATGTTATTATTATAGATCCATGTTATTATCATAGATCCATGTTATTATTATAGATCCATGTTATTATTATAGATCCATGTTATTATTATAGATCCATGTTATTATTATAGATCCATGTTATTATCATAGATCCATGTTATTATTATAGATCCATGTTATTATTATAGATCCATGTTATTATCATAGATCCATGTTATTATTATAGATCCATGTTATTATTATAGATCCATGTTATTATTATAGATCCATGTTATTATTATAGATCCATGTTATTATGATAGATCCATGTTATTATGATAGATCCATATGTTATTATGATAGATCCATGTTATTATGATAGATCCATGTTATTATGATAGATCCATGTTATTATTATAGATCCATGTTATTATGATAGATCCATGTTATTATGATAGATCCATGTTATTATTATAGATCCATGTTATTATTATAGATCCATGTTATTATTATAGATCCATGTTATTATTATAGATCCATGTTATTATCATAGATCCATGTTATTATTATAGATCCATGTTATTATTATAGATCCATGTTATTATCATAGATCCATGTTATTATTATAGATCCATGTTATTATTATAGATCCATGTTATTATTATAGATCCATGTTATTATTATAGATCCATGTTATTATCATAGATCCATGTTATTATTATAGATCCATGTTATTATTATAGATCCATGTTATTATTATAGATCCATGTTATTATTATAGATCCATGTTATTATCATAGATCCATGTTATTATTATAGATCCATGTTATTATTATAGATCCATGTTATTGTTATAGATCCATGATGTAGTTCAGCAAATCGCTTTGACACAGCTTGCTTTGTGATCCGCGGGACCGCGGCTGTACCCGTCTGTCTCTGTGTGCGTATGTGTGCGTATGTGTATGTGCATGTGTCTGTCTGTGTGTTACGTCTCTGTGCGCGTATGTGTATGTGGCTGTCTCTGTGCGTTTGTACATGTGTCTGTCTGTGTGCGTCTGTCTCTGAGTGTGTGATGTGCGGCAGTTCTGTACCTAATTATAGCAAATCTTCATATGAAATAGAATTAAAAACGTCTCATTTTAGTAAATACAGTGTTTCATAAAGTCATGTGTGTGTCACATGACTTATCTGTGGTGAAATCACACACTTTGATCATGTGTGACGTGGAACACGTCTGCTGTGTTATTTACTTATTGTCCCCTAGATCCAGGGGTGTCCCAGTTCTTAGGGAGAATGTTGTGAGTGCACTCCCCACTGGGAAGGCACTTGGTACGGGCACTCACACCTAAGGGCAAGGGTGAGAATTGGGACGGGGCCTTAGTCCCAGTTTAGACCTGATTTAGTCCATGTTTAGACCTGTTTTTGATCCTCTCTCCTGTTCTCTCTCAGTTCCCTTCCGTGCTCACGCCCTCGTTCCAGATTCCCATCCACAGTCTTGACGGGACCAACACGCCGGGCCCCATCTCTCCAGCCCCTTAGAAGACATGAACATAAGCTATGCTAGCCACACCTATGCTAGCCTCATCTATGCTAGCCTCATCTATGCTAGCCTCATCTAAGCTAGCCACACCTATGCTAGCCTCATCTATGCTAGCCTCATCTAAGCTAGCCACACCTATGCTAGCCTCATCTATGCTAGCCTCATCTATGCTAGCCTCATCTAAGCTAGCCACACCTATGCTAGCCTCATCTATGCTAGCCTCATCTATGCTAGCCTCGTTCCTCTGGACATCGGTGCTCTCCTCTCAACACATGATCCCTAGCTTTAGCGTATGTGTGGATGCTAATCGTGGATGCTAACCCCAGTCCTTGAAAGCCCCAGACAATCATTTGTTTTGTTTTTTTATGACATCAGCTGGACATTAGCATATTTCCCTTTATAATGCTCCTGTTGCTGTTTTGTGCTTTTCCATATTTAAGGGGTAAGAATGTCCCCTTAAGGCCATCTCCAACTGACAACAGCCAAATCCAAGCCATTCTTTTGTATCTGACCTGTGTGATGATCCTCGCTCCCCGCAGTATTTGCCAATATTCAGAGTCTGAATAGAATCGGTGAGAATGTAACGCATGTGTCGCAGAGTTTAATGTTAATCCTAACTTCTTGTGGAATAGTGTTAATAATGGTAAAAACGGTCCCTTTGACTAATGCAGAACCACAAGAGGAACAAAGCTACGGCCAGTGCAGAGGAACAAAGGGCAGATTTATGTTAGAAATTACTTTTAATCATTCCAACCTTTTGATTCCACTGATGCACAGAGGGCCAATAATCCTCGCAAAATGTGATTTAGAAATGAGTTTAAAGTTTTAGACACCACTGAACTGTTTCGTATACACGTATCAGTCGTAACGATATCTGTATTTAAACTTTGAAGCCATAAGTGGGAGACTGCAGAATCTATGCTACGGAATTAATACTGATTACAAATGTTTACAAATGTTACTTGGAGTGAAAAGCCAAGTCCTAACCCAGGTGTGGAGAAGCAGCCAATTTCTAATCAGCCACAGCTGCCCTTTCGGAGCCAAAAGTCACAGAAGATTGTGCCTTAGTGAAAAATGTGATTTCATGTGACAGTATTTGAGTTAGTTCTTGTTTGATGGTTTTGAGCGAGACCTCAAAGTGTGTACTATTTACACAAATATAAATATATACGCTTATATACAGTACGTGCTGCACAACTTTGGGATGCAATATTTTCTAACACAGTGTTGGAGGAAGCAGAACATCTCTGACCGACCGCCGACGCTTGAGGCCTGTTCTTCTCACGGTGTCGGAGGATTCAGTGCCTGTGTCAGACTTTGTACTTTGTACTTTGCATTGTGGGAAATATGCACAGCATGTAAACTCACCTGTTCCGGGTGCAGCCACGTCTCTCGCAGCTCTACGTCTGTGACGTGCGAAGATAAATCTATAATCATCTTTTATCATTTGTATGTAAAGCTTTTCTTGTTCTGCCGATAGTTTTAAGGTTCATTTCTATTTTTGTACAGATGGTTTTATTTGGTGTTTGTGTCGGTGAGTCTGTGGGAGGACGGTGGAATCAAAGCCTTATGGATCTGTCGTGTTTGATCCTGTGTCGATGTCGTAACAGATGTTTCTGGACCTGTCATGAAATGATTCGCTCTTTTTGCAGACGTTTGTGATAAAAATTGTGTAATGTATATTTTCCCAAAGGGGACAAAGCCGAGCACTTCATATTTTGTATAAAAATATATATATTTAACCTGTGTATGTTAATAACACAAACCCCAGTTTGTTCAGGATGAGTCCAATATGATTGGCAGCTCTTATTTATCCAATAGGAATCTTTAACTCCGCCTTCTCCTCAAAGCTCCGCCTCCACGTCCTGCAGGAAGCTGTGGAGGTCAGAGGTCAGAGTCTGTGTTTCCTGTTTTTATCTTTATCTTTGACCTCGTCGATGATCTGTAAAAAGACCCTTTTGTTGCTTGGTTTAAAAAGTTCTATGTTTTATGCTTTTCCAAATGTTTACACGCTGCTTTAAAGTGGCGTCTTTGTGTGAAGAGAAGCAGGAGAAGTGACCAACATTAAACATATCTAACTCTACAGCGCTGTTTCTTCTTACTCCAGCAGGGGGCACCACGCACAGCCTTCAACAACAGACAGGGCTAGAGGAGGCTCCAACCTCTGCTCTGGGAGAGCTACACTGGCAGAGAGCTACACTGGCAGAGAGCCGTAGAATATTTCCAGCAGATAAAGCAGAAGTTTTACATCTGCTGCCAAATGTTGTTTTAAGAAGGTTTTGTTGCATAATCGGACCCATAAAATAATTTATCCTAATCATCATTTACTCATAAAATTATTCTTTTAGGAGCCACTTTGAAGAGGGTGGCGAGCTACTGGTAGCTCCCGAGCTAAAGGCTGGAGACCCACGGTCCAGAGGAGTCTGTTATTATTAAAGATCTGTGTGAAAGTCTGTGAGCGAAGAATGAGGAAAAGGGTTCAGAAAATAAGACGTGACCAAAAACAAAAGTTGTACTGTAATAATTTCACACAGAAACATGTTTATTAATGTAACACAATATAGATTTATTATAATTCCTAAAATACAGTGATCGTAAAGAATGATTTTTTCCTTTGTTAAGATCCGGACAAAGGCCTCGGGATTTCTGTCATATTCAGGTCTTTGACACAGTCTGAAAAATAAGATTCAGACAGAATTAAAACTGAAGGAAGCAAACGTTAGATTGAACGTTGAGGAACACGTTCAGGAAATGTTTGTCTGGTCACATGTTGTATTTATTTATCCTGCAACATATGTTTAAAACCTTACACAGATAGAGACAGATTTAGAGATATTGAAGCATTTAAGCTCAGAAACAAAGCAGCTACTTTTACACCTGTGTGTTCCCACTGTCCTGTGAGTGCGCTGCAACACTGACATTTCTGTGGGACCAGTACAGGACGACCTCATCGCCACATGTTTAAATAATGTGTTTATATTGATCTGCATCACGTCTGACCAGAAATCATGTGATTGTTCTAATAATTCCTCTAAACTGCTGCAGCTTGTCCTTCTGTCGTGGTAATCAGAATCAGAATCAGAATCAGAATCATTTTTATTGCCAACGTAAGTAACGGGAGGTCACAGACTTGGAAATTGCTAATAACAGGATTAATAACAGGATAACAGAATAACAGAATAATAACAGTGTAGAAGAAGAGAAGAGTCACCTGTGCTGGGGCTGTAGCTGTGTTTGTGGCGATGATGGACATAAAGAAACAGTAGAAACAAACAGAATCCAATAAAAGATGAGATGGTGCAGCAGAGCATGAAGCTGTAGCTGCCGTAGCTTTGGATCAGCTGCACAGACACAGGAAGTAAACAGGAAGTAAACAGGAAGAAAACAGGAAGAAAACATCTGATCAGGTTTTATTGTGTATGTTCTTAAAGGTGCACTTTATTAATCCCCGTAGGGCAATTCAATCCTCTGCATTTGACCCTGATGCACTAAGGCTTACGTCAGGAGCAGTGGTCGCCGTAGTAACAGCGCCCGGGAACCCACCTCCAGATGTTGATGCTCGGCTTGGTCAGGACCAGAGCTGGAGGATTTAACCTAGAGAGCATGTTTTTAGTGGTAGGGGAAACCGGAACACCTGGAGGAAACCTAAACAGGGACAGGGAGAACATGCAAACTCCACACAGAAAGGCCCCATTCTGATTAAGATTCGAACCCAGGGCCTTCTTGCTGGGAAGTGAGAGTGCTAACCACTCAGCCAACGTGTTACCCATATGTTTCTGTGGACTTCACTTCATCTCATATCGCTTAATGTCTGACATTTCCTCCGTTTTAATGTGTTTTTAAAAATGTGTTTTCAATGTTTTATGCTCTGTGTTCCCTCTGAGTCTGATACTCACAGAGCCCACGATGAGCTGCATCAGCATCTCTCCGCTGCTCGCACTCGTCACCAGGACCGTGGTGACGCAGCCTGGAACACAGCGAGCTTTATTAATAATAATGCATCAGTTTTACACTTTTCCAGACTCTCAAAGTCTCTTCACATCATTTTTATCTCTCTCCAAACACGGTGGTGATAAACTACTACTGTAGCCACAGCTGCCCTGGGGCACACTGACAGGCCCCTCCCACCACCACCAACCATTCACACACACACCAGACTCATTCTAATGTGGGGGAAGTGTCTTGCCCAAGGACACAACCACAGTTTGGCACTTTACAGCCGCAGCCGCCCCACTGTGGCACCTGCTGTTCCCAGAGGTCTCCCATCACAGCACTAACCAGGCCATGCACTGCTTAGCCTCAGAGGTCTGACAGGATCTGTGCACAGGTTTTATCAGTGCTTTTCTGGACTCTCAGTCTCTGCGTCACTCTAGAAAAGGTTTGTTTATAATGAAACATTTAAACAACTGTGAGTGAAAGGTCAAAGGTCAGCCCCAGACCATTATCAGGTTTTTACTCTGGTCTCACACGGACCATGAACACAGCTGTCTCTACAGGCCTTTATATGAAACCATGTGGACCATAGAACCATGTGGACCATAGAACCGTGTGGACCATAGAACCACGTGGACCATAGAACCACGTGGACCATAGAACCACGTGGACCATAGAACCATGTGGACCATAGAACCATGTGGACCATAGAACCATGTGGACCATAGAACCGTGTGGACCATAGAACCACGTGGACCATAGAACCGTGTGGACCATAGAACCACGAGGACCATAGAACCACGAGGACCATAGAACCATGTGGACCATAGAACCATGTGGACCATAGAACCACGAGGACCATAGAACCATGTGGACCATAGAACCACGAGGACCATAGAACCACGTGGACCATAGAACCATGTGGACCATAGAACCATGTGGACCATAGAACCATGTGGACCATAGAACCGTGTGGACCATAGAACCACGTGGACCATAGAACCACGTGGACCATAGAACCACGTGGACCATAGAACCATGTGGACCATAGAACCACGAGGACCATAGAACCATGTGGACCATAGAACCACGAGGACCATAGAACCATGTGGACCATAGAACCACGAGGACCATAGAACCATGTGGACCATAGAACCATGTGGACCATAGAACCGTGTGGACCATAGAACCACGTGGACCATAGAACCGTGTGGACCATAGAACCACGAGGACCATAGAACCACGAGGACCATAGAACCATGTGGACCATAGAACCATGTGGACCATAGAACCACGAGGACCATAGAACCATGTGGACCATAGAACCACGAGGACCATAGAACCACGTGGACCATAGAACCATGTGGACCATAGAACCATGTGGACCATAGAACCATGTGGACCATAGAACCGTGTGGACCATAGAACCACGTGGACCATAGAACCACGTGGACCATAGAACCACGTGGACCATAGAACCATGTGGACCATAGAACCACGAGGACCATAGAACCATGTGGACCATAGAACCACGAGGACCATAGAACCATGTGGACCATAGAACCACGAGGACCATAGAACCATGTGGACCATAGAACCATTTTAACTCTGTGAAACTCTGGTTGTAGTTTTACACTGAACCAACAATAAACTAAGTCTTAGACGTGACCCCAGACCTCTGCATCTCCTCAGGGTCTGGTCTGGTCTGTGTCTAGGTCTGTGTCTAGTCTGGGTCTGGTCTGGGTCTAGTCTGGGTCTGGTCTGGGTCTAGTCTGGTCTGGTCTGGGTCTAGTCTGGTCTTGCCTTGGTAGTCCAGGATGTCCTCGGTGAAGGCCAGCAGACAGGGGAACACGCTGCTGATGCACAAACCCAGAACAAACGTCCCCAAAAACAGAAAGACTGAGCTGCGATAGAAGATCAGCATGAGACCGTGGACCAGCAGCACCCCGACCTGAGGAGGAGAGAGGAGTCACTCTGTGTGTGTGTGTGTGTGTGTGTGTGTGTGTGTGTGTGTGTGTGTGTGTGTGTGTGTGTGTGTGTGTGTGTGTGTGAGACCGTGGACCAGCAGCACCCCGACCTGAGGAGGAGAGAGGAGTCACTGTGTGTGTGTGTGTGTCTGTGTCTGTGTCTGTGTCTGTGTCTGTGTGTGTGTGTGTGTGTGTGTGTGTGTGTGTGTGAGACCGTGGACCAGCAGCACCCCGACCTGAGGAGGAGAGAGGAGTCACTCTGTGTGTGTGTGTGTGTGTGTGTGTGTGTGTGTGTGTGTGTGTGTGTGTGTGTGTGTGTGTGTGTGTGTGTGTGTGAGACCGTGGACCAGCAGCACCCCGACCTGAGGAGGAGAGAGGAGTCACTGTGTGTGTGTGTGTGTCTGTGTCTGTGTCTGTGTCTGTGTCTGTGTGTGTGTGTGTGTGTGTGTGTGAGACCGTGGACCAGCAGCACCCCGACCTGAGGAGGAGAGAGGAGTCACTCTGTGTGTGTGTGTGTGTGTGTGTGTGTGTGTCTGTGTGTGTGTGTGCACTTGTTTTCAACTCCTGGTGGGTTCCATAACCTGAGATTCCACTCACGTCATGGGGACTGGTTTTACGTGGTGGGGCCCGAACACCGGACCCCACTGGTCCAAGCTTAATAATCAATGGGTAATGCTTTTCTAACGGTCCTTATGCAGTCTCTGTAAAAATATGGAAAGGACCCCTGGAGGTTTACTTTCCTGAAAAAAGTGTGTTATGTGTCGGAACCCTGGTGGTGGGTTGCGGGATATCAAGGAGGGGCACACTGGGGCAATTTCAGTCCAGCAGGCTGGAGCCAATCATGGAGCAGCACAACAGAGGAAATCAGGTGTCAGGCTAGAAAAAGGTGCAAGTGTGTGGTTCATTAGGCTGCAAGAAATCATGGAGGAGCACACTGAAGCGCACGCTTACAAACCACTGGTAAGTGCTGACTACAAGTCATGACTTCAAATTGTTATATAGAATGATTACAAATTATTTGTTGTTTGTGCAGCTTAGTCAAGAGTCCCTAATTGATGAAGTCGACTCAGATTCTGACGATTTAACTGTCAAGAAGAAACCTGTAAAAAAGTATGGAAAAAGAAAAATCAAAAACACTTTTCTTCAAGACTCGGAAAGTGACGAACCAAAGGCAAATAAGATTGTTATCATGCAGCTGCAAAAGAAGAAAAATGGGGGGCGAGTTTACAGCAAGAGACACTTCTGCCTCTACTGTTCAATGTCCTGCCACAAAATGTCCCGTCATTTGACTAGAAAACATGGAAATGAAAGTGACGTAGCCAGAGCATTGGCTCTACCTGTGAAATCTAAAGCACGTAAACTTCAGTTTGATTTGATCAGGAATAGTGGAAACCGTGAGCACAATTTTGAGGTTTTAAAGGCCGGCATTGGAACTTTAGTCCCAGCTAAACAGCCAAATTGCCCAGTTAAATCCAGTGAGTTTTTGCACTGTATAGACTGTGGGGCATTGCTTAAGCGAAAGTCGCTGTGGAGGCATGTGGCCAGGTGCCGGCTTTCACAGAAAGATGCCCAGGCTAAACCAGGTAGAAGTAGGGTCCAGTCCCTCTGCTCCCTAGCCCAGCCTGTACCGGAGGGCATCAGCAAAAAGCTGTGGTCTTTAATTTCGGCAATGCATCAGGATGAGGTCACGGGTGTTGTCAAAGCAGAAAAGGGGATTCTGAGACTCGGAGAGCACCTGTACTTAAAACACGGGCATGATAAGACAAAGCATGATTACATTAGGCAGAAAATGAGAGAAGTCGGTAGGTTAATTAACGAAGCAAAAACCGCAGGGAAACTGAAAACAATTAAGGATTTCTTTATTCCTTCCAACTTTAACCATGTGATTGATGCAGTCAGGTCTGTGGCTGGATATGATGAGGAAACAAATCAATACAAGACTCCATCCTTGGCCCTCAAACTCGGCCATAGCCTCAGAAAGCTAGCAGATATTCTTGAATGTGACTCAAAAATGGAGCATTGTGTTGATGAACTATTTATTAAAAACCTCCAACGAAGCCGGCTGCTTTTTGAGAAGAGGTGGGACGTCTGTGTTTCTTCTGCTGCCCTACAGACCCTCCGGCAAGCCAAGTGGAACACTCCGGACCTGCTCCCTCTGACTGAGGACGTTAGAGCCATGCATGCACATATTGAGGTATGTCGACCTGAATATGTGCAAACCCTAATAAGTGAGCCAACGTCTAAGCATTGGTCTAAACTGGCAGTTTTGACTCTTTGTGAGGTCATCATTTTCAATCGAAGAAGGGAAGGTGAGGTTTCAAAGATGCCACTGACAGCCTTTACCTTAAGAAGTAAGACTGGGATCCATTCTGACATTGCTCTGGGACTGTCCCAACTTGAGAAAAAGCTGTGTCAGCATTTTCAACGCATTGAAATTAAAGGGAAAAGAAGTCGGAAAGTGCCGGTTCTTTTGACTCCTGAAATGATTGCTTCGATGGAGGTGCTGGTGGAGAACAGAAGGGCCTGTTCCATCTCTGACCATAACCCATACTTCTTTTCCCGCCCGGGCGCAGACACCCACATCAGGGGATCAGACTCCCTACGCCAGGTAGCCAAAGAATGTGGTGCGGTGCATCCAGAGATGCTATCCTCAACCAAACTTAGAAAGCACATAGCTACTATGTCTACAGTTCTCAATATGAAAGAGAATGAGATGGACATACTTGCCAACTTCCTCGGCCATGACATTCGCATCCACAGGCAATATTACAGACTACCAGAGGGGACACTGGAGCTGGCCAAAATCAGCAAAGTGTTGATGGCCATGGAGCAGGGAAGAGTGACGGAATTCGAAGGAAAGAGCCTCGACCAGATACAAATTGAGCCTGAAGGTAATTCTTGATATTATTAAAATATGTATGATTTTTTTCCCCTAAAGGCCACTTGTATTTTTATTTTCTGTGCGACAGGGAGAGCAGTAGAGATCCTCTCACAAACGGACGGGCTAAAAGAAACTTCAAGCGGAGAACCTTCAACCATTCATCCAGATGCACCCCATGGTAGTGGCAGTGCCCCTTCTGGTAAGTGTACCAGGTGGGGGATTACAGCCAGGCTGCTTGGTCCTCACCCTGGGAGTGTATATTGCTAATATATTTTTATTTCTCTCCCTAGAACGTGTAAGAAAGCCATGGTCTGCATCTGAGGTGAAGGCTGTGGAGAAGACCATGACACCTTTCATACAGACTGGAAAGGTCCCTGGGAAGTCTCACTGCCTGGCCTGGCCTGGCCTGGCCTGCATTAATGCCTCACCAGATGACCTTAGACATCGGACATGGAGTGGCATTAAATTCTATGTCAAAAATAGAATCACTGCAATTCGAAAACAAAATCTAAAATAAAATTCCTTTAAAATAGTTGTTTGGTTTCTATTGACTGTTTTGTATTACTTAAAGTCTTGGTAAAAAAAGATTATGTCTATGGGTCCCATTCTGAACGGCCCTGTCAAAGGGACCCACCAGGTAACAAAAACGTGTATGTGTGTGTGTGTGTGTGTGTCTGTGTGTGTGTGTGTGAGACCGTGGACCAGCAGCACCCCGACCTGAGGAGGAGAGAGGAGTCACTCTGTGTGTGTGTGTGTGTGTGTGTGTGTGTGTGTCTGTGTGTGTGTGTGTGAGACCGTGGACCAGCAGCACCCCGACCTGAGGAGGAGAGAGGAGTCACTCTGTGTGTGTGTGTGTGTGTGTGTGTGTGTGTGTGTCTGTGTGTGTGTGTGTGAGACCGTGGACCAGCAGCACCCCGACCTGAGGAGGAGAGAGGAGTCACTCTGTGTGTGTGTGTGTGTGTGTGTGTGTGTGTGTGTGTGTGTGTGTGTGTGTGTGTGTGTGTGTGTGTGTGTGTGTGTGTGTGTGTGTGTGTGTGTGTGTGTGTGTGTGTGTGTGTGTGTGTGTGTCTGTGTCTGTGTCTGTGTCTGTGTCTGTGTCTGTGTCTGTGTCTGTGTCTGTGTCTGTGTCTGTGTCTGTGTCTGTGTCTGTGTCTGTGTCTGTGGTGTCTGTGTCTGTGTCTGTGTCTGTCTGTGTGTGTGTGTGTGTGTGTGTGAGACCGTGGACCAGCAGCACCCCGACCTGAGGAGGAGAGAGGAGTCACTCTGTGTGTGTGTGTGTGTGTGTGTGTGTGTGTGTGTGTGTGTGTGTGTGTGTGTGTGTGTGAGACCGTGGACCAGCAGCACCCCGACCTGAGGAGGAGAGAGGAGTCACTCTGTGTGTGTGTGTGTGTGTGTGTGTGTGTGCGTGTGTGTGTGTGTGTGTCTGTGTGTGTGTGTGTGAGACCGTGGACCAGCAGCACCCCGACCTGAGGAGGAGAGAGGAGTCACTCTGTGTGTGTGTGTGTGTGTGTGTGTGTGTGTCTGTGTCTGTGTCTGTGTGTGTGTGTGTGTGTGTGTGTGTGTGTGTGTGTGTGTGAGACCGTGGACCAGCAGCACCCCGACCTGAGGAGGAGAGAGGAGTCACTCTGTGTGTGTGTGTGTGTGTGTGTGTGTGTGTGTGTGTGCGTGTGTGTTGTCAAAAAAAATGACAGACGTGTTTGAATTTGATACAGAAATAAGACCAAGCATACAAGAGTTAAAAAAAGAACATTTAATTTAATTATCTTTACAATTAAATATTGATACAAAACTCTCTGAGATATTAATTCCCTAAAACTACCTGACCTATGACCTATAACCTATGACCTATGACCCTGAGCTGAGCCAGTTTAACCTTCCAAACATGAACAGAGATCATCCAGACTCTGCTCTGTCTCTCGGTCTCTGCTCAGACTGACCACAAAATGTCCCACCAACACTTTTATCGAAATGGTGAGACCGACAGAGGCCCTGGTCTGGGTCTGGTCCAGTCCAGTTTTGGGTCTCAGCCCTTGTACCGATAAGAGAGACACGCTGTTCCTGAAAATGATACTTTCGTCACAGAAACCTTGTCCTTGAGTCTTCTCTGAATTCTTTAAACTCTAAATATTACACAAAGACGATAATCATTAGTATACAACATTTTAATTCTACAACACAATGTGTGCTGCATTTCTGGAATCTACAAAAGTGAAAACATAAATGTCTCACTTTTCTCTCTAAAATGTAACTAAAAACATTTCATGATTTCAACGATTCTAAAATGAGAGAAACAAGTGAAGACACGAAACGCAAACATCAAGTTGTGTTGCGTTAACCTGCTCTCACACACACACACGGACACACACGCACACAATGAACACACACACACACACGGACACACACGCACAGACACACGGACACGGACACACACACACACACACGGACACACACACACACGCGCACACAATGAACACACACACGGACACACACACACACGCGCACACAATGAACACACACACGGACACACACACACACACGGACACACACGCACACAATGAACACACACACACACACGGACACACACACACACACGCGGACACACACACGGACACACACGCGGACACACACACACGGACACTACAATACACGCTCCCCTGCATTATTTACATTGTGTGAGCTAAGCCCCGCCCCTTTCACACAGAGCCGAAATAGCTCAGTTGGGAGAGCGTTAGACTGAAGATCTAAAGGTCCCTGGTTCGATCCCGGGTTTCGGCAGAGTCTGAAGGAAACTGTTTATGTTTTTAGAATTTAGACTACTCTTTTCATCAATGAATACTTTTCAAGTCGGGGTTGTTGTTTTTTTTGCTTCAGATCCTTTGAAGTTTTGTCAATAGGGCACTGTCCGGTTTCCGAAATGTGCTAAAAATAGTTCCAATGACTGCGCATGCGCGCATGTTTCGGACAAACTCTGTCCGACTCCGTTGAGTACTACTGTGTTCTCCACATACGCGTGTGTATTTATTTGGGCTAAATCATTGAATCATGGTGACAACAAAACACTGCAGTTATGGTGCTTGTCGGAGCGATTTCAGATACTCTGAAAAGGACTATATGAAAGCAGTAACATTTAACCTGTTCGTTAAACCACACCATCGAACCAGACCAGGACCAGACCAGGACCAGACCAGGACCAGACCAGGACAAGTGCAAGAGGTGGGTGCTTGTGGTCGGCAGAATTTCTCTCATGAAAACCTCCAGATCCAGTCCTAGCTACGTTTAGCTGGGACTGGACCTGGACCGCTGTATCAGGTCCGTCTGAGCTCTTCTGAATGTAGTTAGCCCCATCAATCCATATTAGTATTGTCCTAGTAGTCCTAATCCTAATAGTCCTAATCCAGAATGTATACAATTCTCACACCTGAAGAAAGATGAGAGGGATTTTTTCAACTTCGTGACTATCGGAAAATAAGCACAGACGAAGCGCGTCGGGGTCCGCTTATTATACGGCTTTGTACCAACTGAACACACAAAATAAACTTCTGTCACTATTCATGCCAAAAGGTTTATTTAATGAGTGCAAAGAAAATAGTTCCCAAAGGTTTTAGTTCACCTACTTTAAAAAAGCGATCGCTTTAGTCGCATTAAAAAAGTATTTTTGTCATGAAAACCTTAACAGATAATTCTGAAAACCTCTGTGCACGTGTGTTGTATGAATATTATATTCTAGCATTAACATTTAAATGTGTTGATTGATTGTCGTTTGCGTTTACTGAGTGTGGCTAGCTCCGATAGTTTCTCTCTCAGAGACAGTAGTGGTGTAGCCCGTTGTGACCCCATGGATCTATTATAATATCGGCTGACTGTAGTTAACTAAATGATCAAACTAATTACGAAATGGACAGTACAAAAAACAACTTGATAAATGGAAGTTAATCAGAGCAAAATAAACAAAGAAGGCGCTAACATTGCAATTTAAATGACTAGATAATGTTATCATAATCCTCACCATTACCTTTTTATCAAATCAAACTTTCTTCCAGTTACTGGAAGACCACGACATTCAAGCCAACGTTTTAATTGGTCTACACTATGATCCCTGATGGTTTGATGGTGGAATTTTGCCCCTGGTTTATTATTTTCGTCTAAAGTGACAAGAGGTATTTGATTCATTTTGGCAGTGTTTGTCCGAAACATGTGGGCGGGAGTTGACAGGCGGCGGGGGCGTGTCTTAGTGACGTCATTCAGATAGTTCGCTATTTTTGGACAATTATTAATATGTGTATGTGTAGCAATTAAAGCTGGGGAACCTAACTTTTTATGTCATAACAAATCTATGTTTTTGTGTCCAGTAGAGTCAGAGCCAGAGTCAGAAAGAGTTACAGTAAAACGCTGTCGTAATCTGATGAGAGATCTAAGATGATATTATCTTTAAACCTGTGAGAAAGAGCCCTTTGAGCCACTTTTTGACTTTAGAGCTAAAGGGAAAAGGGAAAAAGGGACAGGTGCCTAAAGTAGAAGAAGGGGATTTTCTCCTTATGGGACAAACTTCAAGTTCCCTCAAGTTTAAGTTGTAGGAAAACGACACAGCAGTGCAGAGTACTCGGCCTTTCTGGGAGTCCGTGGGGGGTGTACTGGACAGTGCACCGCCCGGGGACTCCGTTATTCTCCTGGGGGACTTCAACGCCCATGTGGGGGACGCCAGTGACACCTGGAGAGGGGTGAAGGGGAAGAACGGCCCTGATCTGAACCCGAGCGGTGTTCAGTTGTTGGACTTCTGTGCCAGTCACAGTTTGTCCATCACCAACACCGTGTTCCAGCAAAAGGGTGTCCACCAGGGGGCGCCAGGACCTGAGGCCGGAGGTTGATGATCGATTTCGGGGAAGAGAGGGGCGGGGCTAAAGAGAGGGGCGGAGCTGTCAACCGACCACCACCTGGTCGTGAGTTGGATCCGCTGGCAGAGGAGGAAGCCGGTCAGGCCTGGCAGGCCCAAGCGTGTAGTGAGGGTCTGCTGGGAACGTCTCGCTGAGCCCCTTGTCAGACGGACTTTCAACTCACACCTCCGGGAGAGCTTCTCCCTGGTCCCGGCGGAGGAGGAGAGCTTCACCCAGGTCCCAGAGGAGGAGGGGGATATTGAGTCTGAGTGGCCCATGTTCTCTTCCTCTATCGCTGATGCGGCGGCTCGTAGCTGTGGTTGCGGGGTCTCTGGTGCTGGTCCCGGCGGTAACCCCTGAACCCGGTGGTGGACCCCGGCAGTGGGTGTTTGTGTAAAGATCTCCTCCGTTAGTGCAGCGTCTGTGCCTGAGATCCTCCACAGACGTCATATTACAGCTGTATCTGGATTTGTTTTTTATTAGCGTTCTTACATACATATATATATATATATATATATATATATATATATATATATATATATATATATAAGTTAGAGTTGTTATGTGTATGTTTAAAGTTAGATCTTACCAGACTGAAGGTGATGAGTGTGGGAGCAGAGTATCTGTAGGACAGGAGGATGAAGCCCAGTCTGCTGAAGGTGATGGACGCCCAGAACACGCTGCTCAGACATCCCGCCGTTTTATGAGCCATGAGGAACGGAGGCGACACGGCGTACGTGTACACAAAGCCTGCGTACGAGCCCTACAGACACACAATCAGACACACAATCAGACACAAAGCCTGCGTACAAGCCCTACAGACACACAATCAGACATATTGTTGTTGAAGGTTGTGTGTCCGAAAGACCGTTGTCAGTGTCCCCTCTAATTATTGTAAAGATCTTTATTATAGAAACGTGCAGCATCGATCGTACTGTACTGTACTGTGCTGTGCTGTGCTGTGCTGTGCTGTGCTGTGCTGTACTGTACTGTACTGTACTGTACTGTACTGTACTGTACTGTACTGTGCTGTGCTGTACTGTGCTGTGCTGTACTGTGCTGTACTGTACTGTACTGTTACTGTACTGTTACTGTACTGTACTGTACTGTGCTGTGCTGTACTGTGCTGTACTGTACTGTGCTGTACTGTACTGTACTGTGCTGTGCTGTACTGTGCTGTACTGTACTGTACTGTTACTGTACTGTTACTGTACTGTACTGTACTGTGCTGTGCTGTACTGTGCTGTACTGTACTGTGCTGTACTGTACTGTACTGTACTGTGCTGTACTGTTACTGTACTGTTACTGTACTGTTACTGTACTGTTACTGTACTGTACTGTGCTGTACTGTACTGTGCTGTACTGTGCTGTACTGTACTGTTACTGTACTGTTACTGTACTGTACTGTGCTGTACTGTACTGTACTGTACTGTGCTGTGCTGTACTGTGCTGTACTGTACTGTACTGTACTGTGCTGTACTGTACTGTACTGTTACTGTACTGTACTGTACCGTACTGTGCTGTACTGTGCTGTACTGTACTGTACTGTTACTGTACTGTACTGTACCGTACTGTGCTGTACTGTACTGTACCGTACTGTGCTGTACTGTGCTGTACTGTACTGTACTGTGCTGTACTGTGTTGTTTTGTGAAATATAAATCTGACCACGATTCCGTCGGTGATGAAGAGGATGGCTCCGCCCACAGTCTGCAGGATGAAGAACGTTGCAGGACGAGTCTTGTGGCTGCAGCAGCGGGACAGACCCTCTGCAGCTGAGACACGAGCACATGTTAGGACTGTCTCTAACACAGAGGTGCAGCTACATCTCCTCTGACGCAGGAGGTTCTGAGTTCACACCCCATTCTGCAACACCACAAAGACCTTCACTTTTATTTCAACAACTTTATTCTCTCATTCCAACGGAAACGTTTCTGAATCTGTTCAAAACAAGATCCTTTTGCTTCGTCCCATTGGAGAATCTTATGGTTCAGTCAGAATGTGTCAGATTTAGAGTTTTTGACTTATTTTTCATCATTTTGAGAGAGACCAGAGAGAGAGACCAAAGAGAGACCAGAGAGAGACCAGAGAGAGACCAGAGAGAGACCAGAGAGAGACCAGAGAGAGACCAGAGAGAGACCAGAGAGAGACCAGAGAGAGAGAGACCAGAGAGAGAGACCAGAGAGAGAGACCAGAGAGAGACCAGAGAGAGACCAAAGAGAGACCAAAGAGAGAGACCAGAGAGAGACCAGAGAGAGACCAGAGAGAGACCAGAGAGAGACCAGAGAGAGACCAGAGAGAGACCAGAGAGAGACCAGAGAGAGACCAGAGAGAGGCCAGAGAGAGACCAGAGAGAGACCAGAGAGAGACCAGAGAGAGACCAGAGAGAGACCAGAGAGAGACCAGAGAGAGACCAGAGAGAGACCAGAGAGAGACCAGAGAGAGACCAGAGAGAGACCAGAGAGAGACCAGAGAGAGACCAGAGAGAGAGATCAGAGAGAGACCAGAGAGAGACCAGAGAGAGACCAGAGAGAGACCAGAGAGAGACCAGACAGAGACCAGGCTACACCACCTCTGCTGCTGCACTACACTATTACTACATGGGGGGCATGGTGGCTGAGTGGTTAGCACTCTCGCCTCTCAGCAAGAAGGTCCTGGGTTCAAATCCCGGTCGGAACAGGGCCTTTCTGAGTGGAGTTTGCATGTTCTCCCTGTGTCTGCGTAGGTTTCCTCCGGGTGCTCCGGTTTCCCCTACCACTAAAAACATGCACAATAGGTCTGAATGTAAATGAGAGAGTGAATGATGGTGTTGGAGCTGATGGTCCAGTGTGTTCTGGACTCGCTTCTGTCATCACCGTGTGTGGAAGGATTGGAACAATATCTGACTCTGAACATTGGAAAGTGCTTTGGGTCTGACCTTGGTCTGTATAATGTGCTATATAAATAAACATTACGTTACATTACTATTGTTAGTTACTTAGAATCATGTATTGATTTGTTGTCAATAAAGTATCTGTCTTTCTATCTGTGCAGTTAAAAGGCTTTTGTTAAACGTTGACATAAAAAGACAAACCGGGACGCGAACAAAACTGGGAGAAATGAAGTGTGGCTCTTTCTGTATTATTTTTTTTTAATCATTGCATTTTCTGTGTTTGACCAGTTTGATTCTCTGACCTGTGTTGGTGAATCGACAGCTTTGTAAAGTCCTCTGAGATAAACTACTGCTGTGATTTAAGGCCAACACTTTATGGACAAATGTATTTTTGCCATGATTTTTCCTCTCAGTTCAAAGCTCATGACCGCAGAGAAATGGCTCTAACACATTTTCTTTTACTGATTTCTCTCACACTGAAAACTACAAATGCAGACCTGACCTCACATGTCGCACTGCACAGATGATCAAACCTGAAAGCCCCGCCCACTTCACTGCTCCATAGTAAACTCACTCGTCTCCATGGCAACAGATGGTTCCATGGCAGCAGATGGTTGCCATGGAGACATTATGTCATTCTGATGAGGTTATCGAGATTCTACGACAGAAAGCCTGTGTGTGGGTCAGGTCAAAGCAAATCCACCAAGTGTCGCGTATCCTCGGGTCACAGAACCTGGTGTCGTAGAACCAGGCGTCGCAGAACCTTAGTACCGTTTACACTTTATTCTTTAGACTCAACTGTAGAGAATGGATCGCTTCAGTGAGATCTCGGTCTCGTCGGAGGCCTCGCTGCAGATCGTGAGGAGCCACTTTGAGCAGATCAGTGGCAGTCAGTGGGTGATGTTGTCCAGAGGCATGTGCGACTTGGAGACCAGGCGTATTCTGACCGCCATGTTTATCTCGTTGGTCCAAACGCTGTCCGCCAACGTCTTGGGTCTGATTGTTCCGAAACACGAAGTGAACAACAGGTTCCTGAGTGAGAACGAGGCGACCCGAGCTCACGGATCGATCGTCACTGTGCTGCAGGACACCATGGGGCAAGTGTTCTCTCAGGCTCTGAATCTGCCCACGGACTCGTTGGACAAACACCAGGACTCGCAGGAGCTCACCACCCTGATCGAGCAGGAGGTGTCCGCGAAGGTGAACCGTGTCCTTTCTGAGGAGCAGGAGGAGGGCCCTGTGATGGTGGACGCCCTCATCAGCAGCGAGAGTGTGGCTCGCAGCATGATCGAGAAGGGAAACTCCTGCCTCAAGAGGTGCCTTCGCTTCTTGTTCTGTTCCTGCGGCCGCCGCGCTGACACAAACAAGTCAGAATCTTCAGAAAGCGGGCCGTGCCGCTGTAGCTTCCTCAGATTCGCCAAAAAGAATTTCCGAAGCATGCAGGAAAATCTGGAGGCAGAACTTCTGGTTGAAGAGTTAGCGCCAGAGACGAGGAGTTTGTCGAAGGGGTCGAGCTGTGGGAGTAACCCAGACCTGGGAAAAACTCCGGGTTATGCTTTGAGGACTCCAGAGGTTAGTTTTGAGCAGTTTCAACCTCAACTAGAGGAGTTGTTTCGACAGTTAGATCTCCCGACAAGTCCTGACACAGAAACAAGTCGAGTTAGACTGGCCCAGGCCTTGGATAGTGAGGAAACCACAATCTTTGTTCAGAATCTGACAGACACAATGTACTGTCACTTTCATATCCTAAAGGGACTTGTGTCACAGAACAAGGAGCTAATGAGTGAGTTCCAGAACCAAGAGCCCGAGCCGATATACACACGGAAAATAAGGGTAAGCTGTAAGCTCAGGCACTATGACTGGCAGCAGACATACGCCACGGTGCAGACCGAGGTATCAAATTACCTTCAAAGCCTCCAGGATTACATAGCGCAAGACCCATTGGAGAAGTTCTACCGCCAGGATCTGTTTGAGTTGTGCATGGAAAAGCCGCCTCTGTCGCCCAACTCCCAGCAGGCCCTGACATATAATGTGTCCATTCCTTCTCAAGGGTTGGTCCCCGTCCAGGTGGAATTTCAACAACTGTCAGGGCAGTCTTTCAACAGCCAGAAACACGACCTGTTCGAGAGGTCTATGGTGCACCCCAGAGCCTGTGTGCCATCGCGGATCTCTAGAGACGTTCCGGCGATCGTCTTACGCACACCAGAGGTCAGCACCAGGAGTATCTCAGTCATCTCTGAGAATTCTTTTAGAAGTCAGAAGTACGACCTGTTCGAGAGGTCCATGGTGCCTCCCAAAGTAGAGCTGCCTTCTTTCATCTCTGAGGACGTCCCGGCGGTTGTCCTGAAAACCCCAGAGGGCATGAGAAGAATCAGTGACAGAGACTTGTCCGAGGGCCAGTCCATGACTCTAGGCCTGATAGAGGCTTTGATGATTGAGACGTTCAGGGGAAAGGCAGCTTTGCGTCCGTGGGACCAAAAATACAAAGTGATTCGCGACCGTTTGACAGAAATAGCCTGGGAGGAGATCCAGCTTTCTGAACACCAGGCAAAGAAAACGGAGAAGAGAATGAGTAAAATCATTGCCGCGATTGTGAAAGACCTCAAATCCCATTACGGCACGGCACAGAGAATGTTGGAAAGTGCTTTGGACGGAAAAGACCGGACCTTTGAAAAAACGGTTCTGAAGTCCCTGCAGTACCACCTTGAGCACAACCTGCGGAAGAAGAAGTCTTTTCTGAGCCGCTTGTTCAGAGGTCTCTGTAAGCCCTTCCAATGCTGCTGCTGCCCCACCACTGAAGAGTAAATATCCACACCCTCAGAACACCCCGATGCTAGCTACAAGACCCCAAGGCTAGCTACAAGACCCCAAAACTAGCTACAAGACCCCAAAACTAGCTACAAGACCCCCCAATGCTAGCGACTGAGGGGTTTGGATGGAGTTGGATTGATAAAGGGGGTAAAAGTGAGCAAAACTGTTCACTTTTACCATCACCTTTAGCAAGCAGCTAACCGACTAGCATTGTTCTAACCCTCGTGTTTGGATTTGTCTTGAATTTGAACAAGAGGATGATAGCAAAAGAAAAATAACTTTTAAAGAGACTAAACTAAGACTTTAGTTTGAACCCCTCATGATCAGATTAACGATCTGAAAGAGAGGGCGATAACACAAACTAGAGGCTCTGGGCACTTTAAAACTTTAAAACTTTAATGCTATGAACACGTGTCCGATTTGGAATTTTTAGCCTTGTCAGTGAGTTAGCATGTAGCTAGCTAACGGACAGTGAGAGAGAATCATCGGAGGGAACCGGAAACAAAACACACTGCATCAAAAACCAAATAAAAATAATAAATATTAATAAATACAATTGTTTTTTTCATTGGCTTAAAACTGTCTGTAACACTACTTTGATTTTAGTTTTCTTGATTTTTATCATTAAGCATTTCTTTTATAGTTTTACAGCGACTGAAATCAGGTCCTGAAGCAGAAGGTCAACCATAAGGAACCATGAAACCACAGAAACAGATGAAATTGTGTTTAATAACAAAGATGGAGCTGGAGCCTCTTGCATGTTGTGGTGGACACACACATTATGACCTCACTCCTAAAAGTCATTTATTGTTAAGGATGATGTCTGGAAGAGAGCAAGAAGCCAACGGCAAGAAGTGCTGGAATAGGATCACTCTTTCCTCCACACATCATCAGTAAAACTAACCAGTCTCACGACGGTCTAACCCCGGCTCACGTTCCCTGTTAGTGGGTGAACAATCCAACGCTTCGTGAATTCTGCTTCACAATGACAGGAAGAGCCGACATCGAAGGATCAAAAAGCGATGTCGCTATGAACGCTATGACCAGAGAGAGGCCAGAGAGAGACCAGAGAGAGACCAGAGAGAGACCAGAGAGAGACCAGAGAGAGACCAGAGAGAGGCCAGAGAGAGACCAGAGAGAGACCAGAGAGAGACCAGAGAGAGACCAGATAAAGACCAGAGAGAGGCCAGAGAGAGACCAGAGAGAGGCCAGAGAGAGGCCAGAGAGAGACCAGAGTGAGACCAGAGAGAGGCCAGAGAGAGGCCAGAGAGAGACCAGAGAGAGACCAGAGAGAGACCAGAGAGAGACCAGAGAGAGACCAGAGAGAGGCCAGAGAGAGGCCAGAGAGAGACCAGAGAGAGAGAGACCAGAGAGAGACCAGAGAGAGACCAAAGAGAGGCCAGAGAGAGACCAGAGAGAGACCAGAGAGAGACCAGATAGAGACCAGAGAGAGACCAGAGAGAGACCAGAGAGAGACCAGAGAGAGACCAGAGAGAGGCCAGAGAGAGACCAGAGTGAGACCAGAGAGAGACCAGAGTGAGACCAGAGAGAGACCAGAGAGAGGCCAGAGAGAGACCAGAGAGAGACCAGAGAGAGACCAGAGAGAGACCAGAGTGAGACCAGAGAGAGACCAGAGAGAGACCAGATAAAGACCAGAGAGAGACCAGAGAGAGACCAGAGAGAGGCCAGATAAAGACCAGAGAGAGAGACCAGAGAGAGACCAGAGTGAGACCAGAGAGAGACCAGAGAGAGGCCAGAGAGAGACCAGAGAGAGACCAGAGAGAGACCAGAGAGAGACCAGAGTGAGACCAGAGAGAGACCCCAGAGAGACCAGATAAAGACCAGAGAGAGAGATCAGAGAGAGACCAGAGAGAGACCAGAGAGAGACCAGAGTGAGACCAGAGAGAGACCAGAGAGAGACCAGAGAGAGACCAGAGTGAGACCAGAGAGAGACCAGAGGGAGACCATGAGAGAGACCAGAGAGAGGCCAGATAAAGACCAGAGAGAGAGATCAGAGAGAGGCCAGAGAGAGACCAGAGAGAGACCAGAGTGAGACCAGAGAGAGACCAGAGAGAGACCAGATAAAGACCAGAGTGAGACCAGAGAGAGGCCAGAGAGAGACCAGAGAGAGATCAGAGAGAGGCCAGAGAGAGACCAGAGAGAGACCAGAGAGAGACCAGAGTGAGACCAGAGAGAGACCAGAGAGAGGCCAGATAAAGACCAGAGAGAGAGATCAGAGAGAGGCCAGAGAGAGACCAGGGAGAGACCAGAGAGAGACCAGAGAGAGACCAGAGTGAGACCAGAGAGAGACCAGAGAGAGACCAGAGAGAGACCAGAGAGAGACCAGAGAGAGACCAGAGAGAGACCAGATAAAGACCAGAGAGAGAGATCAGAGAAAGACCAGAGAGAGGCCAGAGAGAGACCAGAGAGAGACCAGAGAGAGACCAGAGAGAGACCAGAGAGAGACCAGATAAAGACCAGAGGTGAGATCAGAGAGAGACCAGAGAGAGGCCAGAGAGAGACCAGAGAGAGACCAGATAAAGACCAGAGAGAGAGATCAGAGAGAGACCAGAGAGAGGCCAGAGAGAGACCAGAGAGAGACCAGAGAGAGACCAGAGAGAGGCCAGAAAGAGACCAGAGAGAGGCCAGAGAGAGACCAGAGAGAGACCAGAGAGAGACCAGAGAGAGACCAGAGAGAGACCAGAGAGAGACCAGATAAAGACCAGAGGTGAGATCAGAGAGAGACCAGAGAGAGGCCAGAGAGAGACCAGAGAGAGACCAGATAAAGACCAGAGAGAGAGATCAGAGAGAGACCAGAGAGAGGCCAGAGAGAGACCAGAGAGAGACCAGAGAAAGACCAGAGAGAGGCCAGAAAGGGACCAGAGAGAGGCCAGAGAGAGACTGGTCTCTCTTTATTCTTTATTCTTTAGACTCAACTGTAGAGAATGGATCGCTTCAGTGAGATCTCGGTCTCGTCGGAGGCCTCGCTGCAGATCGTGAGGAGCCACTTTGAGCAGATCAGTGGCAGTCAGTGGGTGATGTTGTCCAGAGGCATGTGCGACTTGGAGACCAGGCGTATTCTGACCGCCATGTTTATCTCGTTGGTCCAAACGCTGTCCGCCAACGTCTTGGGTCTGATTGTTCCGAAACACGAAGTGAACAACAGGTTCCTGAGTGAGAACGAGGCGACCCGAGCTCACGGATCGATCGTCACTGTGCTGCAGGACACCATGGGGCAAGTGTTCTCTCAGGCTCTGAATCTGCCCACGGACTCGTTGGACAAACACCAGGACTCGCAGGAGCTCACCACCCTGATCGAGCAGGAGGTGTCCGCGAAGGTGAACCGTGTCCTTTCTGAGGAGCAGGAGGAGGGCCCTGTGATGGTGGACGCCCTCATCAGCAGCGAGAGTGTGGCTCGCAGCATGATCGAGAAGGGAAACTCCTGCCTCAAGAGGTGCCTTCGCGCTGACACAAACAAGTCAGAATCTTCGGAAAGTGGGCCGTGCCGCTGTAGCTTCCTCAGATTCGCCAAAAAGAATTTCCGAAGCATGCAGGAAAATCTGGAGGCAGAACTTCTGGTTGAAGAGTTAGAGCCAGAGACGAGGAGTTTGTCGAAGGGGTCGAGCTGTGGGAGTAACCCAGACCTGGGAAAAACTCCGGGTTATGCTTTGAGGACTCCAGAGGTTAGTTTTGAGCAGTTTCAACCTCAACTAGAGGAGTTGTTTCGACAGTTAGATCTCCCGACAAGTCCTGACACAGAAACAAGTCGAGTTAGACTGGCCCAGGCCTTGGATAGTGAGGAAACCACAATCTTTGTTCAGAATCTGACAGACACAATGTACTGTCACTTTCATATCCTAAAGGGACTTGTGTCACAGAACAAGGAGCTAATGAGTGAGTTCCAGAACCAAGAGCCCGAGCCGATATACACACGGAAAATAAGGGTAAGCTGTAAGCTCAGGCACTATGACTGGCAGCAGACATACGCCACGGTGCAGACCGAGGTATCAAATTACCTTCAAAGCCTCCAGGATTACATAGCGCAAGACCCATTGGAGAAGTTCTACCGCCAGGATCTGTTTGAGTTGTGCATGGAAAAGCCGCCTCTGTCGCCCAACTCCCAGCAGGCCCTGACATATAATGTGTCCATTCCTTCTCAAGGGTTGGTCCCCGTCCAGGTGGAATTTCAACAACTGTCAGGGCAGTCTTTCAACAGCCAGAAACACGACCTGTTCGAGAGGTCTATGGTGCACCCCAGAGCCTGTGTGCCATCGCGGATCTCTAGAGACGTTCCGGCGATCGTCTTACGCACACCAGAGGTCAGCACCAGGAGTATCTCAGGCATCTCTGAGAATTCTTTTAGAAGTCAGAAGTACGACCTGTTCGAGAGGTCCATGGTGCCTCCCAAAGTAGAGCTGCCTTCTTTCATCTCTGAGGACGTCCCGGCGGTTGTCCTGAAAACCCCAGAGGGCATGAGAAGAATCAGTGACAGAGACTTGTCCGAGGGCCAGTCCATGACTCTAGGCCTGATAGAGGCTTTGATGATTGAGACGTTCAGGGGAAAGGCAGCTTTGCGTCCGTGGGACCAAAAATACAAAGTGATCCGCGACCGTTTGACAGAAATAGCCTGGGAGGAGATCCAGCTTTCTGAACAACAGGCAAAGAAAACGGAAAAGAGAATGAGTAAAATCATTGCCGCGATTGTGAAAGACCTCAAATCCCATTACGGCACGGCACAGAGAATGTTGGAAAGTGCTTTGGACGGAAAAGACCGGACCTTTGAGAAAACGGTTCTGAAGTCCCTGCAGTACCACCTTGAGCACAACCTGCGGAAGAAGAAGTCTTTTCTGAGCCGCTTGTTCAGAGGTCTCTGTAAGCCCTTCCAATGCTGCTGCTGCCCCACCACTGAAGAGTAAATATCCACACCCTCAGAACACCCCGATGCTAGCTACAAGACCCCAAGGCTAGCTACAAGACCCCAAAACTAGTTACAAGACCCCAAAACTAGCTACAAGACCCCCCAATGCTAGCGACTGAGGGGTTTGGATGGAGTTGGATTGATAAAGGGGGTAAAAGTGAGCAAAACTGTTCACTTTTACCATCACCTTTAGCAAGCAGCTAACCGACTAGCATTGTTCTAACCCTCGTGTTTGGATTTGTCTTGAATTTGAACGAGAGGATGATAGCAAAAGAAAAATAACTTTTAAAGAGACTAAACTAAGACTTTAGTTTGAACCCCTCATGATCAGATTAACGATCTGAAAGAGAGGGCGATAACACAAACTAGAGGCTCTGGGCACTTTAAATCTTTAAAACTTTAATGCTATGACCACGTGTCCGATTTGGAATTTTTAGCCTTGTCAGTGAGTTAGCATGTAGCTAGCTAACGGACAGTGAGAGAGAATCATCGGAGGGAACCGGAAACAAAACACACTGCATCAAAAACCAAATAAAAATAATAAATATTAATAAATACAATTGTTTTTTTCATTGGCTTAAAACTGTCTGTAACACTACTTTGATTTTAGTTTTCTTGATTTTTATCATTAAGCATTTCTTTTATAGTTTTACAGCGACTGAAATCAGGTCCTGAAGCAGAAGGTCAACCATAAGGAACCATGAAACCACAGAAACAGATGAAATTGTGTTTAATAACAAAGATGGAGCTGGAGCCTCTTGCATGTTGTGGTGGACACACACATTATGACCTCACTCCTAAAAGTCATTTATTGTTAAGGATGATGTCTGGAAGAGAGCAAGAAGCCAACGGCAAGAAGTGCTGGAATAGGATCACTCTTTCCTCCACACATCATCAGTAAAACTAACCAGTCTCACGACGGTCTAACCCCGGCTCACGTTCCCTGTTAGTGGGTGAACAATCCAACGCTTCGTGAATTCTGCTTCACAATGACAGAAAGAGTCGACATCGAAGGATCAAAAAGCGATGTCGCTATGAACGCTATGACCAGAGAGAGGCCAGAGAGAGACCAGAGAGAGACCAGAGAGAGACCAGAGAGAGACCAGAGAGAGACCAGAGAGAGACCAGAGAGAGAGACCAGAGAGAGGCCAGAGAGAGACCAGAGAGAGGCCAAAGAGAGGCCAGAGAGAGACCAGAGTGAGACCAGAGAGAGGCCAGAGAGAGGCCAGAGAGAGACCAGAGAGAGAGGCCAGAGAGAGACCAGAGAGAGGCCTGATAAAGACCAGAGAGAGGCCAGAGAGAGACCAGAGAGAGGCCAAAGAGAGGCCAGAGAGAGACCAGAGAGAGGCCAAAGAGAGGCCAGAGAGAGACCAGAGTGAGACCAGAGAGAGGCCAAAGAGAGGCCAGAGAGAGACCAGAGTGAGACCAGAGAGAGGCCAGAGAGAGGCCAGAGAGAGACCAGAGAGAGAGACCAGAGAGAGGCCAGAGAGAGACCAGAGAGAGGCCAAAGAGAGGCCAGAGAGAGACCAGAGTGAGACCAGAGAGAGGCCAGAGAGAGGCCAGAGAGAGACCAGAGAGAGACCAGAGAGAGACCAGAGAGAGACCAGAGAGAGACCAGAGAGAGACCAGAGAGAGGCCAGAGAGAGACCAGAGAGAGACCAGAGAGAGACCAGAGAGAGACCAGAGAGAGACCAGAGAGAGGCCAGAGAGAGGCCTGATAAAGACCAGAGAGAGGCCAGAGAGAGACCAGAGAGAGACCAGATAAAGACCACAGAGAGAGATCAGAGAGAGGCCAGAGAGAGACCAGAGAGAGACCAGAGAGAGACCAGAGAGAGACCAGAGAGAGACCAGATAAAGACCAGAGAGAGACCAGAGAGAGACCAGAGAGAGACCAGAGAGAGACCAGAGAGAGACCAGATAGAGACCAGAGAGAGGCCAGAGAGAGACCAGAGAGAGGCCAAAGAGAGGCCAGAGAGAGACCAGAGTGAGACCAGAGAGAGGCCAGAGAGAGGCCAGAGAGAGACCAGAGAGAGAGGCCAGAGAGAGACCAGAGAGAGGCCTGATAGTTCAAATATAGTGTGTTCTCCAAATGAGACTTAACTTTGACCAAAGAGCATTTTTAATCTATTTATGACTTTAAATAAGTAAATAAGATTTATTCTGCTCTAATGTGTACAGCAGAGGACCATCTTAACGCCTTTTTCCCCCTCTCTTTCTTTCCCCCCCCCAGGCTCCACATTGGTAAGGGCGTGCAACTGGAGTGTAAAGGTGAAGGTGACGTGTGGGTGCGGTGTCTGAGCGACCACGCGGTGTTCGTGCAGAGTTATTATTTGGACCGAGAGGCGGGACGTGCCCCGGGAGACGCCGTCCACAAGATCTACCCCAGCGCCTACATCAAGGTGACCCGGACCCGTCAAAATGACTGCTCAATGGGATTCTGAGACAGAATCCCAGATTTATTTTCTTTTGATATCATATATAATGAGTAGGGGGTGCTAACAGTAATGCTAATGCTAACAGCTGACAGCAAACAGTATGTTGCTATGGTAACGAGCACTTGACCTTGGAGAAAAGCACGTTTATCTGACAGAGAATGTTCGTTACCAAGCAACCAGAACATGGTGACTTTTTCTGTTTGTTTTGAAATGAGTCTTCACATTTAAAACAAAGAATCATTGTATAAAGCGATGAAGACCAAGATTGCAAGCTAGCTGTAATTCCACATGAGGAGTCACTTTGAGTGCTCTGAGTCCTGGTTTAAAGTGTTGTGTTGTTCAGGTATTTGACCTGCGTCAGTGCCACAGACAGATGCAGCAGCAGGCAGCCACTGCTCAGGCAGCTGCGGCTGCGCAGGCGGCAGCTGTGGCTGGAAACATCCCAGGACCAGGATCAGTGGGAGGCATCGCTCCAGCCATCAGTGAGTCTCCTCTACTGTACTCACTATACTTACTATACGCTCTCTACTCTTTCTACTCTCTGTACTCACAATACTCACTCTACTCTCTATACTCTCTGTACTCTCTACACTCACTATACTCAATACTCTCTATACTCACTATACTCTCTATACTCGCTATACTCTCTACTCACTATACTCTCTCTACTCACTATACTCTATACTCAATACTCTCTATACTCAATACTCACTATACTCAATACTCTCTATACTCTCTATACTCTCTATACTCACTACTCTCTGTACTCTCTATACTCTCTACTCACAATACTCTCTCTACTCACTATATTCTCTATACTCTCTGTACTCACTATACTCTATACTCACTATACTCTCTACTCACTTTACTCTCCATACTCACTATACTCACTATACTCTCTATACTCTCTATACTCACTATACTCTCTATACTCGCTATCTCTATAATCACTATACTCTCTGTACTCTATACTCTCTGTACTCTCTATACTCACTATATTCTCTATACTCTCTGTACTCTCTATACTCACTATACTCTATACTCAATACTCTCTATACTCGCTATCTCTATAATCACTATACTCTATACTCGCTATACTCACCTCTATATTCACTATACTCTCTAATCACATACTCACAATACTCACCTCTCTATATTCACTATACTCTCTATAATCACTATACTCACTATGCTCACAATATTCACTATACTCTCTATAATCACTATACTCTATAGAGAGTATAGTGAATATTGTGAGTATAATCACTATACTCTCTATATTCACTATACTCACCTCTCTATATTCACTATACTCTCTATAATCACAATACTCGCTATACTCACCTCTCTATACTCACTATACTCTCTATACTCGCCATCTCTATACTCACTATACCCTCTATACTTTCTATACTCATTATACTCACTATACTCTATACTCACTATACTCTATATGCTCTATTCTCACTATACTCAGCGAGTCACCTCGACATTATGATTTTTCCCTCAGGTCTGTCGGCGGCGGCAGGCATCGGCGTGGACGACCTGCGGCGCCTGTGTATCCTGAGGATGAGTTTCGTTAAAGGCTGGGGCCCGGATTATCCTCGACAGAGCATCAAAGAGACGCCATGTTGGATCGAGATCCATCTGCACCGAGCTCTGCAGCTGTTGGACGAGGTCCTGCACACCATGCCCATCGCCGACCCCCAGCCCCTGGACTGAGGCCGCTGGACTGAGGCCTCTGGACCAGAGCTCGGCCTCTGGAGCCATGAACATATATGAACATAAATTGTACATACAGAAAAAGACTTTAATGACAAAGATCCGGCAGAAGTCAAACTGAACACTCTCTGTAGCTCCTGGTTTTCGCACCAACTTCCATTGTCCTCGTCCGGGAACAACTCCATCAGAGTCCAGAGCGACATGACCACAAAGACCCGAGTCTAGAGGCCAAGAGAGAGACTCAGAACATTTAAAAGTCATGTTATTCTTTGTATGATGTAATCTTTATCAGTTTTTTTTCTCTTTCCCCTTTTTAAGTATCTTAAAGCATGTTTATCAGCTCATCTTTTAAACTCTAAAGCAGAGGTACAACTCAGTCCTCAGGGCCTGGTCTCTCCAAGATGTCTGCCTCTGGTCTCTCCAAAATGTCTGTTTCTACTACTGTTTGGAGATCAGAGGCAATGTATTCTGGTCAGCTGAGAGGGAGAGGGGGAGAGAGACCAGAGAGCTGGAGCTACACCAGTCCTTTGAGAACCGAGTTGAAGCCTTCTGCTCTCAAGTTTCTGTTTTCTAATATTTTAAAAATATGGGTTTATCTCACGGCAAAGACATTAGTTTGTAACAGAGACATCCAGATTAGCACTTTATCATTTTCCTTGTTTTATACCGTTAGCATAGTCTGTTTTTATCATGCATTTTTCATAATTTTTTCATCTTTTAAAAGGGATTCTGGATTGTCTTTGTTTTTTTTATAAATCCCTGGACAGTTACATACGTCTGTGGCGCCTGTTTGTGATTGGTTTGTCTCATAATCGCTTATAACAAATGATGCTAATGATAAATGACTTGTGGGGGAGAAACTGGGAGGAAGTGAAGCAATTCTGAAGCCAAAATCTACCAGTGCGGTCTGCAGACTTCACACCAGTATTAAATATCACTTGCACATGTTTTCACTCCAAACCCTCGTCCTGCAGCTCGGTGTCGCTGTGTTTTATACAGTTTTCTACCTTTTTCAGTACAAGGTCTTGCTCAGTTACATATATGTCATGCATTTGAATTGTTTGTCTGTGGTTGAATTAAACGGTTACTGTAGTGCATTGTGTGTGTTTGATATCAGGGGTCTTCAACTCCATCTTCAAGGAGTCAGTGTGGCTGCAGGTCTTCACTCCAACCATTAGCACAGCAGGCACCACCCGTTTCCTCACGTCTCCAGACTCAGACCATACATGTTGCATCACCTTATATGTTAGCTTTGAGCTGTAACTGCCGCATACGTGTTGCTAAGACGGTTGCTAAGGAAAGCTGGAGTTTCCCCTTTGAATTAAGACTTCTGATTGGACAATATCACATATAAACACCAGGATCATAGAGAGCGATTAACCACAACCCTAACTCTTGTTTTTAATCCCAAAAACCGGTAAAACGTTACTGAGCTAGATTTTACTTCTACATGAAAGACAACAGGAGCCAGAGAGGGATGGAGCAAAACTTTGTCCATAGCACTTCCCTGTTGGACTTCATTGAGCTAGCAGGTTAGCATTGTCCATCTGTATACAGTCTGCGTTAGCATGTAGAATCTGTATACAATCTGGTGTGCTGGCTGCTTAATTGGAGTGAAGACGAGCTCTATATCCATTCATGAAGACCATGGATTGAATTCGTTAAAACATGTTCTCTTTTCACCGTTTAGTCCAATGCTGTTATTCTGTTTGAGTCTTGAACTGAAGCCCTGCCAGATGATGAAACCGTTTCATTAGTTAGATTTGAGGGTGAGTTGTCCTGGTTGCAGGTTCATCCGTTTCACCAGCGCATGTTGTGGCGCCCTCTGCAGGTGAAAGACAGACACACATTTCCCGATTAAAAACCCGTGAGACTTGGTTTTGAACAAGAACGTTTATTACTGCAAAGACAAGTCACAAATCTTATGAAAACAACACTAGAAGCCTGAGCCCGGTCTGAAATATTCAGAGAAAAACAAACTAAATGTGTCTGTAATAGTTTCTACAATCAGGAATACGACACACTAAATATAGTTTTGTAATAAATATAAAACTCCCCCGGTCATCCGTGATTTTTTAAACTACACAATACAAATCGCCAGTTAAATAAACTACATTATATGAAGAGAAAGCAACACAAAAAGAAGGTCACGTTAAAAGTGGTCATATATAATATCAGATTTACAAGAAAAAAGGGGGAAAAGAAGAACACGTTGCACTTAAGTTAGAAAGAAAAGTCCACCAAATCATAACCAGGAAACAAATAAATATTCTTTTGATATTTACACATTTCGAGCTGGGAACCTTCCGGATGCAGACCGTGCTACAGTCACATGGAACCTTCCGGATGCAGACCGTGCTACAGTCACATGGCACTTCAGATCCTCACACACAAATATCAAAACGCGTCACAGCATTCAGGAGAAATCAGTTCAAAAGGAACGAAGGGTAAAATCTGCAGAGTTTGTGTTCGGTACGAAGAGGCGCCGCCGGTTTGACGACGAGAAGAATCTTTTTGTTTTTCCAACCCGGTCTGGCCCGGGTCTAAGCCCTGTTTCCATCAACTTAGCTCTACTCTACGCTACTCTACTCTACTCTCCCCTGATTGGGAGTGTTGTCTCTGGTCCGTCTCTGGTCCTTCTTTAGTCCCTCCTGGTCCTGGGTCTATCCAGGCCGAGCTGGTACTAAAGTGTTCTAGTAGTAGAATAGAGTAGAGTAGAGTAGAGTCCAGTAGAGTAGAGTAGGGTAAAGAAGAGCAGAGCAGAGCGGAGCAGAGTCCTGTAGAGTAGAGTACAGTAGAGCAGAGCGCTGTAGAGTACAGTAGAGCAGAGTAGAGTAGAGTAGAGTAGTGTGCTGTAGAGTCGAGTCGAGCAGAGTAGAGCAAAGTCCAGTAGAGTAGAGCAGAGTTGGTGGAAACGGGGCTAAAGGCAGCATAGAGCCGTGGGTTGAGGACATTTACAAAGCGCTGGTCCGTTATTTCTACAGAAAGTCGCACACAAGAAAAAAGGTTCATTTTTAAACAGATTTACAAAAAAAACAATCTCATTATTATAAAATACAAATGGCGGCAGCAGCAGAGTCCGGAGTCGACTCTAGCAAGCGGGAAATCACTGTCTGGCATGTGCAGTCGGTAAATAATATCAACACAAATGAAAAACTAGCAGCACAGGAGCAGGACAGACAGGTACAGACGCTGTCAATCAAACAGGCCACGCCCACAGCCACGCCCAGGCACAACACGTTAGCGAGCGTTTGTACAGACCGACACGTGCATTCAAGCCTCCAGCGACAAGGTCCTGTTGTGTTTCAGAGCTGAGTTCATAAAGTCGGAATAAAAACAATAAAAACACTAAATTTATTTTACAGCAAGGCCGAGACACGAGCTCATCATTTTATCCTGAATCAATTTTGGAGATGAGTGGTTAGCCCAGGTCATTGACTGAATACAGATGGATAATGCTAACCCGCTAGCTCAATGAACCCCAATAGAGAAAACTCTGCGGCTCGCATTGACTTACATGGGGAACTGACTTTTTACTGACGTCAATGGGGAAGATGCTGATTTTAAAATAAGCTAGCTGGAGCCATTTCCCTCATATGGGCATTACCTCTGCACCGTTAGCTTTTCGCTCTGACAGGCGCAGATGTGTTGCTAAGGCGGTTGCTAAGGTAAGCTGGAGTTTCCCCCGATGTGATTGGTCAATGCTGGCTCGTATCTGGATTTGCAAAGACAACATTACAATATAAATGTGCTAAATGTGCAGTCACAATCACAGCGCCTTCATCCCCACTGCTGTCAGACTGTACAACAAGTCACTCATTAATGACCTGCATTAGGGCTGTAAACGTAGCACTGTCAGTGTCACTTTTCTAGTCGCATAGAAGATACTTTGCCTATTTCCACACGCTGAGGGAGTTCAATAAAGTTTTATGTAATGTTATTATCTCTCTAAATCTATAGGAGCCACACTTCCTCTGTGAGCACTTCCCTACTGGGCTTCATTGAGCTAGCGGGTTAGCATAGTTCATCTATATACAGACTGTGATTACAGCGGGAAGCTAACACTGCTGAAGAAATCCCTGTATAAGGACATTGGCTCCAGCTAGATTATGTTCAAATCAGCTTCTTCTGCATTAGGGCTAACACTGTGGTGATGTCACGCTGTGGTGATGTCACACTGTGGTGATGTCACACTGTGGTGATGTCACACTGTGGTGATGTCACACTGTGGTGATGTCACACTGTGGGGATGTCACACTCGGTCAGTCCTAATGGTCGGCCTATGATTTCAAGCTAACAGGATCTGGATAAGGCTACAGCGTTACGTTGCGGATGCAGTTCAGTCCGATTTCCTTTTTGTATTTCGCATAAAAGACAAAAAACTTTTAAAAAAACAACACAGTATTTGCACATTTCTCTGTTTCCGTGCCGACACCAGAACAAAACCCAGGGACTAAAATCCGACTGGTCCTGGATCCGTCGGTTACAGCGAAACAGCATCAACATTCCGAGTCACAAAAGTACGTCACATTCTCTCTTTCTGGAGCGAGATAAACGTCTCGAGCTTTAAGCACAATAAATATAAATAAATAAATATTGAGAATCTATTAGAGGGAACTTTATAGAAACAAGAGCTACGTTTCCACCAGCCCCAGTCTAGTCCAGTCCAGGCCAGTCTAGTCTAATCTGTTCCACTGGCCCCGTTTAACCGATACCAGCCAGATTAATGAAACAAAAAACAAACAAAAATGTATTATAAGAAAGAAAGCCCCGCCCCCTGCGTCTAACTGAGAGTGATTGGCCAGAGAGCTGCTGGAAGCCATGGTAACGAAGGAATTTCCATAGATACTGGTTTGCTATGGGTATGTTGCTGTTAACGCAATCAGGTGGAGTGTAGTAGTGTAGAGTAGAGTAGAGTAGAGTAGAACAGAGTGTAGTAGAATAGAGTGTAGTAGAGTAGAGTAGAATAGAATGTAGTAGAGTAGAGTAGACTAGAGTGTAGTAGAGTAGAGTAGGGCAGAGTAGAGTAGAGTAGAATAGAGTGTAGTAGAGTGTAGTAGAGTAGAGTAGGGTAGAGTAGAGTAGAGCAGGGTAGAGTAGAATAGAGTGTAGTAGAGTAGAATAGAGTGTAGTAGAGTAGAGTAGGGTAGGGTAGGTAGGGTAGAGTAGGGTAGGGTAGGGTAGAGTAGGGTAGAGTAGGGCAGAGCAGAGTATGGTATGGTATGGTATGGTAGAGTAGAGTAGATTAGAGTAGAGTAGGGTAGAGTAGAATAGAGTGTAGTGGAGTAGAATAGAGTGTAGTAGAGTAGAGTAGGGTAGGGTAGGTAGGGTAAAGTAGGGTTGGGTAGGGTAGAGTAGGGTAGAGTAGGGCAGAGCAGAGTATGGTATGGTATGGTAGAGTAGAGTAGAGTAGATTAGAGTAGAGTAGGGTAGAGTAGAGTGGAGCTGGTGGAAATGGGACTTTAATGTTAAAGTTCAGACTAATGTCTAGTTTCTCACGTTCGGCTGAAGGCGATGTTCAAGTAAAAGATAAAACCAATGAAAGAGCAGTTTTTCCCCATTCCTCACAGCACGACAGCTAAATACAAAGAAGCTACAAAATATACTCAATGTTCACATAAAAAAAACCACAATTTTGTTATGGTTGTTTTTTATACTATACACACACACACACACACATGCTAGAGCTGGGAGAAAAAAATCAATTCTGTTCATATTTAATATATTTTGCGCACACAATTTTGTCAGTGTACTTGTTGTGGCGTCTGGTTTGACTCTATGACGGTATATCACAGAATCATAATCACTATATTGTTAAATTGTGGCCCAAGTATCGCAATATTATTTAATCCTCACATTTTTGCCAATTCCCAGCCCTAGCACACACACACACGCACAACTAAAGACACACACACGCACGCACAGACGCTTCTATATATATCTATATATATTTTTCTCTTTGAATTGTTATCAGAAAATATCTATGTTTGATCCAACAGAAGTTTGTGAATGGGATAAAAGTGAAACAAAGACATCGTCAAAGATCAAAGATGCTGATTTTTTCGGTGGCGATGTGCACAAGGGGTCAGGAGAGAGTTCTGCACGCGTCAAAAGGGCTGGCACCACTGGTTTGAGGTAGGGCGACTGATGGATGTCCACACACACACACACACAGACACACACACAGAGACACACTCACACACACAGAGACACACACAGAGACAGGCCTCCAGGGGCCCGAGCGGGACAAGGCTATAGACACACATAGATCTGCTGGTCAAGAGAAGAGAGCCCACCCCTCGGTCTCAGCACGAATGAGCCAGCCCAAATCCAGCCACGAGTCCCCGAAGCCAAAGGTGCGGCTGGGGGAGGGGCCTCAGCGCTTTGGGGGAGGGCCTCGGCGCTCTGGGACAGCTGCATTAAGGATTAAGGCACTAATGATAAAGCCGAGGTACATAGAATTCCCTGACATTCATTTTGCGACATGGCACTATGGGACAGGAACAGCTCTCCTTCCTGGACGGGTTTTCTTTTTTTGGTCCTTTAAAAACATCATTAGTAATAATAGAAAGATGCCGCGTGCAAACGGAAATAAAGGAAAAGGCAAAGAGCGAGAAAGTCTATGCAAAGTATCTGTGACATGTTAGGGCCATAAAGCAACTCTGAGGAGCACAGGGACTAGCCTCCTGCTGGGACTCTGGGACCAGCAGGAGGCTAGTCCCTGTGCTCCTCAGAGTCAGGACTAAACATGTGGAGGCAGCATTTCAGATTCATGCAGCTAAAATCTGGAACAGTCTTCCTGAAAATGTGAGACAGGCTTCTTCTCTGACATATCCAGGTTGAAAACTGCTGACCTGTGCTACAGCTGAGGGATTGTGTCGTCACTCTCTTTAACGCACTGTGATTATCTAGGATTTGAATGCCTTGTTCGGCACTTTGGAGTTGGCCGTGTGTATGAACTGTGCTATACAGATAAACTTCCTCTCACTGAAAGCCGCCGAGCCCTTCCTGGTCTCAACGAAGCAAAATCTACTTGTTTTTGGCTACACGCATTAGTCTCATTCAGCCGACTGCTGTCATCATGATTCATATTTCTGGAATAGAAAATGGAGGCGATAAAAGCAGTAGTAGCACCATGATTCTGACTCAAGACGAAAACAGGAGAACGGAGACGTGACTGAACTGAAAGACTTCCTTGAGACCAGTGACGTGGATTTGAGCTCTGGGTTTAGGGTGCTCCCCGTCAGAGGCACAGGACAAACAGAGCACAGGGACCTCAGGGAGAGCCCGAGGAGCAGACACACACGGAGACACACACACACGATACAAAAGGAGATCTGTGGGGCGGGTCTTCACACCGAGGCGTAGGTGTTGCCCGTGGCGCTGCAGTGGCGGATGGTGGTGGTGGCGGAGGACGGGGTCAGGATGTGTTCGCTGTGGTCTGGCAGAGGCTGAGGCAGGGAGTGCAGTACCCCCGGCTGGACCACGCCCACCACGGGGTGAGAGCCGTCGGCCAGCGCCCCCACCTGGATCACCTGGATCACCTCGTGCTCGGAGCGCTCGCGCTTCGCTAACGGTTCGCCGCAGGAGTCGGTGTCCTCCTCCAGGTCACTGTCCAGCCCACTGGTCTCTTCTGCAGGAGGGAGAGAAACTCTGGGTCATGCTACAAAACTAGGATATGAATGAGAAGTAATGAAGAGAGAGAGAGACTGACCTTTGTCAATGTTGGTCAGGGTTAAACTGCTCAGGCTGTCGAACTGAACACACACATTTATTATTATTATAATTACTGTGCAAGAACATCAGAGGAGAGGAGAGTGAGGAGAGAGAAAGAAAGAGCAGAGAGAGAGGAAAGAGATGAGAGAGAGAGAGAGACACATACCTGCCCCATGACCCCGATGGGGGTCTCTCCTGTTGCCAGGGCGACGCGGTGCTCCACCAGGTAGAACATGTACTCATCGTAGAGCAGACGGATCAGATGGAAGGAACCGAAGCTCGCAGCACTACGTAGAGTCAGGTCTCTGATCACCATAGAGCTGAGGAACACACAGAGTCAGTCTCTGATCACCATAGAGCTGAGGAACACACAGAGTCAGTCTCTAATCACCATAGAGCTGAGGAACACACAGAGTCGGTCTCTAATCACCATAGAGCTGAGGAACACACAGAGTCAGTCTCTGATCACCATAGAGCTGAGGAACACACAGAGTCAGTCTCTGATCACCATAGAGCTGAGGAACACACAGAGTCAGTCTCTAATCACCATAGAGCTGAGGAACACACAGAGTCAGTCTCTGATCACCATATAGCTGAGGAACACACAGAGTCAGTCTGTAATCACCATAGAGCTGAGGAACACACAGAGTCAGTCTCTGATCACCATAGAGCTGAGGAACACACAGAGTCAGTCTCTGATCACCATAGAGCTGAGGAACACACAGAGTCAGTCTCTGATCACCATAGAGCTGAGGAACACACAGAGTCAGTCTCTGATCACCATAGAGCTGAGGAACACACAGAGTCAGTCTCTGATCACCATAGAACAAGTGATGCAATAGTAAAGGTCATCCCTGATGCGAGCCATGACCTGATTCACACACACACATAAATATAAACACACACACACACACACAGACACACATAAATACAAACACACACACACACACACATAAATATAAACACACACACACACACACAGACACACACAGACACACACACACACACCTGTAGAAGGACCACTTGAGGAGGAACTGTCGTGCGGCTCTGGGGAAACTGTGGCGATGCTCGAAGGGTTTGAGGACCTGAGTGACCACGTTATCGAGCCACGAGGCCCACTGCTCCAGAGAACTCTGCTGCTGCAGCGTCGCTTTAAAGTCCTGCTCCAGCTGCTGCACCACCCCCTCCTCACACTGACACACCCAGGACGCCTGCTCCTGAGGACAGAGGACAGACACAACCTCAGAGACATGTCCTCACACTGACACACCCAGGACGCCTGCTCCTGAGGACAGAGGACAGACACAACCTCAGAGACATGTCCTCACACTGACACACCCAGGACGCCTGCTCCTGACAGAGACATGAAGAGAAGAGAGGAAAGAGAGAGAGTGGAGGACACAGACCCGGGGGACACAGACCCGGGGGACACAGACCCGGGGGACATAGACCCGGGGGACACAGACCCGGGGGACACAGACCTGGGGGACACAGACCTGGGGGACACAGACCTGGGGGACACAGACCCGGGGGACACAGACCTGGACGTTGGCGAAGTCCACTCGGTTCAAGTCGCTGAGCATTTGGTTGATCTGAGACGTGTTTTGTAAAACAGCTCTCGCTGCTTGAGCCAAATGGTTCAGAGACGTGTATCTGCGCAACATCTGTGCGAAGGCACTCACCGCTGCAATCTGCACACACACAATAACACACAGTCACATACATGACACACAACAACACACACATGACACACAGTAACACACAATAACACATAGTAACACACATGACACACAGTCACACACATGACACACAATAACATATAGTCACACACATGACACACAATAACATATAGTCACACACGACACACAATAACACACATGACAAACACACACACACACACACAGACCTTGGTGTGGATCATTCTCTGTGGAGCGGTGTTCATGGCGTTGCTCAGCCAGCCCTCCAGGCTTTTGGCAAAGTTACGAATGGCTTGAGTCAAGGCACCTGAGGAGAAAGACACCATCAGAAGAGAAACCATGAGGAGAGAGACACCATCAGGAAAGAGACACTGTCAGGAGAGAGACACCGTCAGGAGAGACACCGTCAGGAGAGACACCGTCAGGAGAGACACCGTCAGGAGAGACACCGTCAGGAGAGACACCGTCAGGAGAGACACCGTCAGGAGAGAGACACCATCAGGAGAGAGACACCATCAGGAGAGAGACACCATCAGGAGAGAGACACCATCAGGAGAGAGACACCATCAGGAGAGAGACACCATCAGGAGAGAGACACCATCAGGAGAGAGAGACAAGACACACTCACTCACACAGACAGACAGACAGACACACACGCACAGACACAGACACAGACACACTCACAGGCGCAGACACACACACACACATAGACAGGCACATGCACACACACACACACACACTCACACACACACTCACTGGGGATGGGTCTGAGGACGTCTGGGATGAGGATCTCCACCAGGGCCTGGTACATGAGGTGGTCACAGGTGCTCATCCACTTCAGCACCGTCTCGTTCCGACACAGAACCACGAGCGCCGACCGCGGGAGACGGGCCTCGATCTCACTGATGCTGCTGCCGAACACACAACCTCTGAGATACACCTCTGAGATACACAACCTCTGAGATACACAACCTCTGTATGTGTGTGTCTGCATGTGTGTGTCTGTGTGTGTGTCCATGTGTGTGTCTGCATGTGTGTGTCTGTGTGTCTGCACGCGTGTGTCTGTGTGTGCATGTCGACTCATAATGAACGTCTGTATAGAGTAGAAAGTGTAGAATGGGGGTTGTGTATCTTAATCAAGTGTGTACCTGTTTTCTATGACGGTGGCGCCCTCTGCTGTATCTGGAGGGGTATAACGCCAGAACGTCTGCCAGAGCTTCTCGATGAGGCTGAACTGGAGGTTGATGACCACGTCGAGAATGGCCTGGAACCAACGACACACACAGACACACACACACACACTGGGTTTTACAAACTTTTTTCAATATTAAACAATGTCTATTTTTTCACAGTAGATGAAAGCATTAAACAGACATAGCTACGTATGATTAAGGACACACAAATAAAGGCAGACACACACACAAATACATACAGACAGACACACAAATATATGCAGACATACACACAATTAAATGCAGACACACACAAATGTATAAAGACACACGCAAATACACAAAGATACAGACACAAAATCATACCGACACACACACAATCATATACAGACATACACAAATGTATACAGACTGATAAAAATTCACAAAAACACAAATACAGACACACACACACAAACAAATAGACAGACACATATAAAAACACTCAAACACAAATACATACAGTGCCTTGCAAAAGTATTTGGCCCCCTTGAACCTTTCAACATGTCGCCACATTTCAGGCTTCAAACATAAAGATATAAAAATTAAATTTTTTGTCAAGAATCAGCAACAAGTGGGACACAATCGTAAAGTGGAACGAAATTTATTGGATAATTTAAACTTTTTTAACAAATAAAAAACTGAAAAGTGGGACGTGCAATATTATTCGGCCCCCTCGGCCCCCTTGCACTAATACTTTGTAGCGCCACCTTTTGCTGCAATTACAGCTGCCAGTCGCTTGGGGTATGTCTCTATCAGTTTTGCACATCGAGAGACTGGAATTCTTGCCCATTCTTCCTTGCGAAACAGCTCGAGCTCAGTGAGGTTGGATGGAGAGCGTTTGTGAACAGCAGTCTTCAGCTCCTTCCACAGATTCTCGATTGGATTCAGGTCTGGACTTTGACTTGGCCATTCTAACACCTGGATACGTCTATTTGTGAACCATTCCATTGTAGATTTGGCTTTATGTTTTGGATCATTGTCCTGTTGGAAGATAAATCTCCGTCCCAGTCTCAGGTCTTTTGCAGACTCCAACAGGTTTTCTTCCAGAATGGTCCTGTATTTGGCTCCATCCATCTTCCCATCAATTTTAGCCATCTTCCCTGTCCCTGCTGAAGAAAAGCAGGCCCAAAGCATGATGCTGCCACCACCATGTTTGACAGTGGGGATGGTGTGTTCAGGGTGATGAGCTGTGTTGCTTTTACGCCAAACATATTGTTTTGCATTGTGGCCAAAAAGTTCGATTTTGGTTTCATCTGACCAGAGCACCTTCTTTCACATGTTTGGTGTGTCTCCCAGGTAGCTTGTGGCAAACTTTAAACGAGACTTTTTATGGATATCTTTCAGAAATGGCTTTCTTCTTGCCACTCTTCCATAAAGGCCAGATTTGTGCAGTGCACGACTGATTGTTGTCCTATGGACAGACTCTCCCACCTCAGCTGTAGTTATCTGCAGTTCATCCAGAGTGATCATGGGCCTCTTGGGTGCATCTCTGATCAGTCTTCTCCTTGTTTGAGATGAAAGTTTGGAGGGACGGCCGGGTCTTGAAAGATTTACAGTGGTCTGATACTCCTTCCATTTCAATATAATTGCTTGCACAGTGCTCCTTGAGATGTTTAAAGCTTGGGAATTCTTTTTGTATCCAAATCCGGCTTTAAACTTCTCCACAACAGTATCTCGGAGCTGCCTGGTGTGTTCCTTTGTCTTCATGGTTCTCTCTGCGCTTTAAACAGAACCCTGAGACTATCAAAGAGCAGGTGCATTTATACGGAGACTTGATTACACACAGGTGCATTCTATTTATCATCATCAGTCATTTAGGACAACATTGGATCATTCAAAGATCCTCACTGAACTTCTGGAGTGAGTTTGCTGCACTGAAAGTAAAGGGGCCGAATAATATTGCACGCCCCACTTTTCAGTTTTTTATTTGTTAAAAAAGTTTAAATTATCCAATACATTTCGTTCCACTTCACGATTGTGTCCCACTTGTTGTTGATTCATGACAAACATTTAATATCTTTATGTTTGAAGCCCTGAAGACACACACGGTCATACACACACACACATACATACACACACACACACAGACACAGGCACACGCACCTCGCAGTGCTCTCGGTAAAGTGACTGTAGCGCCTTCACGTCGTCCAGACTGATGTTTTCAGGATTACTGTGTCCAAGGTTCAGCTCGATGAAGTCCGGCAGCGCTCGAGACGCATCTGCACACAACACATTTATCTGTATAGCACATACACAAAGAGAAGGCCCTGTGTTCTGTGTTTAAGACCACAGAGAAGGCCCTGTGCTCTGGGTTTAAGACCACAGAGAAGGCCCTGTGCTCTGGGTTTAAGGCCACAGAAAAGGCCCTGCGCTCTGGGTTTAAGACCACAGAGAAGGCCCTGCGCTCTGGGTTTAAGACCACAGAGAAGGCCCTGCGCTCTGGGTTTAAGACCACAGAGAAGGCCCTGCGCTCTGGGTTTAAGACCACAGTGAAGGCCCTGCGCTCTGGGTTTAAGACCACAGAGAAGGCCCTGCGCTCTGGGTTTAAGACCACAGAGAAGGCCCTGCGCTCTGGGTTTAAGACCACAGAGAAGGCCCTGTGCTCTGGGTTTAGGACCAGAGAGAAGGCCCTGTGCTCTGGGGTTAAGACCACAGAGAAGGCCCTGTGCTCTGGGTTAAAGACCACAGAGAAGACCCTGTGCTCTGGGTTTAGGACCACAGTGAAAAATCCCAAACCTAAGAACTGCTGGTGGCTCTGTGCGATCACGGTCTGCTCCGCGGCTCCTGGTTGGTGCTGACCTCCGCCCGAGTATCCGTCTCCGGAACTGGTGTCAAACTTCTGCACAGGTTTGAATCTGCAGAAGAATCCAGCAGCATCAGTACAAGGAGCATTAAAAGTGTGTGTGTGTGTGTGTGTGTGTGTGTGGTACAGTGGTCCCTGGTCCCTGACAATAAGTAAAATCTGTCATGTAACAGCCGATTACGTGTGTAACCATGGTTCTATGAATCCTGGATGACCACCAGAGGGCGGTGCGAACCAAATGAGTCACACCTATCACCCTATGGATGACGCTCCAGAGGTAATATAGTCCAGTGCCATCATCACTCTGTTTCTAAAGAATCTTGTCGAAGAAACACAAGAATCCAGACTGACAGCACCTCGGGTGGTCATCCAGGATTCAAAGATAAGTAACATTTGTTCTATTTAACCCCTCCTGACCACCAGAGGGCGGTGCATAGCACTGAATGACCCAATACCAGCTATGTCACAAAGAACCCCAACCACATACCAGAGGACCAAAGAGAGACCAGAGAGAGACCAGAGAGAGACCAGAGAGAAACCAGAGAGAGACCAGAGAGAGACCAGAGAGCGACCAGAGAGAGACCAGAGAGAGACCAGAGAGAGACCAGAGAGAAACCAGAGAGAGACCAGAGAGAGACCAGAGAGCGACCAGAGAGAGACCAGAGAGAGACCAGAGAGAGATCAGAGAAGGACCAGAGAGAGACCAGTGAGAGACTAGTGAGAGACCAGAGAGAAACCAGAGAGAAACCAGAGAGAAACCAGAGAAGGACCAGAGAAGGACCAGAGAAGGACCAGAGAGAGACCAGAGACAATTGCAAGAAGGACCAGAGAGAGACCAGAGAAGGACCAGAGAGAGAACAGAGAGAGACCAGAGAGAGACCAGAGAAGGACCAGAGAGAGACCAGAGAGAGACCAGAGAGAGACCAGAGAGCGACCAGAGAGAGACCAGAGAAGGACCAGAGAGCGACCAGAGAGCGACCAGAGAGCGATCAGAGAGAGACCAGAGAAGGACCAGAGAGAGACCAGAGAGAGACCAGAGAGGGACCAGAGAAGGACCAGAGAGAGACCAGAGAGAGACCAGAGACAATTGCAACTCTCTGACACAGAGAAAGGTGAAACCATCTTACCGCTGCTTCTGCTGCACCGGCTGCTGCCTCAGGGCCATGTACTGCATGTCTTCCTGAAGTCTGTTCAGCGGCGACTCTGGCTTCACGCGGATGCCGTAGTAATGGTACTTTGAGTTTCCCCTGTCGGAAAAGGAAGCACAGGTTTGTGTAGCACAGGTCCAAACTTAATACCAGCGATTGTGTGTCGGTTATTTATCTTAAACACAAACACACTGAGCTACTTCAGCGAAGGCCCGACTACTCTCTGACCCTACACCTCTCATTTATTATCATGGTAATGTGGGTCTCGGACAGATATGAGTGAGCATTAAATGGATTTCTTCAATACATTTAGACTTTATTAAGGACTTATATACAGGCACAGGATCTATAGTTAATAACACTTTCTCTCTGGAGCCTTGAACCTCTGCTCTCTGCTCTCGGGTCTCATTCACGGTGAGACGTTTTGAGTTCCTGAGCAGTTTTAGACAGACCTGGTCCCGAGGCGGCGTGTGCGGAGTCCCATGAAGATGGACCGGATGAGTTTTCCGAAGGACGCTGCGTTGACGGGGTCCAGCTTCTGCTCCTGACAGTGTCGCAAGTAGTGATTGTAGAGCGTGGAGCGCGGCAAACTGACGCCTTCAGCCGTCTCATAGTTATCCAGGAGCCACTGGAGCTGAAACAGGAAGCAACGGGTACTCACAGAGGGGCAGGACCAGGAGCGGCACGGCAAGACCTGACTACGGCTTTGAAATGAAAAGTGGGGCAGGACCAGGAGCGGCACGGCAAGACCTGACTACGGCTTTGAAAAGAGAAGACCAGATAATAACTCTTGATGTTGAGGACCGTATGAAAGGGAAATACAGCAACAGCCTGAGGTGTATCTATGGTCTGAGTGCAGGAGAGGAGAGGAGAGAGGAGAGAGAAAAGAGAAGAGAGAAGAAGAGAGAGAGAGAGGAGAGAGGAGAGAGGAGAGAGGAGAGAGGAGAGAGGAGAGAGAAGAGAGAGAGAGAAGAGAGAGAGAGAGAGAGAGAGGAGAGAGGAGAGAGGAGAAAGAGGAGAGAGGAGAGAGAGAGGAGAAAGAGGAGAGAGAGGAGAGAGAGAAGAGAGAGAGAGAGAGGAGAGAGGGAGAGAGAGAGAGTGAAGAAAGAGGAGAGAGAGAGAGAGAAAGGAGAGAGGAGAGAGGGGAGAGAGAGAGGAGAGAGGGGGAAGAGAGAAAGGTGAGAGAGGAGAGAGAGAGGCGAAAAGGGGGAGAGAGAGAGAGGAGAGAGAGGGGAGAGAGGGGAGAGAGAGAGGAGAGAGGGGAGAAAGAGAGGAGGAACAGAGAGAGAGAGAAAGAGAGAGGAAAGAGGGAGAGATAGAGGTGAGCGCAGAGAGAGGAGAGGAAAGAAGGGAAGTGTCGTGCCTGTGTCCTTGGGCAAGACACTTCCCCCACATTAGAATGAGTCTGGGGTGTGTGTGAATGGTTGGTGATGGTCGGAGGGGCCGGTGGCACAGACTGGTTGCCTCGCTTCTGTCAGTGTGCCCCAGGGCAGCTGTGGAGACTTTGAGCGTCCTGAAAGTTCTGTATTAAATCGATGCATTATTACAGGAAGCAAACGGTTTTGAGAGAGATAAAAGGGATTATTACAATGTTATTTTTTGTCTATTTAATAAAGTTTTGCAGTTTTGAATATTTTTCTCAGCTCTCATGCGGTGAATTATATTGTATTGGTGATATTTCCTTTCTCATATCGCACCGTAATGTTTTGGCCTCATCGCACAGCCCTGATAACCAGCCACAAAACATTACATTTTAGTAACAGAGGTTTCCACGGCAACAGAAGTGAGAAAAAAAGGCAAAGCACTTACAAAAAAAGCAACTTACATGGCTGTTCAGCAGTGAACTTCTCTGACTTGACAAACCCTCCGATTTTTGGAGCGTCTCAATCGCCATTTCAATCTGACAAACCACGGAGAAGCACAAAAGAAACAAACTTCAAACAAAAAAGTGTAGAATCAAAGAGAGAGTACCCCCGAAAAAACAGAACCAAAAAAAAGGCAAAGCATCCCATTGCCCCAAGACCAGAGAGAGACCGGAGAAAGACCGGAGAGAGAGACCAGAGAGAGACCAGAGAAAGACCGGAGAGAGAGACCAGAGAGAGACCAGAGGGAGAGACCGGAGAGAGACCAGAGAGAGAGACCAGAGAGAGAGACCAGAGAGAGAGACCAGTGAGAGACCGGAGAGAGACCGGAGAGAGACCGGATAGAGACCGGAGAGAGACCGGAGAGAGACCAGAGAGAGACCAGAGAGAGACCAGAGAGAGACCAGAGAGAGACCAGAGAGAGACCAGTGAGAGACCAGTGAGAGACCAGAGAGAGACCAGAGAGAGACCAGTGAGAGACCGGAGAGAGACCAGAGAGAGACCAGAGAGAGACCGGAGAGAGACCGGAGAGAGACCGGAGAGAGACCGGAGAGAGACGGACAAAGACAGAGAGAGAGACAGACTGGAGAGAGAGACCGGAGAGAGACCAGAGAGAGAGACCGGAGAGAGTAGAGTAGAGCAGAGCCGGTGTAAGCAGGGCCACAGACACAGAGGAGCTTGACTCACAGTTGCGGGGGAAGCGCGTGCAGCCTGTGTGGTAGAGTGAGGTCCTGCCGGGTCCATGAGGTACCCCCCTGAGCTGCTGCTGATGGCCCCCGGCAGGCCCAGGCTCATGCCCCCGGCCCCTCCCCCGCTGGTGGCCATGCCGTGGGACGAGACCACCGTGGACACCTGCGGCGAGCCCCCCTGGGTGTCGAAGTAGCTCCCGCCGTTGTTCTGGCTGTAGAGCTGCGTCTCCGAGTATGTGTACGACCTTCTGTCCACAAGACATGGGATCAATCAGAAGTTATTACTGTCTGTTTTTAAACTAGTCATGTTGGTGGGATGGTGGGAAAGAGAGAGACCAGAGAGAGAGAGACCAGAGAGAGAGACCAGAGAGGGATCAGAGAGAGAGAGAGACCAGAGGGATCAGAGAGAGACCAGAGAGGGATCAGAGAGAAAGAGAGAGACCAGAGAGAGAGACCAGAGAGGGAGCAGAGAGAGAGAGAGAGAGAGAGAGAGACCAGAGAGGGATCAGAGAGAGACCAGCGAGGGATCAGAGAGAGACCAGAGAGAGACCAGAGAGGGATCAGAGAGAGACCAGAGAGAGACCAGAGAGGGATCAGAGAGAGAGAGACCAGAGAGAGACCAGAGGGATCAGAGAGAGACCAGAGAGGGATCTGAGAGAGAGAGACCAGAGAGAGAGAGAGAGAGAGAGGATAATAAACACACAGAATAACACCATTTAAAAAGGGGTTGGAAGAAGCAGACGTGTGTGTGTTAAAGCTGGGGTACCTAACTTTATTTTCAACTCATGACACAGTTTTTATAGAGTACACTATATGACAACAGTACGGTATTTGTCTTATCACACACACACACGCACCCCCCCCCCCCCGGTTTGAGACAGGACCTGCCCATTGAACTGAACGCGCTCTGGTTTGAGACAGGACCTGCCCATTGAACTGAACGCGCTCTGGTTTGAGACAGGACCTGCCCATTGAACTGAACGCGCTGTGGCTCTGGCCCACTCCAGGTCAGTTTCAGGTGCACATCACAAACACACAACAGCAGAGGCCGGTACGAGCATGTGCGAGTGACAGGAGTGGCTGTAGAGGTCCTCGAGGAGAGAAGAGGGGGGGGGGGAGGGGGAGAGACACACCCACATGTTGCCGTGGGAACACACTCAGGCGTTGCCATGGGAGCACACTCACATGTTGCCGTTGGTGTAGACGCCGCCGCTCTCCTCCACGTACTGCACTTGTGCCGGGTAAACATGCTGCACCTGTTGAACAGTCTGGGCCTGGAACCACAAAACACATTGGATTATTTTATTTTATATATATTTTATTAGTTATATTATGTTTCATTATATACTTATATACTGTATATTTATATACATATATCAGGGGTGTCTCAAACTTTAAGCGGGCCACTAGTTACCAGACTTATACAGGGGCCGACAACCCGCTCTCTCTGTGGTCTCTCTCTCTGTGGTCTCTCTCTCTGTGGTCCCTCTCTCTGGTCTCTCTCTCTGTGGTCTCTCTCTCTATGGTCCCTCTCTCTGTGGTCTCTCTCTCTATGGTCTCTCTCTCTGTGGTCTCTCTCTCTATGGTCTCTCTCTCTGTGGTCCCTCTCTCTGTGGTCCCTCTCTCTGTGGTCCCTCTCTATGGTCTCTCTCTCTGTGGTCCCTCTCTCTGTGGTCCCTCTCTGTGGTCTCTCTCTCTGTGGTCTCTCTCTGTGGTCTCTCACTCTGATCTCTCACTCTGATCTCTCATTCTGATCTCTCTCTCTGTGGTCCTTCTCTGTGGTCTCTCTCTGTGGTCTCTCTCTGTGGTCTCTCACTCTGATCTCTCACTCTGATCTCTCATTCTGATCTCTCTCTCTGTGGTCTCTCTTTGTGGTCTCTCTCTGTGGTCTCTCTGTTCTCTCTCTCTAATCTCTCACTCTCTGGTCTCTCTGTGGTCTCTTTTTCTGGTCTTTCTCTGGTCTCTCTGTGGTCTCTCTCTCATTCCCCTCTCTGGTTGTCTCTCTCACTCTCTGGTCCCTCTGTGGTCTCTCTTTCTGGTCTATGAGCCATTGTCTCTCTCTCTGGTCTATGAGCTTTACAACAAAGAATTGCGTAGAGCAGAGCAGAGCAGAGCAGAGTAGAGTACCTGTTGCTGGGAGGAGCCCGTAGGCTGCACAGGCACAGTGGTCTGAAGAGTGACAGAGGAGGTGGAGTCCGCACCCGACTCAGGGGTCTGCATGGCTCCTGCATCAAACACAAGCACCATTCAAATATACAACTCACAACAAGAGAGACCAGAGTGAGACCAGAGAGAGACCAGAAAGAGACCTGAGAGACCAGAGAGAGACCAGAGAGAGGCCAGAGAGAGAGACCAGAGTGAGACCAGAGAGAGACCAGAGAGAGACCAGAGTGAGACCAGAGAGAGACCAGAGTGAGACCAGAGAGAGGCCAGAGAGAGGCCAGAGAGAGAGACCAGAGTGAGACCAGAGTGAGACCAGAGTGAGATCAGAGAGAGACCAGAGAGAGACCAGGGAGAGGCCAGAGAGAGACCAGAGAGAGACCAGAGAGAGACCAGAGAGAGACCAGAGACAGTTTTGTTTTTTTTCTTACACAATGGCCTTTAACGCTTTTTTGATATATTCTCGGGTTAGATAATTAACGCATAATGGAAACACAACCAGGTAGAGTAGAGTAGAGTAGAGTAGAGTAGGGTAGAGTAGAGTAGAGTAGAGTAGAGTAGGGCCATGAAGGACTGGTAGAAACAGGACTTCAGAAAACCACTTTTGGCCAAATTATTATTATTTCCACTGGTCCCAGGACCAGAGTGAGCCCGAGGCCCCCGGTGAGGAGCCCTGTCCTGTGGTACTTAGTGTCCGGAGTCTTCCGCATCAGTGCCACAAGCTGCTGTCGCCACGAACACCGCCATAAACACAAGTTAATCTTCAACCAACAACAAATAAATGCAGCTTCCTGGGGCACAGTTCCTCCTGACGCTGCACAGACACAGGGCCATGTGAGCGTCACAGAACCAGGACCATGTGAGTGTCACAGACCCAGGACCATGTGAGTGTCACAGACCCAGGACCATGTGAGCGTCACAGACCCAGGACCATGTGAGCGTCACAGACCCAGGACCATGTGAGCGTCACAGACCCAGGACCATGTGAGCGTCGGGAGGTTGTGATGTTTGGGCCACGATTTATTGATATTGGGATTCTTAACATATCGCATTACAGTGATTCTGTGATATATCGTGATACAGTGACAGTGATATCGTATTTTTTTTTTTAAATTGGTATCAATACTTAATATATGACTACATTACGCATCTCCATTCTATTTATCATGAAATAAAGAGTATTTTTTTTAATTTATGCCATAAATTGGCATATTGTATATTTCTGACCAATATATCAATAATCGTCGTATCGTGATAAAATCGTTATCGTGATATCGTTATTGTGATATTATCGTTATTGTGAGCTTTGTATCGTGTATCGTATCGTATCGTGAGGTACCCCTAGGTTCCCACCCCTAATCGTGATACAGTGATTCTGTGATATATGGTGATACAGTGATTCTGTGATATATTGCGATCCATGGCCCTCAAATTATTCACAGACTTTACAAACATGGAGGAAAATAAGACTGACATTTATCATGGTCTGAACATTCAGGAAACAGGACTTTATTATCACAAGAGAAGGCATGTCATCCATCCAACTTCAGCTCAGCCATAACAGACCTTGTTCTAAAGCCCAGAACATTAGACACAACAGTCTATGTAACAGTGATTGAAACTCTGTCGATTCAACCGTTTGGGGAAATACCATGTTTTGAACCATAAAAGTCAGAACCAGGTGAAGATGAAACAATGTAAAAGTCGGAACCAGGTGAAGATGAAACCATGTAAAAGTCAGAACCAGGTGAAGATGAAACCATGTAAAAGTAAGAACCAGGTGAAGATGAAACCATGTAAAAGTCAGAACCAGGTGAAGATGAAACCATGTAAAAGTAAGAACCAGGTGAAGATGAAACCATGTAAAAGTAAGAACCAGGTGAAGATGAAACCATGAAGCATAAAGTGTTTGTGAGTTCACTGCAGTCGTCCCTGGAGCCACTCTCTACTTTCCACAAACAAACCTCTCTTGGTTTAATTAAGACGCCTCTCCACGGACCTGCCCCTCTCCTCCTCCTGCCCCTCCCCCTCTCCTCCACCTGACCCTCTCCTCCTCCTGCCCCTCTCCTCCACCTGACCCTCTCCTCCTCCTGCTCCTCTCCTCCTCCTGCCCCTCTCCCTCCTCCTGCCCCTCTCCCTCCTCCTGCCCCTCTCCCTCCTCCTGCCCCTCTCCCTTCTCCTGCCCCTCTCCCTTCTCCTGCCCCTCTCCCTTCTCCTGCCCCTCTCCCTCCTCCTGCCCCTCTCCCTCCTCCTGCCCCTCTCCTCCACACTGACAAGACTGATGAGTCCCTGGTTTTAGAGGAGAGCCCAGTTTCTACTCTACTCTACTATACTCTCCCCTAATAGTAAGTGTTCCTCTGGTCCTGTGTAACCAGTACCAGGTCCTTCTTTAGTCCCTCTTGGTCCTGATTCTATCCAGGTCGAGCTGGTGCTAAAGTGTTCTAACAGTGATTGAGCTGCTGGAAGTAGGGCTGAAACAACTAATCGATTAATCGACGACTAATCGATTATTGAAATAGTCGTCAACTATTTTAGTAATCAATTAATCGTTTTCTGGTTCACACGGACTCAAACAGAGCAAAAATGACATGAAAATTTTGTATTTTTGATTAAAACCGACTTTGTTTTTATAATTTCATGAATATCTGTCTGTCTCATCCAGTCAGATAGCAGAATTAGCACAAAGAGTCTGTTACAAACATTTACTTTAAGTTTACGCCATCAATACGTCCTCGAGTGTTGCCACTTTAGCTTTTTGTGATGAAAAAATATTTTTTTTCTACACAATTCACAGCCAAGCGATTACTCGATTAATCGTAAAAATAATTGATAGATTAATTGATTACAAAATAATCGTTAGTTGCAGCTCTAGCTGGAAGCCATGGTTACCAAGGAATTTCCACAGATACTGGTTTGTTGTGGGTAGGTTGCTAGAATACGGTACCAGATAGAAAAGCATAATGGAAATGCCACCAGGTAGAGTAGAGTAGAGTAGGGTAGAGTAGAGTAAATTAAACTAAATTTGCATTAGAACAAGTTTGTGTTTAAATTATTGAAAAACCCAGAATCAACAAAAAAAAATTGCCAAATGTACAAAAGGACATTTGACACACCTCCCCCCCCACTCCCACACCTCCTGCCTCCCCCCTCCCACACCTCCTGCCTCCCCATCCAGCCTCTCTCCTCACACACCTCCTGCCTCCCCCTCACACACCTCTTGCCTACCCCAACCCCCCCCACACATCTCTTGCCTCCCCCTCCTCACACACCTCCTGCCTCCCCCCTCACACACCTCCTACCTCCTCCCCCATCACACATCTCTTGCCTCCCCCCTTCACACACCTCCTGCCCCCCCCCTCCTTCCCACCTCACACTCCTCCTGCCCCCCCCCCCCCCCCCCCCCCCCCCCCCCCTTCACACACCTCTTGCCTCCCCCTCACACATCTCCTGCCTCCCCCCTCCCCCCTAACACACCTCTTGCCTCCCCCATTCAGCCTCTCCCCTGTGGTCCACTTAAACGCTGTGCTCCACTGAACTCCACAAAAGACACAGAGGAACAAAAGCCACGACGAGGTTTCAGCCTGAATTTACTCAAATGTATAAATCACTGAAAAACTATGAACCATCAAAGAGAGAGGTGCATCATGGGACGTGTAAAAGTTGTTATAAATACTAACATAAATGAGAGACAGAATCCAAATCACACAGGATAACTCTGAGTGCATCATAGAGTACAGTAGACAGAATTGTTAATTAGCTCCGGAGAATGCTAACCCATAGCTCTATGAAGCCCAATAGGGAAGTGCTCATGGTGAAGTTTGGCTCCTATTGACTTTCTCTAGCTCAGTAACGTTTGTGTCACACTCATAATTCTGGGCATAAAAACAATCTGTGATGCGGGTGTTTATGTTGTGATATTATTTTAATCCAGATATAAGCCATACAAGATTTGACCAATCAGATGTCTTCATTCGTGGGGGAAACTCTAGCTTTCCATATAAGGACATTTCCTTCAGCTAGCTTATGTTCCAATCGGCTTCTTCCACATCAATGCCAACACTGTGGTGATGTCACACTCGGCCGGTCTGACAATAGTAGTCAAAGAGTGTAGTCAGGGGTGTCCAAACTTATTTCCTTGTATCCACACTCTTCTCAATGAGACGTTTTATCTCTATGTGATTTTAATTCTTCTTTTCTTGTTTTGTGAAGCACTTTGAGTTCCCTTGTGTAAAGACTGTGCAATACAAATAAACTTGCCTCACTGTTCTCCAGAGGCGTCACCTGAGCAAACAAAGCTCAAAGCCCAGGGGTGGGGGGGGGACCAAGTAGGGATCTTCTACTTTCTCTATACTATACTAAAGCGTAATGGAAACACAAATATATATATGCCACAGTGTTAGCCTTAATGCAGAGGTTTGAACAAACGCTAGCTAACACAGAGGTGATGTAGCCACAGCTGCCCTGGGGCACACTGAGGCGAGGCAACCAGTCTGTGCCATCGGCCCCTCCCACCACCACCAACCATTCACACACACACCAGACTCATTCTAATGTGGGGGAAGTGTCTTGACTAAGGTGTTCCCATAGGTCTCCCATCACAGTACTGACCAGGCCCTGCTCTGCTTAGGTCTGAGTGGATCTGGCTTTCACCTGCAGTCAAACGCAAACGGTACAAAAATAGCACTCCAAAATCTCTCGGAGTCAAAAATACAGGTTTCAGCAAAGCCCTGAAAATGGATGAGTGAATAATTGAATCCATCAGGTTCTCGTTAAGTGATTGGAAACGCAACAGGATCCTGCGACAGGTGGCTCCGGAATATTCTCCTGCACAGGTCAGAGGTAACACGAGCTGATGGTCCCCACATGCTGCAGAGTGTGTGCGTGTGTGTGTGTGTTTTTGTCTGTGTGTGTGTGTGACTGAGTGTCCGTCTGGGTGTGTGTGTGTTTTTGTATGTGTGTGTGTGTGTGTGTTTTTGTCTGTGTGTGTGTGTGTGTGTGACTGTGAGTGTCCGTCTGGGTGTGTGTGTGTTTTTGTATGTGTGTGTGTGTGTGTTTGTCTGTGAGGGGAGGTGTTTGAGTAAGTGTGTGTGTCCCTGTGTGTTTGTATGTGTGTATCCGTGTGTTTGTATGTGTGTTTGTGAGAGGATGTGTGTGAGTGTGTGTGTGTACGTGTCCGTGTGTTAGACTGTGTGTGTGTGTTTGTCTGTGAGGGGATGTGTGTGAGTAAGTGTGTGTGTGTGTGTATCCCTGTGTGTGTGTGTTTGTCTGTGAGGGGATGTGTGTGAGTAAGTGTGTGTGTGTGTGTATCCCTGTGTGTTTGTGAGGGGATGTGTGTGAGTGTGTCTGTGTGTGTGTTTGTGTGTTTGTCTGTGAGGGGATGTGTGTGAGTAAGTGTGTGTGTATCCCTGTGTGTTTGTGAGGGGATGTGTGTGAGTGTGTTTGTCTGTGAGGGGATGTGTGCGAGTAAGTGTGTGTGTATCCCTGTGTTAGACTGTGTGTGTGTGTGTGTTTGTGAGGGGATTTGTGTGAGTAAGTGTGTGTGTGTGTATCCCTGTGTGTGTGTGTTTGTCTGTGAGGGGATGTGTGTGTGAGTAAGTGTGTGTGTGTGTGTGTATCCCTGTGTGTTTGTGAGGGGATGTGTGTGAGTGTGTCTGTGTGTGTGTTTGTGTGTTTGTCTGTGAGGGGATGTGTGTGAGTAAGTGTGTGTGTATCCCTGTGTGTTTGTGAGGGGATGTGTGTGAGTGTGTTTGTTTGTGAGGGGATGTGTGTGAGTAAGTGTGTGTGTGTGTATGTGTGTATACAGGTGTGCGTGCGTGTATACAGGTGTGTGTGCGTGCGCGTATACAGGTGTGTGTGTGTGTGTGTGTGTGTATACAGGTGCGTGTGTGCGTGTATACAGGTGTGTGTGTGTGCGTGTATACAGGTGTGTGCGTGTGTGTGCGTGTGTGTGCTGTAAAAGAATCAGTTTTTTTGCCATTTGCAGTAAATCCCCAAACTGAACTCAAGTCACATAAATAATAAAATGTTACTTAATGTATTTGTGTATTGCCATAAATTAATCAAAAGAGATCCTTTATCTGTCAGCGGGGAAATGTCAGTGTTGCATCACCAGTTACACAACAGAAAGAATGAGGAGCACACAACAAATGACCAATGAATAAAGTATAAAATCTCTGTCTTTAGCGTAATATAATATAAACTAGTATATAATCCTGTCTCAACAGCACTTTTGCAAAATGGAAGCCGCAGAATTATAAACTTGGAGCATGTTTGAAAAAGGTGTTTCCTTCGTTAACATGATGTATTGCTTTATTGTTTTATTAACATTTATGAACATTGGTCTCTGCCCCGATGCCTCTGTGTTATATATCATTATTATAACACATTATTACACGGTTCCTCACAGCAGCGGTGAAACGCTCCTGTGATTTGAATGTCATTTGAAAACGTTCTACCGGTCATTATTTCTTGATATCGGACCTCTCAAAACAATAATGACCGCTGCCCTTTGGCAACGCACCCTCTGCTTGTATTTCAGATGTGTAGATTACTCCGCAAGTAGTTCCGGCCACTCCGGAGCTAGCCACGCTCAATAAACTCAAATACCAATCAATAACACATTTAAATGTTAATGGGAGAATACATTATACATATACATTCTTAACACACGTGCACAGAGGTTTTCAGAATTATCTGTTAAGGTTTTCATGACAAATATACTGTTTTAATGCGAGAAAAAGCAATCGCGAAAAACCCGGAAGTAGATTCCGGGACATTTTAAGAACATTTGCAGAGGATCAAATTATGGATTTAGGTTAGGTTTATGTTTGGGTCACTCACCGCTGATGTTCAGGATTATTTAGTTTTCATGCAGTTCCAGAGAGTTCTAGTTTGGAAGTTACTAGCCTAACTGTTAACTGTTACTAGCCTAACTGTTACTAGCCTAACTGCAACTAGCCTAACTGCTACTAGCCTAACTGTTACTAGCCTAACTGTTACTAGCCTAAATAGGCTACTAGCCTAGTAGCTAACTGTTACTAGCCTAACTGCTACTAGCCTAACTGTTACTAGCCTAACTGTTACTAGCCTAACTGTTACAACTGTTACTAGCCTAACTGTTACTAGCCCAACTTTTACTAGCCTAATTGTTACTAGCCTAGCTGTTACTAGCCTAACTGTTACTAGCCTAGCTGTTACTAGCCTAGCTGTTACTAGCCTAACTGTTACTAGCCTAACTGTTACTAGCCTAGCTGTTACTAGCCTAACTGTTACTAGCCTAACTGTTACTTGCATAGCCACTGGAAAACCTTTGGGAACTATTTTATTTTCTGTCATTAAATAAACCTTTTGGTATTCATAAGAGTGACTGACGTTTATTTTATGTGTTCTGTTTGTACGAAGCCGTATAATAAGCGGGATAATGTATAGTACACAGGTCATGCGCGTTGGGGTCCGCTTCCGCCCTGTCGGTACTTATTTTCCAATAATGACCTGTGTAACATTATCCCTTACTTATTCTCTGTTTCTGTGTTGGCGAATCGACAGCTTTCAAAAGTCCTCCAAGAGAACTACAAACTACAAAAATACATTGAATTGAATTTTTGTTGTTGTTGTAAAGTACCGTGAGTTCTTTAACATGTATTTGGTCGTGAACAATAAGAAAAGAAAGAGAATAAAACAGTTAAACAAGAAATGCAATAATAATAACAAACACATAAAAAAGACATTGGCCAATAGGAAGCGGGATGAATTAACACGGTCCAGAAACGGTAATAAACATCCAGGATCATCACTGTCCTTAGACCAGCGGCGTCACACTTGTTTTGGTCAGAGCCGTAACAATAGAAGAGATTTCCTTTTCTTATCATAGTTTTTTTTATATTATGAAGATATTTTAACATAACTTTAATGTGACATGAGTTTCACGGTTATTTTCTGGGGGGGTTTTCTGAAAATAAAATGTGTTTATTGTTCAGGTTTAACCCAAAAGGGATCAAATATAAAGTTAAACACATTTTATATTGAACTATATAACTTCTAATGATGTGTTATTGGGTTAAAATATTAGAATACATTAAATTTGGTTGATGGATCCCCTGCCTGGGTCGCCCATATACCATCAATGCTGCTAGTTAATAATAATAAAGAATAGTTTTAGGGGCCACAAAAAATTGTCTTGCGGGTCGGATCTGGCCCCCGGACCTTGACTTTGACACCCACATCATAGACTTACTTAGCCAAGAAAGCACTCAAAAATAAAGTAGGGAAAAAGTGATAAAACTCTGAGGAGGCCCAGGTTGAGAGGGATCTTATCTCAGTGACTCAGGAATATGCAGGACAAAAGTTCCCATGATAGACACTAATTACATTAAATTAAAGAATAGAAAATAAACCAGAACGTGCTTTACATGTCTATAAACGGTTATGGCTGTGTCTGTACAATAATCCCCAGCTTTAAGACTTTCACAAATGACACTTACAAAACTAGATCCAAAGTTGTGCATCTGGCAGTCATAGTAATACGCGTGTTGTGAATGAAAAAATGGGATTTGCACCAATAATTATATATGCATAGACTTTGCACGAACTTTTTCTCTCGTCACAAACCCGATCTGAGGTCTGATGTGTAAGTACGAGAATAAGACATCTGATTTCACAGGAGAAAGCTGCTGCGAAGCTCTGCCTCTAAGACAAAAGAGAAAGTAATGGCTTGGCTATTGTCAGTGGCATCAAACTACTGCACGGGGAGCGGCTTGCAAACAGCATTCCCAACGTGGTTCCTTTCCCCAGACACGTATGCATAGCGTGCTGATTTACCCAGTCTCTCAAATGATGACTTAGACGCAGGCAGAACCAGTCTCGAATGCGCATTGAGAGAGAAAGCTACGGTGGCGTTAGCATCCTAGCAACAACAGACACCTGCTCCTGCTCCAGCTGAGCGGCTAGCATCAGTACGCTAGCATTTACAAGTGATTGCAGCAAAGACCAGCCATGAATACACAACTACACACATGCATAACCAGGGAGGGAACGCGTACGACAGCGTGGGATGTATTTTGTTCAGGCACACAGCGTCCAAAGCCATCGCGGTGAATGAAAGAAGCGTTAGCACAGATGCTAACAGGCTACAAAGAAACACCCTCGCTAGCAAACTCCCCTCGCGCGACAGAAAAACCCCGCACGCGCGCATCACCAGCAGCTGCAAATGTGGCATAAGAGAGGAATAAGTGCGTGGGTTTGTGTGTAAGCGTGGTTAGTAATGGTCCAAACCTGTGTGGTGGACTGGTAGATGAGGATGAGGATGGTGGAGGAGGTGGTGAGGATGGAGAGAGGCTGTTGTTGGTGGGTTACAGTCGCCAGGACTACGGTGACTACGGATCTCACTGGGCAACTGTTGCTATAAAACTCCCAGTCCAGGCTCTGAGCAGAGGGAGGAGGCACCAGCAAGGCCACTCCCTCCTATACATCCCCACCTTTCAGAATAGCCTTCATCAATTCGAGCCTTTTCTCATCTAAAACATCTATTATTGCGCGTTTGTTGCCAAGACCTCAAAATCTAACGAACCCATGAACCACCCAGGACCCGTAGAAGGACAATGCCAATGACCGTGGCAGCTGCTGTGCTGTTTACTGGCGCTACATGCAGGAAGGCAAGGCGAGTTTTTCTGTATAGCACAGTTATACACAAGTCAACTCAAAGTCCTGAACGAAACAAGATAGAAGCGATCACAGAAGGCATTGACGTCATAAATAATCACGGCACGCTGCCAACCAGAACTTTTAAACGTGGGTCTGAATATGTTTTAGTAGTAGCCTGTCTCACATTTTCAGGAAGACTGTTCCTGGTTTTAGATGCAGAGATTTCAAATGCTGCCTCCTCATGTTTAGTACTGACTTTGACTCTGAGACCAGCAGGAGGCCAGACCCTGTGCTCCTCAGAGTCCCAGCAGGAGGCCAGTCCCTGTGCTCCTCAGAGTCCCAGCAGGAGTCCGGTCCCTGTGCTCCCCAGAGTCCCAGCAGGAGGCCAGTCCCTGTGCTCCTCAGAGTCCCAGCAGGAGTCCGGTCCCTGTGCTCCCCAGAGTCCCAGCAAGAGGCCAGTCCCTGTGCTCCCCAGAGTCCGAGTATGAGACGAGATCAAGATTTGTATCTAATTTTGTGTTTTTGTCAGTTTTCTTAATGGTGATACACAAATGTCAGTAAAAGGTGAAGGGTAATGAAAAGGAAAGGTCTGAGTTGAGTGCGGCAGGTATTTGAGTTGGATTTGTTTGATACTTTTTAATAATTATAATTATTTAGTATGTATGTTTTTGACGGTATAGAATTGAACTAATATAATCTTAAAATCCATTCACTGTTTTTGTTTAGAGTCATAAACCACAGTCTCACCACAGACCCAGGACTGAGACTGTAGACCCAGGACTGAGGCTGTAGACCCAGGACTGAGACTGTAGACCCAGGACTGAGGCTGTAGACCCAGGACTGAGAATGTAGACCCAGGACTGAGGCTGTAGACCCAGGACAGAGGCTGTAGACCCAGGACTGAGGCTGTAGACCCAGGACTGAGACTGTAGACCCAGGACTGAGGCTGTAGACCCAGGACTGAGAATGTAGACCCAGGACTGAGGCTGTAGACCCAGGACTGAGGCTGTAGACCCAGGACTGAGGCTCTAGACCCAGGACTGAGGCTGTAGACCCAGGACTGAGGCTGTAGACCCAGGACTGAGGCTGTAGACCCAGGACAGAGGCTGTAGACCCAGGACTGAGGCTGTAGACCCAGGACTGAGACTGTAGACCCAGGACTGAGGCTGTAGACCCAGGACTGAGGCTGTAGACCCAGGACTGAGGCTGTAGACCCAGGACTGAGGCTGGTTCGATATTATGTTTTGTAAAATGTTGATTTTGAATTAAACATCTGGCCGTTATGTCTTTGTGAGACGAGACTTATTCCTGAAATGTTTTGTTGTTGCTTGGCAACAAGTAAAATCCCAATTTGAAGCATGACTCTTAATTACTTTCAAGAAAAGGAGGTTGTCCTTGGACCGAAAACTGTCTCTGACGCTTCCACAGAATGAGAGACTTGAAACATATCTGTTTCTGTCACAGAGTTTATCGCTCGAGCTTCTTTCAAAGTGTTTCCTTTAGAAAGTTCTGGAAACAGTTCAGTGTTCAGTTTTCACACTGGTCCAGACTAGAGCAGAGAGGATTCATGGTTTTACACTGTTCCAGACCAGAGCAGAGAGGGTTCATGGTTTTACACTGGTCCAGACCAGAGAAGAGAGGATTCATGGTTTTACACTGGTCCAGACTAGAGCAGAGAGGGTTCATGGTTTTACACTGGTCCAGACCAGAGCAGAGAGGGTTCATGGTCTGCTGCTGTGACCTGATGGACTGTTGTTATTGCTACAATGTTAGATACTTTTATAATTATCTATTTGTTTGGAATTAATGTGTTTCTGCTGCTGATGGACACCTGCCTCTCAATATCTTTCAACAAATACAAACATATTTGTTGACAGACTGGTCACAGGGACTGGCCTCCTGCTGGAACTCTGAGGAGCACAGGGACTGGCCTCCTGCTGGAACTCTGAGGAGCACAGGGACTGGCCTCCTGCTGGAACTCTGAGGAGCACAGGGACTGGCCTCCTGCTGGAACTCTGAGGAGCACAGGGACTGGCCTCCTGCTGGAACTCTGAGGAGCACAGGGACTGGCCTCCTACTGGTCCCAGAGTCAGGACTAAACATGGAGAGGCAGTGATGCAGATTCATGCAACTGAAGAAGTCTGGAACAGTCTTCCTGAAAATGTGAGACATGCTTCTTCTCTGACAATGTTCAAATCCAGGTTAAAAACTTTTCTGGTCTCTCTCTCAAAACACACAGTTACTACTTCATGGACTTCACTTATTGAGTCATTTTCTATCAACACACACACTTACAGACACACACACACACACTCAGACACATACACAAACACACACACACATTCAGACACACTCAGACACATACACAAACACACACAAACACACGCACAGAGAGACACACACACACACATACAGACACACACACAGACACACACACACACACACACTCAGACACATACACACACACAGACACACACACACACAGACACACAAAATAGACCTCTCTTGAATCATATAAAGAACAATCTTATTATTATTTAATTTTTTTTTACAAAAAATCACACATTTACAAATCTTAGAGAATCTTGATTCCAATCTTGTCGGAGGGGGTTTGTGAGGCTCCGAGTCCCATTGCCTTAAACTCACACCATGTGACTCAGACCTGTGCACGTCCCCCATATTGTGACGCGCAAAGCGACAGGTTCATATTCTTTGTGAGTTCTAGAAAAGACAAGAAATAGAAAGAAGTTAGAACTACAGCAAATAACTTAAAAAGCTTTTGGTGAAATTAACTTAAAACAAATATGATTATTAAAATAGGGTTAACGGCAGAGAGAGAGACCAGAGAGAGAGACCAGAGAGAGACAAAGAGAGAGACCAGAGAGAGAGACCAGAGAGAGAGACCAAAGAGAGAGACCAAAGATATAGACCAGAGAGAGAGACCAGAGAGAGAGACCAGAGAGAGACAAAGAGAGAGACCAGAGAGAGAGACCAAAGAGAGAGACCAAAGAGATAGACCAGAGAGAGAGACCAGAGAGAGAGACCAAAGAGAGAGACCAGAGAGAGACCAGAGAGAGAGGGACTAGAGAGAGAGGGACTAGAGAGAGAGACCAGAGAGAGAGGGACTAGAGAGAGACCAGAGAGAGTAACCAGAGAGTGAGACCAGAGAGAGAGACCAAAGAGAGAGACCAGAGAGAGACCAGAGAGAGAGAGACCAGAGAGAGAGACCAAAGAGAGAGACCAGAGAGAGAGACCAGAGAGAGAGACCAAAGAGAGAGACCAGAGAGAGACCAGAGAGAGAGACCAGAGAGAGAGACCAGAGAGAGACCAGAGAGAGAGGGACTAGAGAGAGAGACCAGAGAGAGAGGGACTAGAGAGAGACCAGAGAGAGTAACCAGAGAGTGAGACCAGAGAAAGAGACCAAAGAGAGAGACCAGAGAGAGACCAGAGAGAGACCAGAGAGAGATCCGAGAAAGAGAGAGACTAGAGACCAGAGAGAGAGAGACTGGTACCTGGGTTTACAAAAGGATCCGGACTGTAGTGGAGAGAGACCCCAGAGGGCGGGTGAGGGGGAGGGTGAGGGGGAGGGGGAGGGTGGGGGTGAGTGCTGGTGTAGGAGCTGGGGTCATCTCCAGGGAACAAATGATCAACGAACCTATGGGATCACAAACAGGTAATGGTTTGAATTGAAAACATTGATTTAAATATGGCATTCTAGAGAGAGAGAGAGAGACCAGGAAGAGAGAGAAAGAGAAAGAAAGAGAGCAGAGAGAGAGAGAGAGAGAGACCAGAGAGAGAGAGGGAAACTGGACAGAGAGACCAGAGTCAGAGAGAGTGAGATAGACTGGAGAGAGATAGACGACAGAGAGGGACCAGAAAGAGACTAGAGAGAGAGAGAGCGAGAGGGACCGACGTGAGCCTCTCTCTGCCACAGAAATCCTTTGTAGTAAATCTTGTGAAATCAAAGATCTAAAAGAGGATTTTTCTGAAGAGCTCAGATTGGTTTCGATGATATTTGTTCTGCATCAGTGAGAGACCAGAGAGAGACCAGAGAGAGGGAGAGACCAGAGAGAGATCAGAGAGAGACCAGAGAGAGATCAGAGAGAGACCAGAGAGAGACCAGAGAGAGGGAGAGACCAGAGAGAGACCAGAGAGAGACCAGAGAGAGGGAGAGACCAGAGAGAGATCAGAGAGAGTGAGAGACAAAATAGAGAGGGAGTAGAGAGATCAGAGAGAGGGAACCTAGAGAGAGCGAAAGAGAGACACAGAGACACACCCGAGAGAGAGACCAGGAAGAGAGAGAAAGAGAGGCAAGGAGAGGGATCAGAGAGAAAGAAAGAGACCACAGAGAGAGAGAGAGACCAGGGGGAGCGAGACCAGAGAGGGACCATAAAGAGACAAGAGAGAGACCAGAGTGAGACTAGAAAGAGAGACCAGAGAGAGACCAGAGTGAGACCAGAGAGAGACCAGAGTGAGACCAGAAAGAGGGATCAGAGAGAGAGAGAGACCACAAAGACCCAGATGTATGTCTTTAAATGCATACAGTTCAAACGCCCACATTTCACAACTTAGAAAAGAATAGAGTTGGTTTTTTTCTTCTAATGATGAGGTTGTTCTGCACTTCGCTGCCATGACGACGATATTTAAGAAAGGTAGAACACTCACGTCTGAACAGCGAGGAGGAAACGGATCCAAACTGCTTCATGATTGGTCTAAAGGTATTTTTATTCTAGAGTATTTTCAACATTATGGAGAGTAAAGTGTAAGAGTTACCAGACCAGAGAGAGACCAGAGAGGGATTAGAGAGAGACCAGAGAGAGACCAGAGAGAGACCAGAGAGAGACCAGAGAGAGACCAGAGAGACCAGAGAGAGAGCAGAGAGAGAATAGAGAGAGACCAGAGAGAGACCAGAGAGGGATTAGAGAGAGACCAGAGAGAGAGCAGAGAGAGAATAGAGAGAGACCAGAGAGAGACCAGAGAGGGATTAGAGAGAGACCAGAGAGAGACCAGAGAGAGACCAGGGAGAGACCAGAGAGAGACCAGAGAGGGATTAGAGAGAGACCAGAGAGAGACCAGGGAGAGACCAGAGAGAGACCAGAGAGGGATTAGAGAGAGACCAGAGAGGGATTAGAGAGAGACCAGAGAGAGACCAGAGAGAGAGCAGAGAGAGAATAGAGAGAGACCAGAGAGAGACCAGAGAGGGATTAGAGAGAGACCAGAGAGAGACCAGAGAGGGATTAGAGAGAGACCAGAGAGAGACCAGAGAGAGACCAGGGAGAGACCAGAGAGAGACCAGAGAGGGATTAGAGAGAGACCAGAGAGAGAGCAGAGAGAGAATAGAGAGAGACCAGAGACGGATTAGAGAGAGACCAGAGAGAGACCAGAGAGAGACCAGAGAGACCAGAGAGGGATTAGAGAGAGACCAGAGAGAGAGCAGAGAGAGACCAGAGAGAGACCAGAGAGGGATTAGAGAGAGACCAGAGAGAGACCAGAGAGGGATTAGAGAGAGACCAGAGAGAGAGCAGAGAGAGACCAGAGAGAGACCGGAGAGAGACCGGAGAGACAAGAGAGAGATCAAAGAGGGAGACAAGAGAGACCAGGGAGAGACTGGAGCAAGACCAGAGAGAGGTAAAAGAGAGAGAGAGAGAGAGAGAAGAGAAACCCTTGATCAGAGAGACTAGAGAGTGAGAGAACAGAGAGACCATTAACACTTCTGTTTTTCATGGTTCAGCTGCAGAGACACGGAGAGTACCTGTAATTATCTTGTAAGGAGTGAAGCAGCACCAGGTGGGGATCACCAGCTGAGGTCTGTCCCTGTGGAGAGTCTGGAAGGAAAAACATCTGAGAGTCATGGGTTAACGCTAACGCTATTGCTAACGCTATTGCTAACACTATTGCTAACGCCAATGCTAACAGAGGGACAGCCCACCGTCTCTTGGGTCTCTCCACTCTCTGGACTCTCTTGGTTACTGGTCTGTGTGGCCTCCTTCTGATCTGTCTCTAATTGATCTTTCACTGGTCTCTTTCTGGTCTCTCTTTGGTGTCTCTCTGTTCTCACTCTGGTCTCTCTCTCTCTATCTGACCTTCCTCTGGTCACTCTCTGGCGTCATTCGGGTCCCACTCTCTGAGCTCTCTCTAACCTCTCTCTCTGGTCTCTTTCTCTGGCCTCTCTCTGGTCTCTCTCTGGCCTCTCTCGCTAGTCTCTCTCTCTGGTCTCTCTCTGGTCTCTCTTTGGTCTCTCTCTGGTCTCTCTCTGGCCTCTCTCTCTGGTCTCTCTTTGGTCTCTCTCTGGTCTCTCTCTGGTCTCTCTCTGGTCTCTCTCTCTGGTCTCTCTCTGGCCTCTCTCTCTGGTCTCTCTCTGGCCTCTCTCTCTGGTCTCGCTCTGGCCTCTCTCTCTGGTCTCTCTTTGGTCTCTCTCTGGTCTCTCTCTGGCCTCTCTCTCTGGTCTCTCTCTGGTCTCTCTCTGGTCTCTCTCTGGCCTCTCTCTGGCCTCTCTCTGGTCTCTCTCTGGTCTCTCTCTGGTCTCTCTCTGGTCTCTCTCTGGTGGCCTCTCTCTTGTCCTGCTGGTGTTGTAAATAAACTTAAACTTCTTCTCTCTTCTACCTTCAAACCGCAACAATATAAAACTATAACTGCCTTGATCAAAGCTGGAGCTGCCCCCGGACCATGTGCACCTACACACCAGAGGCGGAGGCTGGCTGCAGACTGTGGTCTCTCTTCATGGGGGGTGACAGGGCCTGGATGGTCAGACAGTCTGTCAGAGGGTCTGGACCCGTCTCCACAGATGGTCTCCTCTGAAAGAACAAACCAGGAAACAGCAAAGACTTAGTTCAATGTTTGGAAAATCCTACAAAGTCTTAAACTATGTGCACGACTTATCTCTGGTCTCTCCTGGTCGGTTTCTGGGCTCTCTCTGGTCTCTCACACGTTGGTCTCTATCTCTGGTCCCTCTGGTCTCTCTCTCTAAGGAATTGTTTCTCTCCCTCTGATCACTGGTCTCTCTTGTCCCTCGCTCTCTGGTCACTTGTCTGATCCCTCTCTCTGTTGTTTCTGTCTCTCTGGTTTCTCTCTCTCTGGTCTCTCCCCGGTCTCTCTCTGGTCTCTCTGGTCTCTCTCTGGTACCGCTCTCTCTCGTCTCTCTGGTATCTCGGTCTCTCTGGTCTCTCTCTCTCTCTGATCCCTCTCTCTGGTGTTTCTATCTCTCTGGTTTCTCTCTATCTGGTCTCTCGTTTTCGTTTCTCTGGTCTCTCTCTCTCTCTCTCTCTCTCTCTGATCTCTCTGGTCTCTCTCTGGTCTCTCTCTGGTCTCTCTCTCTCTGGTTTCTCTGGTCCCTCTCTCTCTGGTGTCTCTGGTCCCTCTCTCTCTGGTCTCTCTCTGGTCCCTCTCTCTCTGGTCTCTCTCTGGTCTCTCTCTGGTCTCTCTCTCTGGTCCCTCTCTCTGGTCTCTCTCTCTCTGGTCTCTCTCTGGTCCCTCTCTCTGGTCTCTCTCTCTCTGGTCTCTCTCTGGTACCCCTCTCTCTGGTCTCTCTGATCTCTCTAGTCTCTCTCTGGTCTCTCTCTCTGGTCTCTGAGGCTGTAGATCCAGTAGTGAGTAAATGGCTGTACATAAACAATATACAGAGGACATACTTACACACATTAGTGTAGTATAAGTATTATCAGTAGAACAGCCATCACTAGTTCTTAGCGAACATCAATTATCATTTCAAAAGACAGATGTGTTAAAGTCGTGGGAGAATGTGTAAAATTTCCTTTTTTAGTAACAGCTTCGTGGTCCGTATCTATGGCGACGTGGACCTGGGAGAGAGTGAGTGCCTTTCTCGACACAAAACTTTTAATTATCTCACGTTTATGTTCAACATCACAGACTCCAGGTTCATTATGGAACAGTTTTTTAGATTGGAACGCAGCAAACTGTCAAAGTCCAGCTGTGGCGAAACCACAGAGAACAATTTATTTATTTATTTATTAAGAAACCACTGTATGTCTTTTCTTCTTCTGTGGAAATGTAAACAAAGGGCTAATGCGTCTGTCCATGTGCAGATTTATACTAGCTTCTTTATTATGCTAAAGCTAGAGATGTTATACTAGCTTCTTTATTATGCTAAAGCTAGAGATTTTATACTAGCTTCTTTATTATGCTAAAGTTAGAGATTTTATACTAGCTTCTTTATTATGTTAAAGTTAGAGATTTTATAATTGCTACTATTCTTGGGTTTTATATGACATCGGGTCAGAAGCGCGAATGACACACAGTACGTGGGACAGGACCGGACGTGACGTGACTACAGGGTGTTACTAGCTCGGACGCTGAAGAACTCATGTGCTCGGGGGGTTCTCGCGGTACTGCAGACTAAACCAGACTAAATTCACGTGGGCTACACAGAAATTTTCCCCATATAACTCAATGTAAACTAAAACAGCTCGATCTCAGCTGACAGAGAACCTGACAGAGAACCTACAGCTTTCATAAAGACCAGATTTTGTGTGGATTTTAATGTCCCTTGTCATCCTGAACTTTTCTTCTTCTTAAATCTTTCGTTTTTTCTTTAAATCCACACTTTACTGCCACAAATTCTGCTCCTTTGGCTCCCGCTCTAACTCCGCTCTGATTGGTCAGAGCGCGGCCAAGTCCCTCTGTGCACGTCCATGAGAGCCACACACGCGTATTTGGCGCAAAGCATCATGGGAGCTCGTCCACTGCAGAGAACCGGGAGGACCAGATGATGCCCAAATACAGGCGAGTTCCGCTAATCATTCGGTGCCCGTGCCAGCACATGCTCCACTGAGCACAATCCATTCATTTGAATACGGCGCCATCTTGGATCGCCGGGGCTTGGTTTATACACGGAGATATAGTAGAAGAAGAGGCGCTGTCAAAATGCCATCTTTTTGTGCGGTGTACGGTTGTAGCAACCGCACAGAGAGAGAAAGTTGCAGGCCACCCCAATGAAACGCAGCCAATTCTTCTGTTATTTTTTCCAAAAATGGCCCAAATCAAGACTTTTTTGAGAAATATTTGTTAGTCCTCCCTTAGAATTGAGTGTCCCCGATTAAGACTGTTCCAACAACCGTACACCGCACAGGAGGAGAGCCTTGGACTCAAACAGACTTTAAATGGTTTTACATGGGAGCAACACTGTCCCATCTCTGCTCATGCGCCCCCTACAGGCCAGGTTCATGAAACACAAGAATGTGAAGCTAAAGTTAGAGATTTTATTCTTGCTTCTTTTTTGCTATCTCTCTATTTCCCAAATGCAACTCAATGTTTATTCATGCATTTTGACAATAAATACTTTAATGCAGTCATCTTGAGTGTTTTTCTGTAGATACAGTTTTGTTTGTGTGAAAGTGATGTTTGCTTGGGTCGAGAACCTTCTTGCGCAGCTGCTGCTCCTTCGCTGAGTGAGTCTTGATGTGTTTCCTCAAAGAACTGGGGTCTGTGTATCTCTTCTCACAGCAGGGAACAGGACAGGAGTACGGCTTCTGCAGGAGAGACCAGCCTCAGTCCTGGGTCTACAGCATCAGTCCTGGATCTACAGCCTCAGTCCTGGGTCTACAGCCTCAGTCCTGGGTCTACAGCCTCAGTCCTGGATCTACAGCCTCAGTCCTGGGTCTACAGCCTCAGTCCTGGGTCTACAGCCTCAGTCCTGGATCTACAGCCTCAGTCCTGGGTCTACAGCCTCAGTCCTGGATCTACAGCCTCAGTCCATGGGGACCATGTTGGGACCGTGTTGGGACTGTGTGGGGACCATGTTGGAACCGTGTTTGGACCAAATTGGGACCATGTTGGGATTATATTGGGACCATGTTGGGACCATGTTGGGACTGTGTTGGGACCATGTTGGGACCATGTGGGGACTCACGGTGTCCTGGTGCGTTCGCTGGTGCTTGGCTCGGTCGCTGGAGTTACTGAAGGCCTTGAGGCAGCCGGGGTGAGAGCACATGTAGGGTTTCTCTCCTGTGTGGCTCCTCAGGTGAATCTTCAGGTTTTCGAGCCGAGAAAAGGCCTTTTTACATCCTTCAAACTGCAAACACACACAGACACACACAAGGACGGACAGACGCACACACACACACACATACACACACAGAGACGCACACATACACACACACAGATACACACAAATACGGACATACGCACACATACAGATGGACACACACACAGAGGCACATACACACACACACACACACAGATAGAGAGACACACACACAGACGGACAGACGCACACACACACACACATATACACACACACACACACATATACACACAAATGGTTATTATGTGAGTTCTGCTTTAAATAAGAATGTTCAGTAAAAACCTGTTTGAGTCCTTCATTGTGTGTGTTTGTTTGTGCATGTGTGTGTCTATGTCTATCTGTGTGTGTGTGTGTGTGTGTGTGTGTGTGAGTGTGTCTTGACTCCTCTGTGTATGAATAAAGACAGTAGTGGTTTATTACTGGCATTGAATTGTCTAAGACTGAATACAGATTTCACTCTATGCAGATGATGTTTTGCTGTTTATTACTAAGCCAGAGACATCAATTCCAATTCTACTTTTTATCATTAATAAATTTGGCCAGATCTCGGGGTATAAAATTAATTTTGAGAAATCAGAAGCCCTACCCCTAGGGGCTCAAAGGGGCGCGTGGAATCCTCCACCTAATGTTCCCTTCAGATGGTCTATGGAAGGATTTATGTATTTAGGAATTAAAATATCTACAAACACTTCTGAATTATACAAATTAAATTTTAGAACAGTCCTCAGTTCAGTTAAAAATGATCTTAATCGGTGGTTTGACCTCCCCCTGTCATTACTGCGCAGGATAAGTTTGATAAAAATGAATATACTTCCCCGACTACTCTATCCAATGCAAATGTTACCTCTTAAAATAAATAAAACAACTTTTTCAGAAATTGACAAATTCATATCAACATTTATTTGGCATGGGAAGAAATCTAGACTTAAAATTACAACTTTACAACTTCCTGTTGATGGGGGTGGTCAGGCGGTACCTAACTTTCAGTACTATTAGACCTGTCATATACTGTAAGGGTAATGTCGGGATGGCTACACTCACTTTAACACCGGGCAGAGTCACACGTGGATGGGTGGTGTTGTGAACAGTCGCTGAGATTTGGGAAACCTTCCAATCGAAGTAAAGAATAACAATATTTTGTTTGCAACTTTTAGAGCATGGTGTAATATAAGAGAACATCTGGGGCGGAAAAACGTTTTCAGTGCAATGCAACCTCTTATTAAAAATGTAGCTTTCAGCCTGGTATGGATTTTGGCATATTTGATAACTGGAAAAGTAAAGGACTGAAACTAGTGACTTCTACCAAAATAATGCTTTCATGTAGTTTGAGCAAATTAGGGATAAATATGACATTCCGCAAAAGGATTTTTTTGGTTTTCTCCAGGTCAGACACTTTGTTCAATCATCCCTCTCCTGCGGCAGCTTAGGAAAGCCAAGCTGCCTGCACAGATGTTGGTGCAGTTCTACACGGCCATCATCGAGTCCATCCTCACCTCCTCCGTCACCGTGTGGTTCGCTGGAGCCACAGTCAGGGACAAACAGAGACTACAGCGCATTGTGCGCTCTGCAGAGGAAGTGATCGGCCGCAGCCTTCCATCGCTGCAGGACCTGTACGTCGCCCGAGCTCGAGGCCGGGCTGGTCGTATCACAGCCGACCCCTCTCACCCTGCACATGGACTATTCCAACCACTCCCCTCAGGCAAGAGGCTGCGGTCCATCAGGACTAGAACCTCCCGCCACAAGAACAGTTTCTTCCCCTCTGCTGTTGGACTCTTGAACACTTCTTAACCTGTCCCTCTGCCCTTTATAAAGTCACTTTACTGCCCATCATACGTCACTTTACTTCACTGTACTGCTGTCACCTTACATTGTGTGCACCATGTGCACTTGTATATTGTAAATAGTAACTGTAACTCTATCTTAAATTTAAATCTATTCTTTAGAAGTGTTTTTTTATTCTTATTTTTATTATCTCTTTTTGACTGTTGCACTGAGCCAAAGCAATTTCCTAGTCTGTGACCTCCTGTTACTTACGTGGCAATAAAAATGATTCTGATTCTGATTCTAAAGATCAACCAATCTTAAACTTAATTGAAAAATGTCTCCTCAAATGTAATGAGAGCCTTACCCCGAAAAAGAAATGTATCTCTCTTTTCTATAAAGAGACGGTGGCTGAGTGGATAGCACTCTCGCCTCTCCAAGGTCCTGGGTTTGAATCCCGGTCGGAACAGGGTCTTTCTGAGTGGAGTTTGCATGTTCTCCCCGTGTCTGCGTAGGTTTCTTCCGGGTACTCCGGTTTCCCCTACCACTAAAAATATGTACATATATGTCCTGTACTGGCCATCTTTGTGTGGAGTGAGAAACAGATGCCCAAAAATTAACAATAGTAAACCGCTTTGAGACTGCAGCTCTGCAGTGAAAAGGCGGTATATAAATAAAGATTACTTACTACTACTTACTTACTTACTAATGAAGCTCATGCGGATGTTCAGACTGAAAGACCGAGTGCCTGCCAATCTCACAGCACTGCCAGCCTCGAGCCTCAGGCAATCACACAGCCCGGCCAGCCTCCTGCCAACCCTCTGGCACCAAGTGGGCAGTTTAAAAGGCAGCCACTTCCTGACAAACAGCGCTTCCTGAAAGCTGAAAGTGCCCCCTGCCCCTGCCCTGTACCCCCTGCCCCTGCCCTGTGCTGCCCGGGCAGGGGGCACTCTTACAAAAACTTTGACATCTGGCGAGGAGATTCATCCTGCTACAATGGATACGTTTGGGAAACGTTTAAAGTGTTTCCAATGGAACGTCTCAGTGCCCTCTCAAAGGGAAACTCCCGCATTTTTTACAAGATATGGCAACCTTTCTTGGACCATCTACCTCAGGACTTATCAACTTTACTTTGTAAAGGAGGCTCACATTTTGTTTTCAAATTTAATCAATGATCAGAAGAAAGTGTTCTTTTTTGATATTATTATTATTTTATTATCATTTTAACCCTGACCTTATGAAAATATGTAAACATGCTGTGCTGGCTGTATTGTATTGTGGTGTTTGGTGAAAAAAAGCAATAAATTATTGTTTAAAAAAAAAAAAAAGACCCTAGTGGTTTTCCACTAGGAAGTACTTTTTCTCTAATTAACTTCACAGTAATTATCAGAATCTCCACAAGGGGTCAATGTTCACACACACACACACACACACACACATACACACACACACAGAGACACACACGCGCACACACACACACACACACACACACACGCACACACACACATCCCAGAAAGTTATTCTTTCTCCCAGAGCAGATTTCTCACACAATTTAACGCATCACAAAAATTCTCCATCAATAATCTACTCTACTGCACTCTACAGTACTCTACTCTACTCTACTCTACTGTACTCTACTGCACTCTACTGCACTCTACTCTACTCTACTGTACTCTACTGCACTCTACTCTACTGTACTCTACTGCACTCTACAGTACTCTACTCTACCCTACTGCACTCTACTCTACTCTACTGTACTCTACTGCACTCTACAGTACTCTACTCTACTGCACTCTACTCTACTGTACTCTACTGCACTCTACAGTACTCTACTCTACTCTATTGTACTCTACTGCACTCTACTCTACTGTACTCTACTCTACAGTACTCTACTCTACTCTACTGCACTCTACTCTACTGTACTCTACTGCACTCTACAGTACTCTACTCTACTCTACTGTACTCTACTGCACTCTACTCTACTGTACTCTACTCTACTGCACTCTACAGTACTCTACTCTACTCTACTGCACTCTACTCTACTGTACTCTACTGCACTCTACAGTACTCTACACTACTCTACTGTACTCTACTGCACTCTACTCTACAGTACTCTACTCTACTGTACTCTACTGCACTCTACTGCACTCTACTCTTCTGTACTCTACTCTACTGCACTCTACTCTTCTCTACTGCACTCTACTCTACTGTACTCTACTCTTCTCTACTCTACTGCACTCTACTCTACTGTACTCTACTCTACTGCACTCTACTCTACTCTACTGCACTCTACTGCACTCTACTCTACTCTACTGCACTCTACAGTACTCTACTCTACTGAACTCTACTCTACTGCACTCTACTGTACTCTACTCTACTGCACTCTACTCTACTGTATTCTACTCTACTGCACTCTACTCTACTGTACTCTACTCTACTGCACTCTACTCTACTCTACTCTACTCTACTGCACTCTACTCTACTCTACTGTACTCTACTCTACTCTACTGTACTCTACTGCACTCTACTCTACTGTACTCTACTGCACTCTACTCTACTCTACTGCACTCTACTCTACTGTACTCTACTCTACTGCACTCTACTCTACTCTACTGAACTCTACTCTACTCTACTCTACTGCACTCTACTCGACTCTACTCTACTGTACTCTACTCTACTCTACTGCGCTCTACTCTACTCTACTCTACTCTACTCTACTCTACTCTACTCTACTCTACTCTACTCTACTCTACTCTACTCTACTCTACTCAACTCTACTCTACAATGCTCTACTCTCCTATATCCACAAAGATTGGGTAGTGTTGCGTGATTTGGTCTCATCTCTTTCTGGTCTCTCTCTCTGTTGTAGCAGATACCATCAATCACACATGAGGAGAATGTGGATTGACAAGTGCAAGTCTGGACCTGCCTCTGGTTTACTACCTGCAACCAGAGACGTCCCATTGTCCTCCGCTTGGTTCGAACATCCGAAAACATTTCTCACAACAAAAGTTAATTACGTGTTCTGTGTGGAGGATCTCAGGTCTCTTTCTGGTCTCTCTCTGGTCTCTCTCTGGTCTTTCTCTGGTCTCTCCGGTCTCTCTCCGGTCTCTCTCTGGTCTCTCTCTGGTCTCTCTCTGGTCTCCCTGGTCTATCTGGTCTCTCTGGTCTCTCCCTGGTCTCTCTCTGGTCTCTCTCTGGTCTCTCCCTGGTCTCTCTCTGGTCTCTCCCTGGTCTCTCCGGTCTCTCTCTGGTCTCTTTCTGGTATCTCTCTGGTCTCTCTCTGGTCTCCCTGGACTCTCTCTTGTCTCCCTGGTCTCTCTCTGGTCTCTCTCTGGTCTCTCTGGTCTCTCTCTGGTCTCTCCGGTCTCTCTGGTCTCTCTGGTCTCTCTCTGGTCTCTCTCTGGTCTCTCTGGTCTCTCTGGTCTCTCTGGTCTCTCTCTGGTCTCTCTCTGGTCTCTCTGGTCTCTCTGGTCTCCCTATGGTCTCTCTGGTCTCTCTCTGGTCTCTCTGGTCTCTCTGGTCTCCCTCTGGTCTCTCCGGTCTCAGATAAACAAAAGCAGACCTGTGGCTTGTGTCTAAATGTTAAATGTATAATGAGCAGTTTCTTTCTAGTAGAACCCTGAGGACTGAGGACCGCGGCGAGACTTCCATCTCGTGACCCGAGGTTTGTGCTAATTATTAGATAAACCTGACAGACACACACAACAGCCACTACACGTCGTCATGGCAACAGAGTTAGCTACGACTCGCGATGAAGTATTTTGGTACTAAAGGTCGGCCGCAGGTACGTTAATGATTGACAGAAGAAACACGAGAGAGACTCCGAGTCTGGAGAGGATTTAGGCAAAAAGAGAAGAGAGGAATGAGACCTGAGACCAGGTCTGATGTGTGAGAGAGGGAGAGAGACCAGAGAGAGAGACCTGAGACCAGGTCTGATGTGAGAGAGAGGGAGAGAGACCAGAGAGAGAGACCTGAGAGAGACCAGAGAGAGACCAGAGGGAGACCAGAGAGAGACCAGAGAGAGACCAGAGAGAGAGACCTGAGACCAGGTCTGATGTGTGAGAGAGGGAGAGAGACCAGAGAGAGAGACCTGAGACCAGGTCTGATGTGAGAGAGAGGGAGAGAGACCAGAGAGAGAGACCTGAGAGAGACCAGAGAGAGATCAGAGGGAGACCAGAGAGAGACCAGAGAGAGACCAGAGAGAGAGACCTGAGACCAGGTCTGATGTGTGAGAGAGGGAGAGAGACCAAAGAGAGAGACCTGAGTCCACGACTAATGTGTGAGAGAGGGAGAGAGTCCAGAGAGGGACCAGAGAGAGACCAGAGAGAGACTAGAGAGAGACCAGAGAGAGACCAGAGAGAGACCAGAGAGAGACCAGAGAGAGACCAGAGAGAGACCAGAGAGAGACCAGAGAGAGACCAGAGAGAGACTAGAGAGAGACCAGAGAGAGACCAGAGAGAGACTAGAGAGAGACCAGAGAGAGACCAGAGAGAGACCAGAGAGACCAGAGGGAGACTATAGAAAGACCAAAGAGAGACCAGAGAGAGACCAGAGAGAGACCAGAGGGAGACCAGAGAGAGACTAGAGAGAGACCAGAGAGAGACCAGAGAGAGACCAGAGAGAGACTAGAGAGAGACCAGAGAGAGACTAGAGAGAGACCAGAGAGAGATCAGAGAGGGACCAGAGAGAGACCAGAGAGAGACTAGAGAGAGACCAGAGAGAGACCAGAGAGAGACCAGGGGAGACTATAGAGAGACCAGAGAGAGACCAGAGAGAGACCAGAGAGAGACCAGAGAGAGACCAGACAGAGACTAGAGAGAGACCAGAGAGAGACTAGAGAGAGACCAGGGGAGACTATAGAGAGACCAGAGAGAGACCAGAGAGAGACCAGAGAGGGACCAGAGAGAGACCAGAGAGAGACTAGAGAGAGACCAGAGAGAGACCAGAGAGAGACCAGGGGAGACTATAGAAAGACCAAAGAGAGACCAGAGAGAGACCAGAGAGAGACCAGAGGGAGACCAGAGAGAGACTAGAGAGAGACCAGAGAGAGACCAGAGAGAGACCAGAGAGAGACTAGAGAGAGACCAGAGAGAGACTAGAGAGAGACCAGAGAGAGACCAGAGAGAGACCAGAGAGAGACTAGAGAGAGACCAGAGAGAGACCAGAGAGAGACTAGAGAGAGACCAGAGAGAGACCAGAGAGAGACCAGAGAGACCAGAGGGAGACTATAGAAAGACCAAAGAGAGACCAGAGAGAGACCAGAGAGAGACCAGAGGGAGACCAGAGAGAGACCAGAGAGAGACCAGAGAGAGACCAGAGAGAGACCAGAGAGAGACTAGAGAGAGACCAGAGAGAGACTAGAGAGAGACTAGAGAGAGACCAGAGAGAGACCAGAGAGAGACCAGAGAGAGACTAGAGAGAGACCAGAGAGAGACCAGAGAGAGACTAGAGAGAGACCAGAGAGAGACCAGAGAGAGACCAGAGAGACCAGAGGGAGACTATAGAAAGACCAAAGAGAGACCAGAGAGAGACCAGAGAGAGACCAGAGGGAGACCAGAGAGAGACTAGAGAGAGACCAGAGAGAGACCAGAGAGAGACCAGAGAGAGACTAGAGAGAGACCAGAGAGAGACTAGAGAGAGACCAGAGAGAGATCAGAGAGGGACCAGAGAGAGACCAGAGAGAGACTAGAGAGAGACCAGAGAGAGACCAGAGAGAGACCAGGGGAGACTATAGAGAGACCAGAGAGAGACCAGAGAGAGACCAGAGAGAGACCAGACAGAGACTAGAGAGAGACCAGAGAGAGACTAGAGAGAGACCAGGGGAGACTATAGAGAGACCAGAAAGAGACCAGAGAGAGACCAGAGAGGGACCAGAGAGAGACCAGAGAGAGACTAGAGAGAGACCAGAGAGAGACCAGAGAGAGACCAGGGGAGACTATAGAAAGACCAAAGAGAGACCAGAGAGAGACCAGAGGGAGACCAGAGAGAGACTAGAGAGAGACCAGAGAGAGACCAGAGAGAGACCAGAGAGAGACTAGAGAGAGACCAGAGAGAGACTAGAGAGAGACCAGAGAGAGATCAGAGAGGGACCAGAGAGAGACCAGAGAGAGACTAGAGAGAGACCAGAGAGAGACCAGAGAGAGACCAGGGGAGACTATAGAGAGACCAGAGAGAGACCAGAGAGAGACCAGAGAGAGACCAGAGAGAGACCAGAGAGAGACCAGACAGAGACTAGAGAGAGACCAGAGAGAGACTAGAGAGAGACCAGAGGGAGACTATAGAGAGACTTATATAGTCATTGTTGTGCTTCATGCTCCTCTTTGCTGCAATTCTGTAACTATTGATGCAACACTGACATTTCTAATCCAAAGTCCTTGTGTTATAATAACCACAGACTGTTCACAGATGGACGATGCTAACCCGCTAGCTAGCTTTATCTCTCTGTGTTCCTGGTGTGTATTTGTTATTATTGTCTTTAGGAAATCCACATATGAGCCACACTGTGGTGATGTCACACTGTGGTGATGTCACACTGTGGTGATGTCACACTGAGGTGATGTCACACTGAGGTGATGTCACACTGTGGTGATGTCACACTGTGGTGATGTCACACTGAGGTGATGTCACACTTTCTCTCTCCAGTATTTGTCTGGTCACTCTCCAGTCGCTCTGGTCTCTCTCCGGTCTCTCTCTGGTCTCGCTCTGGTCTCGCTCAGGTCTCTCTCTGGTCTCTCCCTGGTCTCTTCAGTCTCGCTCAGGTCTCTCTCTGGTCTCTCTCTGGTCTCTCAGGTCTCTCAGGTCTCTCTCTGGTCTCTCTGGTCTCTCCCTGGTCTCTTCAGTCTCGCTCTGGTCTCTCTCTGGTCTCTAAAACTTTCCAAATCCATCCCTGCACATAAAGCCTACAGTAAGTTCCAGAAACTTTCCTCCTGAAGCCAGACTCATGTTTTCTGACAGAGAATCTCAGAGAATGAGAGAGTACAAAGAACAACGGTGGGCTTGACGTGCACTTTGACGTGCACTTAAAGCTTTGCCGAACACTAAAATGCACAGATCTGTCATCTCTGTGAATATGTTCTGAACGTTTACCAAATCAACCGGAGACATTTATGACTTTATATCGAAGCTTTTAGACAAGTGACAGGAGGGAACGGAACAACACATGGTTATATCCAAGATGAAACTACAAGAAGAAGAGAACTTTATGGTCCCTCACGGTCTCTCTGTGGTCCCTCTCTGGTCTCTTTCAAGCCTCTCTCTGGTCTTTCTCTCTGGTCTCTCTCTGGCCTCTCTCTCTGGTCTCTCTCCCTGGTCTCTCTCTGGTCTCTCCTGTCTCTCTCCGGTCTCTCTCTGGTCTCCCTCTGGCCTCTCTCCCTGGTCTCTCTCCCTGGTCTCTCTCTGGTCTCTCCTGTCTCTCTCCGGTCTCTCTCTAGTCTCCCTCTGGCCTCTCTCCCTGGTCTCTCTCAGGTCTCTCCTGTCTCTCTCCGGTCTCTCTCTGGTCTCCCTCTGGCCTCTCTCTGCTCTCTCTCTCTCTCTGGTCTCCCTCTGGTCTCTCTCTCTGGTCTCCCTCTGGTCTCTCTCTCTGGTCCCCCTCTGGCCTCTCTCTCTTTGGTCACTATCTGGCCTCTCTCTGCTCTCACTCTGCTCTCTCTCTCAGGCCTCTCTCTCTTTGGTCTCTCTCTTCTGAACCCTTGTGGACTTTTTCTGATCTTTCTTATTAACCAGTCAGTTTGAAAATCTTGTAAACCTCTGATATACATCATTATCATCACTGCATTTTTTGTATTTCTTTTTTTTTTACCGTGCACTTGTTGGGTTTCTCCCCTGAGTGTACTCTCACCGTGCACTTGTTGGGTTTCTCCCCTGAGTGTACTCTCATGTGGATCAGCAGCTTGTATCTGGCGTTGAAGGGCCTGAGCTTCCGTGGACAGCCCTCCCAGAAGCAGCTGAAGTCCTCCGCTCCCCTGTGGTCCACGTGGGTCTTCTCTATGTGCTTCACCAGCGCCTCCTTCAGGTCGTACACTCCACCGCAGTCCCTCCACCTGCACAAGTGCCCGCCCCACTCCTCCACCTCCCCCTCCTCCTCCTCCAGCATCGGCACTTGAGGTAAAAACCCATGCCTGAAGTACGGACTCTGCAGGTAGAAGTCTGGGTACTGCTTGTGCTGCGGTCTGTAGATATGGGAGTGGGAATGATACGGAGGAGGAGGCCCTAGAGGGGGTTCTTGATCTTGGATTGTGGCATCTGCAGCGACATCCATGGACGGACACGGCACCAAGTTTGGTCCCATCCCAGCAGTGCACTGCTGGGATGAGCCCTGCAGTTCCACCGCCATGTTTGCCATTTGGTTCTGGAGCTCTCGGCCCATATCCTCGCCGTGACTGGGCTGCACCTGATGCTTGCCGACCTGCGTTGGGCGGATGCTGGGCTGGTTCTGGGGGAAGGAAGAACCTCGCACTCCCAGGAAATGGCCGTAAGCGTCGGAATGCACGGACGACGACGGAGAGCTCCTGCCGCCGTTGATGTAAGCCACGAGGGAGGTGGGGGAGGTGCGGATGACCGAGTTGAAGTCGATCCCCATGACGTCTGACAAGGGCGATATGGAGAGAGAACGCTTCTTCGAGTGTTTCGGGCTTGTTAGATCGACCGCGAATAAGTAGGACGGTAAGGAGGCAGACGTGCTGGTTGTACCCCCGGATGGAGAGGGGTCTGGGGGGTGGACGGCCAGCTCAGTGCCCTCAGAGGGGGCCTGGGTGGACCCTGGAGCTGGACCCAGAGGAGGCAGCACCCGATAGCCATAAGGCCAGTCGTGTCTCCCGCTGAACACAGACTGGGTGTCGAACTGGCTCAGGGTGGTGGAGGCCAAGGACTCTCTGGAGAACAGGGACCTGTAACGTATTGGTGTCAGAGCTAAGTGTCAATGTCAACGATACAAGCTGGTTTCAAACTGCTTCACAGAACAAAAGTATAACACACACATGCATGGAAAATGTTAAATAGACGGACTGAACTGGGGGGGTAAAAGCCAGAGAGAGAGACCAGAGAGAGAGAGAGAGAGAGAGAGAGAGAGAGAGAGAGAGAGAGAGACCAGAGAGGGACCAGAGAGAGACCAGAAAGAGACCAGAGAGAGACCAGAGACAAGAGGATATTTTATCCACTATAAAATGTATGAAAGACTGTGATCGACTGGATGTTGTCCCGGCTCGGCTTTTTGTTAATGTTTTAGAGTCTATCGGTCCATCGATCACTAAAATCGACATGTCGCTCTCAACTGGTGTGTTCCTGTGTTCTCTTAAACATACTGTTGTGGAGCCCCAACTAAAGAAACCCAGTCTGGACCCAACAGATCTTCAGAACTTTAGGCCCATATCAAAGATCCCGCTCTTGGCCAAAGTCCTGGAGAAGCTAGCCTACAGCGTTCTTGGAGGCTAACAATATTTTTGACTCCTTTCAGTCTGGTTTCAGGAAGTTCCACTCCACTGAAACAGCTTTACTGAAGGTGTCTGGTGACATCATGATGGCTGCCGACTCCGGTACATGTTCCGTCCTGGTCCTGTTAGACCTGTCGTCTGCCTTTGACACGGTGGACCATGGCATCTTGGTTGGCATGTCAGGCTCTGTAATAGAGTGGTTTAGATCATACCTGACAGGTAGAACCTTCTGTGTATCCTCTAACAATGTGGTGTCTGAATCTGCCGACCTACAGTGGGGTGTACCCCCAAGGCTCCGTTCTTGGGCCCATTCTTGGGCATTGCAGGAAATGCAGTTTTAATCAGGAAATGCAGTTTTAATAGAAGCATCACCACCAAATTTCAAGTTTGAATCTGAAATACGGGAGGAGGCTTAGCTGCCATTTTTAGAGACCACTTTGTCTCCCATAGAATGTCTCTTGGGAAGTTTTTGTCATTTGAATATGTGTCTTTTAAAATACAACAAAAACAATCTCCTCCAATACTCTTCATTGTCCTATACAAGCCAACGCAGTCATGTTACAGTTTTATTGATAATTTTACAGAGTTGCTTTCAGTTGTATGCACAGATTTTGATTTGGTTTGGTTATTACAGGTGATTTTAATATTCATGTGGATAATGTTAATGACAGAAATGCAAATGAGCTGAGTTCTTTACTTGATGCCTTTGGTCTCACTCAGCACGTAAGTGGCCCCACCCACAGCAGAGGGCACACTCTAGATCTGTTAGTTACTAAGGGGGTGAATATTTCAAATGTAAACGTGGGCGATGTTGCTCTTTCGGATCATTTCTGTGTTTTTTTTGACATGTGTTTCACTAACAAACCACCAGTGGACTCTGCAACAGTTCGAAGAAGACACATAAATGAAAATACGAGTGAACAATATATGGGAATGATAAACTTTGAGAATGCATCGTATTCTACTGTAGATGAACTGTTTAACTCTGTCACCTCTAGTGTTTTGAATGTTCTGGATACCGTTGCCCCTGTGAAGGTTAAAATAGTGAAAAATAAGCAGAAGGCGCCGTGGGCTAAAGCAGACTCGGTCAGGGCACAAAAGAGAAAGTGCCGGAGGGCCGAGCGGAAGTGGCGCAAGTCCAACCTCCAGGTTGATTACAGGATCTTCAAAGATAAGTTGTGCGAGTTTACCCAGGTGCTACGTAGTACGAGAGAAAGGTATATTTCTGAAATGATTGAAGGCTGCAGCAACAATCTGCGTGTTCTGTTCAACAGTTAATAGATTAACAAACCCCCCTGTTCAAATGCCATTAGAGCTTACTTCCAAACGTAAATGCAATGAGTTTGCTAATTTTTTCAATGACAAGGTTCAAGGCATCAAAAACGCCATTGTCTCCAATCCACAGATAACCATCCAACAGCCAGAAAGGCTCTCTGAGCTAACTCACTTTGCACCTGTAGATGATAAAAATGTCCAAGAGATAATCTCCAGTCTGAGCTCCTCCACATGCAGCTTGGATGTACTACCCACTAGATTTCTGAATTCTGTTCTGAGCAGTCTGTTACCTTCACTCACACAGATAGTAAACATGTCCCTTCATTCTGGAATATTCCCAAAGGCCCTGAAAACTGCAGTCATCAGGCCCCTGCTAAAAAAGAGCAGACTGGATGCTACGGTACTTAACAACTATCGTCCCATCTCAAATCTGCCATTTATGGAGAAAGTCCTTGAGAAAGTTGTCTACCTACAGCTTACTAGATTTCTTATAATCAACAACTCATTTGATATGTTTCAGTCCGGCTTTAGACCCCACCACAGCACTGAGACTGCTCTTGTCAAGGTTACAAACGATATCCGGCTAAACACTGACGCAGGCAAAGTCTCAATCTTACAGTAATCTTGTTACATCTAAGTGCTGCCTTTGACACCGTCGACCATGAGATCCTCTTACAGAGATTAGAGGACTGGGTTGGCGTCGCTGGCACCGCCCTAAGTTGGTTCGGGTCTTACCTTGAAGACAGGAAGTACTTTGTGGAGATTGGAAACTGTGTCTCAGATCATATGGCCCTGACCTGTGGAGTACCACAGGGGTCGATCCTGGGACCTCTTCTGTTCAATCTCTACATGCTGCCGTTAGGTCAGTTAATACGCAGAAACCAAGTTTCCTATCATAACTATGCAGACGACACTCAGATCTATGTCTCACTGACTGCAGGAGAACATGGACCAGTGGACTCACTCCTTCACTGTATCCAACAGATCAGTGAGTGGATGCAAAACAACTTCGTTCAGCTAAACGCAGACAAAACTGAAATGATTGTCTTTGGTCCCCAGAAACAAAGAGAGAGCGTCATCTGTCACCTCCAGTCTCTCTCCCTAAAACCTTCAAACAAGGTCAGAAATCTAGGGGTAATACTGGACTCAGACTTAAATTTTAACAGCCACATCAAATCAGTAACATCAGCAGCTTTTTACCATCTAAAAAACATTGCCAGGATCAAAAACATAGTGTCTAAAGCAGACTTGGAGATTCTTATCCATGCATTTGTCTCCAGTAGGTTAGACTACTGCAATGGCCTGCTCACAGGTCTGTCCAAACAGGCTGTAAAACAGCTGCAGTACATTCAAAATGCAGCAGCTCGAGTCCTGACTAGAACCAGGAAGTACGACCATATTAGTCCAGTCCTCAGGTCTCTGCACTGGCTTCCTGTGGCTCAGAGAATAGACTTTAAAACAGCTCTGCTTGTGTACAAGTCTCTCCATGGCCTCGCACCAAAATATATTAGTGACATGTTAGTCCCATATGAACCAGCCCGGACTCTGAGGAGCACAGGGACTGGACTCCTGTTAGTGCCCAGAGTCAGAACTAAACATGGGGAGGCTGCTTTTCAGATTCAGGCTGCTAAAATCTGGAACAGTCATCCTGAAGATGTGAGACAGGTCTCCTCTCTGACAATGTTTAAAACCAGGTTAAAAACGGTTCTGTTTAGCTGTGCATACAACTGAGGGATTTTATATTTTTATCTTTCTTTTTAATGTTCTGTGATTATTTATGATTTTAATGCTTTCTTGTTTTGTTCAGCACTTTGAGTTGCCTTGTGTATGAATTGTGCTATACAAATAAACTTGCCTTGCCTTGCCTTGCCTTATATTTATGATGTACCTGCTCCCTCTAGGCAAGTTGATCCAGCAGTTCAGTGAGGTCTCCTGCCACCTGTATGCTGACGATCTCCAGCTGTACTGTTCTTTTAAGCCCTCTGAACCAGAGACCAGAGAGAGACCAGAGAAAGAGACTAGAGAGAGACCAGAGAGAGAGACTAGAGAGGGACCAGAGAGAGAGACTAGAGAGGGACCAGAAAGAGACCAGAGAGAGATCAAAGAGACAAGAGAGAGACCAGAGAGAGAGAATATAACTGAATGTATGATGTTTTTGAGGTTGAGGTTGTTGAGAGAAAGAGCTAGAGAGAGAGAGCGAGGGTAAGAGAGTCGAACCTGGCCTCGCTGTGGGGAGCAGGGATAGATAAGGGGTATGGTGGGGGGTGAGGGGGGTGAGGGGGGTGAGGGGGGTGAGCGGAGATGAACGGTGAGGGCCTGGTCAGAGCGTCAGCACCGGCGGGTCGACCAAACACCTGCATCGAGGGTCCATCTGCAAGATAGTTATCAAAGTTATTAATCTATCTTTCTCATCTCTCTCTCTCTGTCTCTCTCTCTGTCAGCTGTTCAGTTTCCTCGTTGTTCAGGCCAAGATGGCCGTCTATGTGAGGGAGGTGTGCTCTGTGAGGGACGGGGAGCTGCACTTTTTTGCCTTTTTATCTTTGTAAAACCTTATGAATTGAATTTTGTGTTGCATTGTTTATTTATTGCAGTATTTCCACTTTTATGTCTGAATTTTTAAACTGTGTTTTATTTTCTATATATTACAATATGTAATTGCCCTGTTTTAATGGACATATAAAGCTATGTTAAAAATGAAAAATCTCTCTCTCTCTCTCTCTCTGGTTGCGTGGTAGAAGTGAAACTCGTGACCCTGGACTTTCCCAAAGTCTCGCTCGGTTAATCTCTGATGAGTTTTCACCTCCCTCTGTTTCTCTTCTGGTCATTTATTAAAGAATATTCTCGCCTCGTCTAGTTTCACCTCAGTCTCTGAACGTGTGAGTGAGGAGGATTTATTTGTATGGCACATGTTCCCTCATACACAGGAGGCACATACAGGAAAACGGAGAACCTGGAGGAAACCTGCACCAGCACGGGGAGAACGTGAACATTTACAGAGAGAGACCAGAGAGAGAGACAAGAGACCAGAGAGAGAGAGAGAGAGAGAGACCAGAGAGAGAGAGAGAGACCAGAGAGAGAGATCAGAAAGAGAGAGAGACCAGAGAGAGACCAGAGAGAGAGACAAGAGACCAGAGAGAGAGAGAGAGAGAGAGAGAGAGAGACCAGAGAGAGAGAGACCAGAGAGAGAGACCAGAGAGAGAGATCAGAGAGAGAGAGAGACCAGAGAGAGAGACAAGAGACCAGAGAGAGACCATAGAGTGTCTGTTGTGACCTGTGTGATTGCTGGTCCTCCTCCCTCGCTCCGCAGGGTCTCTCCCGCTGGTCAGGACCTGTCTCCTCAGACTCAGTGAAGGGAGAGAGGTCTGGGTCAGTCCTGGAGCCGCTGGGTTCGGACTGGTCCTCTGGGACGCGATGGGGACCCTGACCGAGTGAGACCGAGGGCCCCTGAGGAGACCCACAGAGGAGGACCCACAGCAGGAGGAGACCAGGAGCGGACCCCCCTCACCACTCATGTCTGAGGAGGCGTCAAAACAGAAAGAAACGAGAAAAACGTCATATTTAGAAGAAAAATTAAAACTATTAGGTTCTCTTCCCTCAGTCCTGGATCTACAGCCTCAGTCCTGGGTCTACAGCCTCAGTCCTGGATCTACAGCCTCAGTCCTGGGTCTACAGCCTAAACAAACTAAAACTAAAAAATCTCACTACATTTCCACTGCAGGACTTCAGGATGATAAAGTATTTAAAGTCAGTGAACAAACCTTCTGCGCGGGACTAGAACCTCCTCAAGAAAAAGGTTCCATCCTCTCGGTCACAGTCTGAAAGAACACATCCATGATGTGCTGCAGACCCAACAGTCTGGGTCTGCAGCAGGACGACCTGCTCTGTCCCGGTCCCGTCCGTCTCCGCCTCCTCCAAACAGCACAAGTTTTTTTTTTTTTTTTTTACTTTCAACAACTTTTTCAAAAAGGAATTATTATTATTCTATTTTTATTGTATGTAAAGAAATATTACACAAATTAAGGGCAACATGAAGAGACATAAAACAGAAATTCAATAAAAATGTTCACCAACAAAACTTCGTATGACGTAGGCTGCGTCAGGTACGTGGGTCGGGTGCGTGCGTCAGGTGCGTGCGTCAGGTGCGTGGGTCAGCTGCGTGGATCAGGTGCGTCCATGGCCCAATCCCAATACCCACACTGCACCCTACACACCTCTGCGAAGTGTGCATTTGTTCGAAGTGCACACCAGGGTTGGAGTGCGCAGGTTACAAGTGTGCAAAAAACGCAGAATTGGGACAGTGCACACTGAGTGCAGGTGACGTCATCGACTCGTCAAGAGATGGTCATTTTCAGACCTAAACTTTATAAACATTAAAGGTTATTTTGTCTGACCCTTTGGGAAACAAAATGAATTGCTTCACACACGTTAAAATACATGTATATTAGTTGTTTTTAATTAGAGATAGCTGTATAATTTTAAGTTAAATGTGGGTAACTAACTATCTGGTCAGTTTTTATACATTCTAAGATTATTTTACAAAGTGTAAAGTTTAAATTAAACACAATGTCCGTAAATCTTCATCAGACGTTCATGCTTCTTTCCAAGTAACATAGCAAAACTTATTTACACACATACAGCATATATATTTCAAAATTTATATTTAAATGTATTTTCTCGACGTTTTGGTGAGTACCGCAAAGAATTATGGGCAATATCCTTCGCCAGAGTGCGCATAGATGCAGGCTACGGCGAAGTGTGGATCAGGGGCGCAAAGGGGGCGGGGCCAAAGACCTCCCCGGAGGATTGGGACACCCTACGGCACTCGCACCCTTTATCGGGAACGCGAAAATGAGGGGCGCGAGGGTGGAAGTGCGAGTATTGGGACGGGGCCCATCTGAACCCGGGTCATTCTGTGGTCGTTCCCTCGTCATCACAGTGATGATATATTCTTTGTACAGACGCTGTTTTAAAATAACTCCAACCAGATTAAAGTCATTTAAATGTTCCAAATTTACAGAATAATAAAATAAAATAATATAGAGTTGGATGGAGCTGCTGAGTGCGCCTGCACTGACCTCTGCTGGTCAGAGCAGTTTCTGAGTGTCTGTGTCAGGGAGGAAGTGAGGAAGGAAGGAAGTGAGGAAGGAAGGAAGGAAGGAAGGAAGGAAGGAAGGAAGGAAGGAAGGAAGGAAGGAAGGAAGGAAGGAATAATACAATAGTCACATATGGAGAACGCATAAGAGAGTGACCAGTAAGGCCCTTACTGGTCACTCTCTAACCAGAAAGAGAGAGAGAGAGAGACGGAGACCAGGGAGAGACCAGAGAGAGAGATGAAGAGAGACCATAGAGAGATAAAGAGAGAGAGAGAGACAAGAGAGACCAGAATGAGACCAGGGAGAGACCAGAGAGAATCCAGAGAGAGAGAAACCAGAGAGAGACCAGAAAGGGATTAGAGAGACCAGAGAGAGACTAGAGAGAAAGATGAAGAGAGACCAGAGAGTGATAAAGAGAGAGACCATAGAGAGATAAAGAGAGAGAGAGAGAGAGACCAGAGAGAGAAAGACCTCAGCAGCTTCTCTCACTCCTTTCGGAATACTCTTTAGACATACCCCTTTATGTGTAAAGAAGTAGTCATATTTATTTATCTTGCACATTTCACAGAGAACTGAGGACGTTGTTTGGACGTGAGCTGCGCGTGCACGTCACAGGGAGCACGTTCACGCACGAGTCCAGCAGTTATGTGGTTCTAGCAGCGGCCACCAGAGGGCGCTGGGGACCCAGGAATGAGAGGCTCAGAGGTCTGCGGCTGATCCCGAAGTGAAGATTCAGTTTCATCCAGAATTATTCACTGCATCAAAACAATTCATCCATGAAACTAAGATCATGTGCAGGAGAAAGTAAAAGCTACAGTTAAGTTGTTTATTTTCTTTTATAATATTACAAATGGACACAAGGGATTGACACAGAGATCAAACGATGAAAGAAACAGTGTCAATAGCAGTGCAAGTGACTTGTTGTACAGTCTGACAGCGGTGGGGATAAAGGCCCTGCTCCTTCTTCGACTGAGAGAGCTCCTCCTCAGTCCTGTGCAGTGGGAGGTTTTGTCCATGTATGGAGGTGACTTTGACCAGAGAGAGACCAGGGAGAGAGACCGGAGAGAGAGACCAGAGAGAGACCGGAGAGAGAGACCAGAGAGAGAGACAGCAGAGAGAGAGAGACATCAGAGAGAGACGAGAGAGACCATAGAGTGAGCAGAGACAGAGAGAGAGTGACCAGAGAGACCAGAGCGAAACCAGAAGGAGAAAAAGGGAGAGACAACAACATGATCCCGATGATTAAAACAGTGTGTGATATCACCTCCCGCAGCAGAGTCAATGATGTCATAGACACTGAGGATTTGAGCGTCTCCCTTTGTAGAAAAGTGCTCCGTCAACATCATCACCGGCTCCTGATGCTGGATTACAATAGTCACTAAAGGAAGGCACTGGACCCGCTACAGCCTCCAGGCTGGTTCAATTGGTTGAACCATTTGGTTCAATCTTTTGAGTTGCTCTACCATTTTGCCACAGGACGAAAGAGACATGTCAGCTAAAAAGACCGCGACCAATATTGCAATACCAAGTGCCGTAGAGTGTGTGTGCGTGTGTACGTGCGCGCCAAACGCTGCATAGGAGCGAAGACACTCGGTTACACGCGTGCTGATCTCGTCAAGCACCGCGCGAGGTGGTGCTGAATTCATGTCAAAGATTATAACAGGAAAAACTTTCCTCAGATCTGGGAAAAAAGTGTCGTTCGAGTTCGCACAGGGCCTCGCACCTATGGCGCCAGATTTACGCCAAAAGTCCACACGCTCAAATAACACATACACGCGCAGCTTTATTTAATTCACACGCGCGCAAACTACTCTCCACGCGCACATTTCACACCACACGCGCGCAGACTCAGTACCACGAGCCACAATACGCGCGTGTGTGCGCTCGTGACCTGCCCTCTCCCTTCTCGTGGTCTGTGTTCTGCGCGCGTTGAACACTTTTGCCATCTCTTCTACGCGCGCGTGAAATACTTTTGTCGCTTGGGGGCGGGGCCAGTGAAAGGTAAACACTGGGTTTCTTTCTGGGCGACGTCACAGGCAAGTTGTGTGCATAGCTGAGTGGCTAAAGAAGGAAGAACACTGGAGCAGACTTTGTGTTTGTGTCCTACATTATCTAATAATCAAAAAGTCCAATCCATAAGTAATCACTAGGTTACATGATGTCGCTAGATGTAGTTATCATGATCAGTCAAGTTAAAGCAAGCTCAAACAGCTAAAATGCTAACCGGCAGTTAGCATTTTAGCTGTTTTGCTAAGTTAGCTAAGGAGGCTCCTTCGTTTTAGTCTGAGGAGAAACAGCTGTTCATGATTTAGCCTGTGTAGCCTTCTAGTCACAACAAAAGCACATAAATACTTTAGTGCTAAAGTATTCAGCTCTAAAACCACAAAGTGTGTGGTGTTTTTCCTTGATTACAACAACTGGAGAACAAAAGTGATCAACCTGTATACCACTAAAAAGGCAATAATAACTTGAGCTAATGTTGCTTTTTTCCTTTATCAGGAGAACCATAGTCTGTGCCTTGCATCTGTGGAGAGGACTGCTGAGCTGAATGCATGGAGAGACGTGATGTGGATTTATGTTTTCTTTTATTTTGTGCATAACTACTAGTAAAAGTCATCCAGTGATCCTCCTTGTGTCATGGTCCTTCTTCAGACAGCGCAGAACATGGAACACAACGCAGATTACACTAATAAAGGGGTTAACAGGTGTGCACCAGGTCAAGACTGTAATTGAACAATAAAAACAAGTTACAACGGTGCCCACACCCGTTACAAGTCCATTTCCTGCCATACAAGAACAGTTTGGGGTAAGGATGTACCCCAAGTCTTTGTGGCCATAGTGGCATCATAAGGCTTTGACTTAATGCCCACTCTCTGACTGGGGAGCACATCTGCCTCAAAACACGGAACTCAGTACCAGAGTCAAAGTATTTCACATTCTTTACATAACACATAATTGTCTGCATCGATAGATTTATATGATTTAGGTTCTCTTTTGTATAGACACTGGGGGCCTGAGTGAGGTAATTATAGATATTAGGCCAGGTAACTGATGGCCATTTTCTCCTATCTACAACCCACTGTTCTGTGAGAATAGTATTATTATTACATGTTTATTTGACAGGCACAGAACAAAAAGTATTGTTACAGGTAACCAATGCCATGTTCATAGGCCGTATAGCAAACAGATAATTGGCAGTCGCTAAGGCATAAAAATATTAGAGATTTCAGTTCAGCAGGTAAAATGTTCCAGAGCTGTGGCTCTTCGACTGCAAACGAAGTCTGACCAAATGATGTTTTACATCTTGCCGGTCTGCAGTGTGTGTGGATCAGGAACTGGTGCCCATCGCAGAGGACCAATTTATGAAGATAACCTGCACCATCAGAACTATTCAGGGGTTCTGTGTAGTGTGTAGAGATGATAGCCATCCTAAACTAGCAAACACAATACAGGTACAGAAGCCAATTATGACAGGTTGAAACAGCTTAGCCCCAATTTTAAGTTCATTTTAATAAAAATACATGAAATCAAATGAAGTTTACTACTATTTAGTAATGTTAACAATTCAGATAGCTCATTTGTTTCAAAACTTTGTATACACATTTTTGATATTTGGGTTTATGGACTCACAGATTTATTGCTAGTTAGCATAGACTCATTAGGTCAACCCCCTATAATTATGCAAATAAAAAGCAAACAAATAACTCAGAGACAGTTTTATTAAACTTTGATAACGGTCCTGACATGATTCTGACAAAGCATTCAGTGTAAACAACGTACAGCGATCACAAAGGTCCCGGGATGTACCTGGCTAGCCTTGCGGCAACATAGGCTGATGAGAGAGAATATTAAACATTTACGAACTAAACATGTCCTGGTGTAAGCCTATAGGGTGTCCACAACAGTGTACATACCACGTTAAAGACTACAATAGCCAGCCCAGTTAGGGTTATAAAAAAGATATACAGTCTATGGATTAATCATATGCTTTCCATGCATAAGCATTTCATCTCCAAGCTGCAGTGGGCTGTTTACCTTTCACTGGCCCCGCCCCCAAGCGACAAAAGTATTTCACGCGCGCGTAGAAGAGATGGCAAAAGTGTTCAACGCGCGCAGAACACAGACCACGAGAAGGGAGAGGGCAGGTCACGAGCGCACACACGCGCGTATTGTGGCTCGTGGTACTGAGTCTGCGCGCGTGTGGTGTGAAATGTGCGCGTGGAGAGTAGTTTGCGCGCGTGTGAATTAAATAAAGCTGCGCGTGTATGTGTTATTTGAGCGTGTGGACTTTTGGCGTAAATCTGGCGCCATACGCACCCCCCTTGCGACGGGCCTGACAGCCTCAGTCCTGGGTCTACAGCCTCAGTCCTGGGTCTACAGCATCAGTCCTGGGTCTACAGCCTCAGTCCTGGGTCTACAGCATCAGTCCTGGGTCTACAGCCTCAGTCCTGGGTCGCTCGTGGCCTCACCTGACGCGCTACACTATTCACTTTCATTTGGAGGTTTTGGCGCGCGTAACGCTCACGTCTCTTTAAGCGTCAAAAACTCCCTTGACCCTAGCTCCAGGCGGGAATGAGCCTAGCTCCAAGTGTGGAGCGAGGCTCCACTGGCCTCAGGCGCCTCACTCGCATCAGAAGCTTTAAGCACCAAAATGACACAAAAATAACCCGGCCTCAGTTGACACACGTCAAAAGCGTTTTTGAAGCTTTTGGTCTGAACGCGCCTTTAGTGTGTGTGTGTGTGTGTGACAATTTGTCTAAACGTCTCAAACACAAATCAAATCAGAAAACTATCTTTGTACTTTGTAATTTTTTGTATTATTTATTGCATGCAATTCCAACTTGATTCATGTAGGTTCGTTTAGGGGTACGAGGGGAAGTGGATAAAGAGACCAGAGAGAGGTCAAAGAAAGAGACCAGATACAGAAGAGGAGCTCCTGGTGAAGAAGTTGGACTCTCCACCTCAGAAGCTACAGCTACAAACAGCCTGATGCCCTGGTCCAGAGAAACCTGCTGTTTGCCTTCGATATTTCTAGGCTGAGAGTCCTTCCCCTCCATCTGATGATGTTGCTTTGAACTATCCTAAAAACGTACAGCTCCAAACAGCCTGAGAGACCAGAGAGACCAGAGAGAGACCAGAGAGAGACCAGAGAGAGACCAGAGAGAGACCAGAGAGAGACCAGAGAGAGACCAGAGAGAGACCAGAGAGAGAGACCAGAGAGAGAGACCAGAGAGAGAGACCAGAGAGAGAGACCAGAGAGAGAGACCAGAGAGAGAGACCAGAGAGAGACAGCCTCATACGTTTACCAAATTCCCCATTCCCCTTTCAGACTTTAGATTTGAATTAGCAGCTGCAGCGTCTGACCTGTGCTGCTGAGAATGCGTTATTCTCTTAAAACTCAAACTTTTTCATCAGCGCCGAAACGCTCTTCCCCTTGACCCGGTTTCTCTGCAGCTCGGGCCCCTGCTTCTGCGTGTCCTGCTCAAGTTTATTTTCAAATATTTCTGTTAGATTTTTCACATTTCCCTTGAGCTCTGTGCAGTCATCCTTGTGACTCTGAGGTCTGGACTCCTCTGCACTCGTCTGTGGTTTCTCAAATAAGGCCCTTGTCGCTTGATCCAGATTCTGCGTTGGTACATCTGAGGTAGAGGTCTCAACCTTCACGGCTTTTGGATCTGTTAGCATCTCCGCGCTAGCCACCGTTTGCGTCTGCGTTTCACACACCGACGGCTTCTCCTGGGGTGCGACCTCGCTTACTTGTTGCTCCAAACGTCTGCGAGCTTCCACCTGTTTTTTAAAGCCCTCCTTGAAAACGCTCAACTCCTCGAGGTGATCGTCGAACGCTTTCGTCTGTGACACTTTTAGTTCCATCAATTTCTCACAAGCCTCCTTATGTTCGGCCTCATGTTTCCGTGAGGTTTCTTTGGCTTGTTCCAGATCTTTCTCAAGACTCATATTCTGCTCCACACACCAAATATACTCCTTTTTCACGTCCTCGAACTCCTTCAGTTGGCGTTCAAGCATCTCCATCTTCTTCTGAGCTGAACTCTGTGTTTTTGTGCCAACTGAACCCTGGGCTTCACACTGCGTTTCCACTTTCATCTGTAAAAGTTGCAGCTCTTTCTCCAGATTTTGATTCTGCCGAACAGACAAAGACAACTCCTCTCTCAACTCTTCGAACTCCTGAAGTTGGCGTTCCAGCATCTCGATCTTCTGGCTTTGATTCTCATTCTCACTGATCTGTTTCTCTGAACTTTTTCCGACTGAGTCCCGCTCTTCTAAAGACTGCTTTAAAACCCTGAGCTCCTCAAAGTTTTCTTGAAGCTCTTTCTCGTGTGAGAGTTGCAGCACTTTCAACTTCTCACAAGCCTCCTGACGTTCAGACTCATGTTTACGTGAGTTGTCGTTGGCTTGTTCCAGATCTTTCTCCAGACTGAGGTTCAAACTTTGCAGCTGCATCAGTTTCTCACAAACCTCCTGATGCTCTTTCTCCTTCTTTGCTAACTTTTCTCTTGCTAGCTCCAACTCTGCGTTAAACTTGGCCTCTCTGACTTGCATACACCTCACCGCAATCTCATATTCCTCATACCAGTTTTCAGAATGTGGCAAGTCCACTTTCTGAGTCTGGACCTCACAGGTGGACCAGGCCTGAGTCTGAGTCTGGACCTCACAGGTGGACAAGGCCTGAGTCTGAGTCTGGACCTCACAGGTGGACCAGGCCTGAGTCTGAGTCTGGACCTCACAGGTGGACAAGGCCCGTGTCTGGACCTTGCTGCTGGACCAGGCCTGAGTCTGGACCTCGCTGCTGGACCAGGCCTGAGTCTGGACCTTGCTGCTGGACCAGGCCTGAGTCTGGACCTTGCTGCTGGACCAGGCCTGAGTCTGTATGAGAGTTATGTTAAAACTCTCATACAGACTGCAGATATGGTGGTTAATGTGATAATAACATAACCATGGACTTTATCACACTGAAGATGGTTAAAGTGATTGTCTGCAGTTTGTCAGAAAGAAAGACAGAGAGGTGCTTGATTTGAAAATAACGACGCAAGCTCCTCCCCCTTCCTTTCTGATTGGTCTACGCCTACGTTTCCGTAACACTTTTAAATGTTAATGGGAGAACACATTATACATATACATTATTAATACACATGCACGGAGGTTTTCAGAATTATGTGTTAATGTTTTAATGAAAAAAATAATGTTTTAATGCACAAAAAAAGCGATCGCGGAAAACCAGGAAGTGCTATTATCATGAACTGCACATTATAGGCATGGATCTATTATAATAACTGGATAGGGTATTACTAGCTTGGAGCTGAATAACTCATGTGCTCAGGGGATTCTCGCGGTACTGCAGACTGAACCAGGCTAAATTCACGTGGGCTACACAGAAATTTTCCCCATAGAACTCAATGCATATTAAAACAGCTCAACCTCAGCTGACAGAGAACCTGACAGAGAACCTACAGCTTTAATAAAGGTCGGATTTTGTGGGGATTTTAGTGTCCCTTGTCATCCTGAACTTTTTTGCTTCTTAAATCCTTCGGTTTTGTTTAAATCCACACTTTAGTGCCACAAACTCTGCTCGTCTGGCTCTCGCTCTAACTCCCGCTCTGATGAACTGCTCTGATTGGTCAGAGCGCGGCCGAGCCCCTCTGTGCACGTGCGTGAGACCCGGTGTGAGACCCACACACGCGTGTTTGGCGCAACGCATTAAGGGAGATAATCCACTGCGCAGAACCGGGAGGACCAGACGATGCCCAAATACAGGCGAGTTTCCCATAGATCTTTGCGAGTTCCAGGCAACTTCCACTAATCTTTCAGCCCCCATGCCGTCACAAAGCGCCACTGAGCACAACCATTCATTTGAATAGGGCGCAATCTTGGATCGCCGGGGCTTGATTATAGGACACATCTGCAGAGGATCTGATTATGGATATAGGTTCAGTATATAAATGATTATGGATATAGGTTCAGTATATAAATGATTATGGATATAGGTTCAGTATATAAATGATTATGGATATATGTTCAGTATATAAATGATTATGGATATAGGTTCAGTATATAAATAGGTAACTCAGCGCAGATGTTCAGAATTCTTTATTCAGTTTTCATGCAGTTCCATGGCATGACTCGATTGGTTAACCTCGACGGCACCGTGGATTCTGAGCTATAGCTAAGAGAAGTGAAGGCGGGACTTACCCGTAATATTAGAATTAATAAAATGACTTATTTTATATCAACATTTAAGGCCAGGAGGTCAATTTAACACATTTCCTAAAATTTGTAATTCATTTAGATTTACAGACTATCACTTTAATGTGATAATAACATAACCATGGATCTTACCACACTGAAGATGGTTAAGCTGAGGTGCTGTGTTAAAGTGCTTTTTTCTATCTACCTACTTTGTGAGAAAGTTTTCTCTATAATGAGCCTTAAACCGGTCACATGGTGGGAAGGAGGAGGACTCAAAATGCGAGAATGCAAAATGATTTAATAAAATAAAGTATAAGGCAAAAAAACACAGAACTCTAAAAACCAAAGTAACCAGGACAGACCTTGACAAGACGTGAACAAACAAGACAGAACATGACAATACAATGGACCAGCAACAAGAGAGAAGCACAGGTACATGTAGACACAGACACAGGTGAAACTCATCAGGGCAGACCATCGACACAGGAAGTAAAACTTAAACCAAAGCACAGAGAACTGATATCAAAATAAACCAAAGTACAAAAATAAAATCCACACCATGACAAAAGCAAAGCTAACATACATTTATTAGTATCAATATGGTGAAATACCATTTTCAATGTAATATTGTAAATACATTACTTTATTTGCACTATAAAAACTCACTGTTACATTTAAGTTTGTAACAGAAAACAGTATTAAAGGACAGTGTTTTATATAAATGTGTTTATGTGCACAAAGAGTTGGCCCAGTTGAGATCGAATTAGGTTGTGTTTGGCCCCCGGACCAAAATGAATTTGACACCCCTGGTCTACAGCCTCAGTCCAGGATCTACAGTCTCAGTCCAGGGTCTACAGTCTCAGTCCAGGGTCTACAGTCTCAGTCCAGGGTCTACAGGCTCAGTCCAGGGTCTACAGCCTCAGTCCTGGGTCTACAGCCTCAGTATGGTCTACACAACAGCCTCAGTCCTGGGTCTACAGCCTCAGTCCAGGGTCTACAGCCTCAGTCCAGGGTCTACAGCCTCAGTCCAGGGTCTACAGCCTCAGTCCTGGGTCTACAGCCTCAGTCCTGGGTCTACAGCCTCGGTCCTGGGTCTACAGCCTCAGTCCTGGGTTAGTCAGGAGTCACACACAATGACGACGAGTGTGGAGCAGACGAGCTTCTGAGCGCCTCATTCTTCCATTCATCAATCTCACCAGACGCCTCCAATAACCTTTACGAGGAGAGAGAGAGAGAGAGAGAGATGTACTGGAGAGAGGTTAGGGGAGAGAGATGAGGAGGAGAGGAGAGAGAGAGAGAGAGATGTGGGACCGAGAGAGAGAGAGAGAGTGCGCGAGAGTTGAAGGGGGACGCCCTTAGAGACGAGAGAGAGAGAGAACATCCGAGAGTGATGAGCGAGAGTTGCGGAAGACGAGAGACAGGAGGATGGAGCGGATGGGAGGAAGGTGTCTGGGATGGAGGGGGAGCGAGAGGTGGACGCGGGCGGAGAGAGGGAACCGAGAGACGAGGAGAGAGAGAGAGCGAGAGAGGAGAGAGTCCTGGATGCTTTGTGGACGGGAGGGAGGAGGAGGAGAGAGGCCGAGAGAGGATGCCCCGAGGGGGATGGTGAGAGAGGGAGGTGGGGAGTGATGAATGAGAGGGTGGAGAGAGCGGGTGTGATGATTCGAGAGACGGAGGAGCCCCGTAGAAGTGGCCCCACGTTGAGCGGAGATACGGGATGAGAGATCCCTCGAAGAGGAGATGGCGAGAGGGAGCGAGGGGAGGGAGACGATGAGTGGAGTCGAGGAGAGGAGTTGGGAGGGGTAGTGGAGAGTGAGGAGGAGAGGGGCGAGCCGGACGAACGGATGGCTGATGCTTGAGGGGAGAGGAGAGGGGACGAGGATAGTAGGGGAGGGAGAGTAGTAGTGGAGAGGGGAGAGCGAGATGCCGCGAGGTGAGTAGGGGAGAGGGAGCATGAGATTGCGCAGAGTCCGTCGAGGAGAGAGACATTTGAGAGAGGGGGAGAGGTGTAGAGTGTGTGAGGAGGAGAGAGATGGGCCTCGAGAGACGAGTTCGGAGGAGGGAGGAGGAACGAGCAGATTATGATCTGTCTGAGCGACGATGAGAGGAGAGTTGTGAAGATATGAGAGATGCGAGGTGAAGAGAGAGGATGAGCGACGATACATCGGACCCGACGCCCGCGGGATCTGGGGAGAGCGCGAGAGTGTGTTGGAGATTGAGAGGAGAGGAGGAACGGGATGTTACGAGACGGAGATCGACTGTGAGGCGAGGGGTAGAAGCTTGGAGACGAGGAGAAGTTGGCTGGAAAGAAGGAGATGCGAGGGGAGTGGGAGGCGTTGAGTTGGGAGGATGAGGACGAGCAGGGAGTGGTTGGCGAGATCCGGGGGCCGAGCGCGAGGGGGTCTACAGTAGGATAGAGCAACGTTGCGGTACTGACGATGAGGAGAGTTCGTGGGAGGAGAGCCGATGGAGTCGTGTGGCTTGGGAGGGTGAGGGCGACGGAGATCATGACGGTGAGATGAGGAGAGATGAGGGGACGGACGCGAGGAGCTGCGGCGAGAGTGCGAGTACGATGATCGATTGCCCGCCTGGATCGAGGGGAACGCCGGAGGGCGAGAGGGCGGAGTGGTATATATATTCGTTTTGTCTTGATGAGACGTGGTCCGTGGGAGATGGCTGAGCGGAGACGGTGGGAACGGGGGCGAGTATGAGTGACGTGGATGGGGATGGGGACCGAAGGAGCGATCGGGGGGGGCGTAGAGATGTCTGGAGGTGAGGAACACGACAGAGCGGTGCGAGGAGAGAGAGAGATGAGAGAGAGAGCAGGGACTCGAGGGCGACAAGCAAATAGGTATCGGAGGGAGAGAGGAGAGCCGTGATTGGGGTGTGGAGTTGAGATGAGGTAGCCGCGGGCGATGAGAGTTCGCCGGAAGAGATGACGGAGGGTATGTGAGGGCTGTGAGGGATGCTCCTGGTGCGAGAGTTTTGAACGACGGACGGAGGGAGAGGAGTCCGCCGGTCGGAGCAGGAGATTCCGTTTTTTTATTCTGAGTACAGTTCTATCTTCTTCGATTTGCCTGAGGGGGCAGCGGTGGATCACGGCAGTCTACGCATATGACGGCCCGGGCTGGGAGATCGTCGCCTGTCCTTTCTCTAGAGAGGCTCATTGCTCTATTCTCGCTTTTGTCCCAGTCAGTGAAGGGCTTGGCGAGGCATGGGAGAGACGAGTTCGGATGCAGTAGAGGAGCGCGTAAGAGGAGAGAAGAGGGTGTAGGAGAGAGGCGGGAGAGAGGGAGAGGGCCGAGGGGAGGACTGAGCGAGAGGGAGAGAAAGGAGGATTCGAGACGAGCGCGTGAGGACGGTGGGAGTTCCGAGGAGGACCATCGAGGATTCGGAGGGTTGCCTGGGGTGATTGCCTGGAGTGACGTGCGGAGTGCCGATGGAGGGAGAGGAGATGAGCGGAGGAGAATGGGATTCGCGTAGAGAGAGAGGATTGTCGGAAGAGACAGGGACCGCAGGGTGAGAGGCGAGAGGTGAGACAACGAGGAGAGTCTCGCGGCGAGTGGGTGGAGGGACGGAATGGGAGAGGATTGGGCCGAGGAGAGATGATGCCCAGATCGGAGTTGCCCGGAGATAGGCGAGAAGATCCAGTGAGAAGGTGGTGGAGCGATAGGGATGGTGGATCGTGTGTAGATGAGTAAGGTGAGGAGGTTTGTTGGTCGGGACTGAGCACAGAGAGGGAGGACGGGCGGAGGGAGCGGAGAGGCTCGGGCAGGAGGGTAGAGTTGAGGCGCCCCCCCCCCCCCCCCCCAGATGGGGAGGAGTGATGGATGTGTCTGAGGGGTAATGTGAGCGTGGTGAGAGGACGAATGAGGAGAGCGTTCGAGTGGGAGGAGGATGAGCTGGGGACGTTGAGGCAGAGGCGATCGGTGACGAGGAGCGGAGGGTCGAGGATGGAGCCGGATTGGATCTAGCGCGCCCCCGTCCTCCCCGCCCCCCCCCCCCCCACCACCCCCTTCCGACTGGAGCGGGAAATCTCGAGGAGGCCCCCGACGCCCCGGCCCCGGTGGGGGGGGGGGACGATGGCGGAGAGAGAAGACTGAAGCAGAGAAGGATCGTGGGCGAGGACAGTACGGGGGAGTTCGTGACAGGAGCAGAGTAAGATTGATTGAGGAGGAGAGTCTGACCTTGAGTGCTGTGGGGGAGGATGGAGCGTGAGAGTGCGGAGATGTGGAGGTCCTGAGGAAGGAGAGATCGCAGGAGGGAAGAGAAGTGTGTGGGGGGGTGTTTTTGGGGCGGGGGGGGGGAGAGTTGTGCGGGAGAGGCAGAGTTGCGTGCCGAGAGGGGAGGGGAGAGAGATCAGGAGCGATGGAGGAGAGAGAGAGAGTTTGACTTTGTGCTGATACCTATGATGCGAGGGGACGAGAGATGGCGAGAGAGAGAGAGCCTCTGGAGTGCCGGGACGAGAGAGATGAGATGCTGAGGGGAGACGAGAGAGACGAGAGAGAGAGAGACGACGGGGAGCGGTGAGGAGGAGGGAGCAGGGCAGAACGATGTGGACCTGGAGAGGAGCAGCGAGGTGACGACGAGGCGAGAGAGAGCGTGAGAGAGATGAGGATGAGAGCGACGACGAGGAAGAGAGGAGAGGAGAGAGAGAAGAGTGGGAGATGAGAGAGGAGCGAGAGAGAGAGAGGAGAGAGAGAGAGAGACCTGAGCCCATTGCAGAGACCTCCTGAGACCATTGCAGAGACCTCCTGAGACCAGTGCAGAGACCTCCTGAGACCAGTGCAGAGACCTGAGACCAGTGCAGAGACCTCCTGAGACCAGTGCAGAGACCTCCTGAGACCAGGACTAACACTGAGGTTTCATTCCAGCAGATCCAGACCTCGGTGGGACTCACATCAGTCTTCATTAACAGCTGCACTTAGAGCAGATGGTCATCTGCCCCACACACACACACACACTACCCCCCCTCGGTCTGTAATGATCCCTCTCTTCATACATCACAGTCCAGAGGTCAGAGGTCACAGGGCAATATTTAACCTTCAGAATAAAAATAGTTTCACAGGAGATCTCTCTCTGACCGATCTGTACTATGTGACTGTACTGTGTGACTCTCTCTGGTCTCTCTCCAGTCTCTTTCCCCCCTTTCCTACTCTCTCACTTGTGGTCTCTCTCCGCACTCTCCTCTCTCCCCCCCATCTACTCTCTCCCCTTACCAACTCTCTCACCTTACCTACTCTCTCACCTTACCAACTCTCTCACCTTACCAACTCTCTCACCTTACCAACTCTCTCACCTTACCAACTCTCTCACCTTACCTACTCTCTCACCTTACCTACTCTCTCACCTTACCAACTCTCTCACCTTACCAACTCTCTCACCTTACCTACTCTCTCACCTTACCAACTCTCTCACCTTACCAACTCTCTCACCTTACCTACTCTCTCACCTTACCAACTCTCTCACCTTACCAACTCTCTCACCTTACCTACTCTCTCACCTTACCTATTCTCTCACCTTACCAACTCTCTCACCTTACCAACTCTCTCACCTTACCAACTCTCTCACCTTACCTACTCTCTCACCTTACCTATTCTCTCACCTTACCAACTCTCTCACCTTACCTACTCTCTCACCTTACCAACTCTCTCACCTTACCTACTCTCTCACTTACTACATGACTGTGATATATTCTCTCAGTGATACAGTAATGTGTCCGGACTCAGAGCATGTTCTACACCACACTCTGATCCATCTTCATCATCCTCATTATGATCCGCAGACGTCTCACCTCCCGGAGCTCGGTGACAGATCAGAGTGAGATCCTCGGTCCTGTCCCGTACGGTGAGAGTATTCGGTGCAGTTCTGCCGTGGTGGGTCCGGTCGCGGTTGCTGTGCGTGTGGTGATTTGTGTACTGTACACAGGAGGTCAGAGGACACTCACTGAGCGGGACGCCTCTGATCATTTGTTATGCTAGTATTATCCTCTGCTGTCAGTCTAACAAGCAGGACCAGCTGACGAATCGCCCGCACCAGAGGAGAGCAAGGTGACTCTCATGGTGTTTTTGTCATCGATCCATCCAAGCGGAAAATGTAGTGTTCTCTTGTGGATTCAATTAATAATAGTGGAAGCAATAGACTGTATACAGATGGACAATGCTAACACAGACTGTATACAGATGGACAATGCTAACACAGACTGTATACAGATGGACAATGCTAACACAGACTCTATTCTTGTCTTTCCTGAACCTGGCCTGTAGGGGGCGCATGAGCAGAGATGGGACAGTGTTGCTCCCATGTAAAACCATGTAAAGTCTGTTGGAGTCCAAGGCTCTCCTCCTGTGCGGTGTACGGTTGTTGGAACAGTCTTAATCGGGGACACTCAATTCTAAGGGAGGACTAACATATTTCTCAACAGAGTCTGGATTTCGGGCCTTTTTGTAAAGAAAAACAGAAGGAATGTCTGCGTTTCATTGAAGTGGCCTGTAGGGGGCGCATCTCTGGGAAAGCCTTGATCCACCTCGCCCGCCTCATTCCAGTGATTTTTCCAAAGTGTCCTTCTTTATGTGAGACCACAGTTGGAACATGAACAAACTCTTGTCTTTCTCTCTGTTCTCGCGGTTGCTACAATCGTACACTGCACAAAAAGATGGCATTCTGACAGCGCTTCTTCTTCTACTATATCTCCGTGTATAAACCGGGCAGACTGCACCGCCAGGACACATCACGTCCTGTCCCACGTTTGTTATTCGCGCCACTGCCCCGACGTCATATGAAACCCAAGAATACAGTGCTAACAATGCTAACACAGACTGTATACAGATGGACAATGCCACACTCTTTGGCAGATTCTGTTTCAGCTTCAGGCCAACATCCAGTTTATTAAAAAGCTCGGAGACTCGAGAAAATCAAAAATCAAAAATCAAAAAATTACAGAAGCTGTAATTTATATGAAAATCAAAGTTGATGCAGTGACCCCCCCCCGGGTCACTGCATCAACTTTGATTTTCATATAAATTTACAGCTTCCTAAACGCCTGTATCCCATTATCCGTGGCTCACACTTCCCCACACCTTTTGTCTCATCGTGTTGCGGCAGTAGTTATTTAAATTAATTTAGCTAATAACAAACGCCCACCGGTACGACCCACTTCCTGCCTCTCGGTGCGATGCGGGCGGCGTGTCCTGAGGTGGAATAGCAAACGGAGGAAGTTTTGTGGGATATGAAAAAGCAATCATATTTCTGTATCGTAAGCAGGTCTGTAGCCGGGGGTCATTCCTGCTCCGCTCTGCTGGGGGAGGCATTCTGTACGGCCCCCAAGGCTACCCCACTTAATTAACTTTCCTTTCCATCAGAGCGATACCGGTGATTTTACCCCGACTTCAACCAATGTCTTTTAATTGTTGATTTGAATGGCGACAGTAGACAAATGGATGGATAATACACAGCCATGTTGCTAACTGTACTGTATATGTTTATTATGTCCGTCAAATGCCACCCTCAGAAAGAAGGTTAGACCAGAAATGTTTCATCGATTCCCGCGAGCTTTAGTGAGACAGTGATCTTTCTCCTTCATTCTCACGATGCAGCGAAACGACTCAGTCCAGAAGCCCGCCTCCGAGAGATGATTGACAGCTGAATAAAAAAATCAAATCATGCAACCCCTATCCCTTTCTCTGGTCTCTCTTGTTCCTCTCTCTGGTTTCTCTCTTTCTTGGTCCTCTCTCTGGTCTCTCTCTTTCTAGTTCCTCTCTCTGGTTTCTCTCTTTCTTGTTCCTCTTTCTTGTTCCTCTCTCTGGTTTCTCTCTTTCTTGTTCCTCTCTCTGGTTTCTCTCTTTCTTGTTCCTCTCTCTGGTCTCTCTCTTTCTTGTTCCTCTCTCTGGTCTCTCTCTCTCTCTTGAGCTTCTCTCTGGTCTTTTTCTGGCCTCTCTCTAGTCTCTCTCATCTCTCTCTAGTCTCTCTCTTGTCTCTCTGTTTCTTGTTCCTCTCTCTGGTCTCTCTCTCATCTCTCTGGTCTCTGTATTATGACTATTATTATCTGATCTGTTGTGACTTCGGTCCAGACCCACATACAGAGAAGGTTATCACCTGGTCTCTCTCTCTGTCTATCATCCCCTGGTCTCTCTCTCTCTCTGGTCTCTCTCTGTCTATCATCACCTGGTCTCTCTCTATCTATCATCACCTGGTCTCTCTCTCTGTCTATCATCACCTGGTGTCTCTCTCTAGTCTCTCTCTCTGGTCTCGCTCTCTGGTCTTTCTCTCTCTGTCTATCATCACCTGGTGTCTCTCTCTCTGGTCTCTCTCTCATCTCTCTCTGTCTCTGGTCTCTCTCTCTCTGGTTTCTCTCTCTGGTCTCTCTCTCTGGTCTCGCTCTCTGGTCTTTCTCTCTCTGTCTATCATCACCTGGTGTCTCTCTCTCTGGTCTCTCTCTCATCTCTCTCTGTCTCTGGTCTCTCTCTCTCTGGTTTCTCTCTCTGGTCTCTCTCTCTCTGGTCTCTCTCTAGTCTCTCTCTGGTCTCTCTCTAGTCTCTCTCTGGTCTCTCTCTAGTCTCTCTGGTCTCTCTCTAGTCTCTTTCTCTGGTCTCTCTCTCTAGTCTCTCTCTCTGGTCTCTCTCTCTCTTGTTTTTCTCTCTGGTCTCTCTCTCTCTGGCCTCTCTCTGGTCTCTCTCTCTCTGGCCTCTCTCTGGTCTCTTTCTCTGTCTATCATCACCTGGTCTCTCTCTCTCTCTGGTCTCTCTCTGTCTATCATCACCTGGTCTCTCTCTATCTATCATCACCTGGTCTCTCTCTCTGTCTATCATCACCTGGTGTCTCTCTCTAGTCTCTCTCTCTGGTCTTTCTCTCTCTGTCTATCATCACCTGGTGTCTCTCTCTCTGGTCTCTCTCTCATCTCTCTCTGTCTCTGGTCTCTCTCTCTCTGGTTTCTCTCTCTGGTCTCTCTCTCTGGCCTCTCTCTAGTCTCTCTCTGGTCTCTCTCTAGTCTCTCTCTGGTCTCTCTCTAGTCTCTCTGGTCTCTCTCTAGTCTCTTTCTCTGGTCTCTCTCTCTAGTCTCTCTCTCTGGTCTCTCTCTCTCTTGTTTTTCTCTCTGGTCTCTCTCTCTCTGGCCTCTCTCTGGTCTCTCTCTCTAGTCTCTCTCTCTGGTCTCTCTCTCTCTTGTTTTTCTCTCTGGTCTCTCTCTCTCTGGCCTCTCTCTGGTCTCTCTCTCTCTGGTCTCTCTCTGTGGTCTTTCTCTCTCTGTCTATCATCACCTGGTGTCTCTCTCTCTGTCTATCATCACCTGCACATATATAGAAACGTGACTCACACACGGTAAATGTCCCTCGCGCTGGAACGGATCCGTCGATGTGAACTAGGATTGAAATAGAAAAGGTGTAAAGAAAGTAGGAGAAAGTTGGATGAAGAGAAGAGTTGTCGTGGTGATGAAGAGGAGGAGGAGCACACTCTGATATAGAAGTCTGTAGGAGTGATGAAGAGGAGGGAGCCGTCGGTGGGAGTGATGAAGTGATGAAGAGGAAGGAGGTAAAACAGGTGAGATCTGTATGTTTATAATTAAGCTTTATTCTTTCTTCTGCAACAATTCTAAACTTATGTGAGAGAAACGAAGGACCGGACGTGCACCGGTCTGAACACATGGTTAGGCTCTTTCTGGTCTCTCTCTGGTTTCTTTTTGGTCTCTCTCTAGTCTCTCTGTTATCTCTCTTCGGTCTCTCTCTGGTCTCTCTATAGTCTCTCTCTAGTTTCTCTGTAGTCTCTCTCTAGTCTCTCTCTCTGGTCTCTCTCTAGTTTCTCTGGTCTCTCTCTGCTCTCTCTTTGGCCTCTCTCTCTGGTCTCTCTCTAGTCTCTCTATAGTCTCTCTCTAGTTTCTCTGTAGTCTCTCTCTAGTCTCTCTCTCTGGTCTCTCTCTGGTCTCTCTCTAGTCTCTCTCTAGTTTCTCTCTCTGGTCTCTCTCTAGTTTCTCTCTCTGGTCTCTCTCTAGTTTCTCTGGTCTCTCTCTGCTCTCTCTTTGGCCTCTCTCATTCTGGTCTCTCTCTCTCTGTAGTCTCTCTCTTTGGCCTCTCTCGTTCTGGTCTCTCTCTCTCTGTAGTCTCTCTCTTTGGCCTCTCTCTCTCTGTAGTCTCTCTCTGGTCTCTCTCTCTCTTTGGCCTATCTCTGTAGTCTCTCTCTTTGGCCTCTCTCTCTCTGGTCTCTCTCTAGTCTCTCTGTAGTCTCTCTGTAGTCTCTCTAAAGTCTCTCTGTAGTCTCTCTCTAGTCTCTCTGTAGTCTCTCTCTCTGGTCTCTCTCTGGTCTCTCTCTAGTCTCTCTCTAGTTTCTCTGGTCTCTCTCTGTTCTCTCTTTGGCCTCTCTCTTTCTGGTCTCTCTCTCTCTGTAGTCTCTCTCTTTGGCCTCTCTCTCTCTGTAGTCTCTCTCTGGTCTCTCTCTCTCTGGTCTCTCTCTCTCTGTAGTCTCTCTCTTTGGCCTCTCTCTCTCTGTAGTCTCTCTCTGGTCTCTCTCTCTCTTTGGCCTCTCTCTCTCTGGTCTCTCTCTCTCTGTAGTCTCTCTCTTTGGCCTCTCTCTCTCTGTAGTCTCTCTCTGGTCTCTCTCTCTCTTTGGCCTCTCTCTCTGTAGTCTCTCTCTTTGGCCTCTCTCTCTCTGGTCTCTCTCTGTTATCTCTCTCTCTGGTCTCTCTCTCTGGTTTCTCTCACTTCAGCTTGTGACAAAAGTGTATAAAGCAGTCTATTTTCAGTCTAAAAACACCCAGTTTAACATCACAGACTTCTTACGGGTCTTTAGAGCACATCACCCCTGTCCTGAACCACACACCGCTGTAAAACCACGTCCCTTTGCTTTAGTCCAAACCCTGATGAGATCCCGACCTCTGTGTTCGTCTCCACGGCGACGCCTCGTCAAACATGTCCAAATATTTATGTTTACCTCGGCCAATCACAACTCACCGATCCCGAGGTCAGACTCTGGTCCTGGACGTGGCTCTTAGTAAATAAAGTTCATTTGTACAGCGCCTTTCACAGACAAGGATCACAAAGCACTTCCTGTGGGTGCTCTCCTGTGGGTGCTCTCTCCTGTGGGTGCTTTCCTGTGGTTGCTCTCCTGTGGGTGCTCTCTCATGTGGGTGCTCTCCTGTGGGTGCTCTCTCCTGTGCTCTTCTGTGGGTGCTCTCTTCTGTAGCTCCTCTCTCCTGTGGGTCTTCTCTCCTGTGGGTGCTCTCTCCTGTGGGTGCTCTCTCCTCTGGGTGCTCTCTCCTCTGGGTGCTCTCTCCTGTGGGGTGCGCTCCTCTGGGTGCTCTCTCCTGTCCTCTCCTGTGGGTCCTCTCCTGTTGGTGCTCTCCTCTGGGCCCTCTCCTCTGGGTGCTCTCTCCTTCGGGGTGCTTTCTCCTGTGGGTGCTCTCTCCTGTGGGGTGCTCTCCTCTGGGTGCTCTCTCCTGTCCTCTCCTGTGGGTCCTCTCCTGTGGAGCTCTCCTCTGGGTCCTCTCTCCTCTGGGTGCTCTCCTCTGACCACCAGGCCGTTGTATAAATTTCCGAACGCTTTTCTTCCTCGTCGTAATCGAGGCCGAGCCGTGAGCTTCTGTGACATTTTGATTCGGAGCAGCTTGGTGCAGTTATGGCTCCGGGCGTTTGTCGGCTCTAATAGCGCGGCGGCGGCAGATGTAGGCTCGTAATCAAAACCGTTATGTGACTCGCATTCTGTAATTAACCAACGATACGCACGCACCGAGAGGATTTCACACGAATGTTAATGTCTTCCGCACAATCTGGTTTTGTTTGGACCATACTTAACGGATCGATAAGGACTGGGCTAGAATAAACAGACAAAACTATGTCCTGGTGGAAAAATGCATCTGCCAAAAGTTTTTCCAAGATGGCCGCCTCAATCCTGGGTCTACAGGCTCAGTCCTGGGTCTACAGCCTCAATCCTGGATCTACAGCCTCAGTCCTGGGTCTACAGCCTCTCTTTCTGCTCTCTCTCTGGTCTCACTCTCTGGTCTCTCTCTGGTCACTCTCTCTGCTCCCTCTCTCTGGTCACTCTCTGGTCTCTCTCTCTGGTCTCTCTGTTGTCTCTCTCTCTTTGATCTCTCTCTATTCTCTCTCTCTCTCTAGCCTCTCTCTGCAGAATCCACAGGTGGGGGTCTCTCTGTCTCCCTCTATGCTCTGTCTCCCTCTCTGCTCTCTCTCTCTCTGCTCTCTCTCTGTGCAGAATCCACAGGTGGGGGTCTTTCTTTCTGCTATCTCTCTCTCTCTCCCACTCCTCTCTATCTCTCTTCTCTCCATCTCTGTGCAGAATCCACAGGTGGGGGTCTCTCTCTCTCTCCCTCTCTGTGCAGAATCCACAGGTGGGGGTCTCTCTCTCTCTCTGTGTAGAATCCACAGTTGGGGGTCTCTCTCTCACCCTCTCTGTGCAGATTCCACAGGTGGGGTCTCTCTCTCTCCCGGTGTGAACGAGGCGCAGCTCGGTGCATCATTCAGACCAAAGTAATGGATGTGTTTATCGTTTATCAATGTCTGTTTGAGGCGTGCACTCAGCGTCCTGCTTTTGTGTCGGAGCTTTTAATCTAATTGGACATTAAGCTGCTGTCGTTGTTTCTCTCGCTCAGACTTATTTATGTCCCGGCTCCTGCTCCTCTTTACCGTTTCATTACCGCGCTCCCGTCTGAATCAGTGAACTCATTACACAGAACGAAGCAGAGGAAAAGGCCACTGCGACGAGTGTCATCTCATACTCCATAAAAGTCACACTGTTTACGGCCGCAGACGTCACTTCAGACAGCCAGGGTCTCTACCAAAGGCACACACCAGGGTCTCTCACAAAGGCACACACCAGGGTTTCTCACAAAGGCAATGACCAGGGTCTCTCACAAAGGCAATACCCAGGGTCTCTCACAAAGGTACAAACCAGGTCTCTCTCTGGTCTCTCTCTGGTCTCTCTCAGGTCTCTCTCTGGTCTCTCTCTAGTCTCTCTCTGGTCTCTCTCCAGTCTCTCTCAGGTCTCTCTCAGGTCTCTCTCTGGTCTCTCTCTGGTCTCTCTCTGGTCTCTCTCTAGTCTCTCTCTAGTCTCTCTCTGGTCTCTCTCAGGTCTCTCTCAGGTCTCTCTCTGGTCTCTCTCTGGTCTCTCTCCAGTCTCTCTCAGGTCTCTCTCAGGTCTCTCTCTGGTCTCTCTCTGGTCTCTCTCTGGTCTCTCTCTAGTCTCTCTCTAGTCTCTCTCTGGTCTCTCGCTTGTCTCTCTCTGGTCTCTCTCTGGTCTCTCTCTAGTCCCTCTCTGGTCTCTCTCGCTGGTCTCTGATTGTGATTTCAGAATCTCTCTCAGTGAGACTGGACCAGGACAAGATCAGGATCAGACCAGAACCAGACCAGGACCAGACCAGGACCAGATCAGGACCAGACCAGACCTCTTTAACCTATAATAACTGTATTTTCCGTCAGAGGAAACGTGATCTCTGCGTTCTGACTCCACTTCTCCCAAAGTCCCGTCTCTCTCTGACTTTACTGAACCTCTGTCTCTGGTTCAGCGCCGCCTCCACATCTTCTCTCAATCTGCTCCTTTTCCTTTAAACGCTTTTATAATCTAAGTATTTTCTCTCAAACTACGCAGCTTCAGTCCGAGTGAGTGGGAAGATTTGTTTTATTCATTTGGGATTGTATTTTTGTGATCCTGCCTGGAATAATAGACCCAGGACTGAGGCTGTAGATCCAGGACTGAGGCTGTAGACCCAGGACTGAGGCTGTAGACCAGGACTGAGGCTGTAGACCCAGGACTGAGGCTGTAGACCCAGGACTGAGGCTGTAGACCCAGGACTGAGGCTATAGACCCAGGACTGAGGCTGTAGACCCAGGACTGAGGCTGTAGACCAGGACTGAGGCTGTAGATCCAGGTCTGAGGCTGTAGACCCAGGACTGAGGCTGTAGATCCAGGTCTGAGGCTGTAGATCCAGGTCTGAGGCTGTAGACCCAGGACTGAGGCTGTAGACCCAGGACTGAGGCTGTAGACCTAGCCTCAGTCCTGTCTGTGTCCAGCTTCACTGGTGTCGTTACAACAATTACAGCCTGTGAACATTTCATTAGTCTAAAGTACAACATCTTGGCTCCTGCTGCTGTGATTGTGCTGAGACCAGGCTTTCAGACCCCTTCCTCATGGCCCTGCCCCTCCTCCTCATAGCTCCTCCCCTCCTGCCCGGGGCCCCTCCCTCTGCGGCCCTCACTGTCAACAGTAAATTAATTGTGTTTGTCCCGAGCTTTTGGCGTAAATGAAATCATAAGAGAGGCCTGAGCTGTGAAAGTGCTGCGACTGTTAGTGACCAGAGAGAGTCCAGGGAGAGAGACCAGAGAGAGACCAGAGAGAGACCAGGGAGAGACCAGAGAGAGACCAGAGAGAGACCAGGGAGAGACCAGAGAGAGACCAGAGGGAGACCAGAGGGAGACCAGAAAGAGACCAGAGAGAGAGACCAGAGAGAGACCAGGGAGAGACCAGGGAGAGACCAGAGAGAGACCAGAAAGAGACCAGAGTGAGAGACCAGAGAGAAACCAGAGAGAGAGACCAGGGAGAGACCAGAGAGAGACCAGAGAGAGAGACCAGAGAGAGACCAGAGAGAGGGACCAGAGAGAGAGACCAGAGAGAGACCAGAGAGAAACCAGAGAGAGACCAGAGAGATACCAGAGAGACCAGAGAGAGACCAGAGAGAGACCAGAGAGAGACCCCAGAGAGAGACCAGAGAGAGAGACCAGAGAGAGACCAGAGAGATACCAGGGAGAGACCAGAGAGAGACCAGAGAGAGACCAGAGAGAGACCAGAGGGAGACCAGAAAGAGACCAGAGAGAGAGACCAGAGAGAGACCAGGGAGAGACCAGAGAGAGACCAGAGAGAGAGACCAGAAAGAGACCAGAGAGAGAGACCAGAGAGAAACCAGAGAGAGAGACCAGGGAGAGACCAGAGAGAGACCAGAGAGAGACCAGAGAGAGAGACCAGAGAGAGACCAGAGAGAGAGACCAGAGAGAGAGACCAGAGAGAGACCAGAGAGAAACCAGAGAGAGACCAGAGAGAAACCAGAGAGAGACCAGAGAGATACCAGAGAGAGACAGAAAGACCCCAGAGAGAGACCAGAGAGAGAGAGACCAGAGAGATACCAGAGAGACCAGAGAGAGACCAGAGAGAAACCAGAGAGAGACCAGAGAGATACCAGAGAGAGACAGAAAGACCCCAGAGAGAGACCAGAGAGAGAGAGACCAGAGAGATACCAGAGAGACCAGAGAGAGACCAGAGAGAAACCAGAGAGACTATAGAGAGAGACCAGAAAGACAAAACCCTCTCTGAGTCTATCTTCTCTGGGGCAGAAACGATAACCACTCTGCCACCATTTAACTTTGCTTTTTCTGCTCCGTGAGTGAGAGTCGTGTTTTTCCGCCGCTGCTGTTTCTGTAAAACAATCAATGCAATTAAAGTGATAAATCGTCTCGGTCTCAGAGTAAACTCACGGATCCTGGTCCCGGTGCTCGGTCTCATACTGGTCCCGGTGCTCGGCCAATCACGCTCTGCTCGGGAAATTAACTCCATCATTAAACCAGTCGCACTTCACAAATTTCAATTACAAAACGGCTGCAGGAGAAACGAGACCGGGAAGAGGCCGGAGAGAGAGGAGGAGACTAGAGAGAGAGAGGAGGAGGCTAGAGAGAGAGAGGAGGAGACTAGAGAGAGAGAGGAGGAGACTACAGAGAGAGAGGAGGAGACTAGAGAGAGAGAGGAGGAGACTAGAGAGAGAGGAGGAGACTAGAGAGAGAGGAGGAGACTAGAGAGAGAGAGGAGGCCAGAGAGGGAGAGGAGGAGACTAGAGGGAGAGGAGGAGACTAGAGAGAGAGGAGGAGACTAGAGAGAGAGAGGAGGCCAGAGAGAGAGGAGACTAGAGAGAGAGAGGAGGAGACCAGAGAGAGAGAGAGGAGACCAGAGCGAGAGAGGAGGAGACCAGAGAGAGAGAGGAGGAGGCTAGAGAGAGAGAGGAGGCCAGAGAGAGAGAGGAGGCCAGAGAGGGAGAGGAGGAGACTAGAGAGAGAGAGGAGGCCAGAGAGAGAGAGGAGGCCAGAGAGAGAGGAGGCCAGAGAGAGAGGAGACTAGAGAGAGAGAGGAGGAGACCAGAGAGAGAGAGAGGAGACCAGAGCGAGAGAGGAGGAGACCAGAGACAGAGAGGAGACCAGAGAGAGAGAGGAGGCCAGAGAGAGAGGAGGAGACTAGAGAGAGAGAGGAGGAGACTAGAGAGAGAGAGAGGAGGAGACTAGAGAGATAGAGGAGGAGACTAGAGAGAGAGGAGGAGACTAGAGAGAGAGAGGAGGAGACTAGAGGGAGAGAGAGGAGGAGACTAGAGAGAGAGAGGAGGAGACCAGAGGGAGAGGAGGAGACTAGAGAGAGGAGGAGACTAGAGAGAGAGAGGAGGCCAGAGAGAGAGGAGACTAGAGAGAGAGAGGAGGAGACCAGAGAGAGAGAGAGGAGACCAGAGAGAGAGGAGGAGACTAGAGAGAGAGAGGAGGAGACTAGAGGGAGAGAGAGGAGGAGACTAGAGAGAGAGAGGAGGAGACCAGGAAGAGACCGGAGGG